TAGACGACTGGGCAATAAATGACTATCACACTGTCATGAAGTCGTACCAACACACTCGGGCGATGAGAGGCCGGCCATGTGCTTTCCACTCACCTGTTTAAGAAATGTAGACTTCGATGCCAAATTACTTACTGTTAAACTTACCACAGGCCAAACGTTTAGTTTCCCAGGACAGACCGACATGTATAGAGGTAGAGTTCAACGCTATTGCCATTTATACACCAAACATTGTTGAACACCTGGTGTCGTCACTAATTTTCGGTGATCCATTCATATAATGTTCACCGCTACTTTGCCTTTAATGCCCTATGGAATAATTCGTCGGAAATTAGTATATGTGCATTCATTTAAGAATCACTGAAAAAATAACTTACATTCTTCACCTAATCTTTGTTTTTTAGGAGAACAGAATCTTGAATGTATCACTGACAAATAATAAATAAATTAACATTTCTTTCTTGTCATTTGTCCTTATGTTATTATCGAAGGTTATGGGATTTGCTTTTGTTGTGCTTACACCTTCCTTCAGTTTCAGTGTTCAAGTAATTAATATGTAACTAGTTCTAGTGTTGGGTCGCCTTTATTAGTCTCCATGTTACACAGGTAATTGGTACCAGTAATTAAAATGTAATACAGAGTGCCAGAGTGCTAGAGTGCCAGAGTGCCAGAGTGCCAGAATGTTATATGTATCTGCAGCTACAGCCTAACCTCCTTCCTGGTCAACTCTTGGAACTCACCATTTACGTCAGTAATTTGTTAACATAATATTAAATGCTTCATGATGTAAGTAACGGTGTCCCAATCATAGTTAAATGCAATAGAAATTATCAGCTTTTTTGTAATACTTGCATGTCAAGTCAACTTGGCAAACGAGACAATTTATTGACAATCTTAACTATATTATATAAGTAAGGTATATGTTCGGACAAGTTACTTACATAATGTGTGCTCCATAAGAAAATCTGGTACCTTAAACTTCACACAAGACGCAGTTTTAGATGTATTATATTGCAATGTTAATGGCACCAGTCACCAAATACGACATAAAATGAATACAAGCACACCACTCAAAATTGCAAAAAAATGCCTCTTTCTAGTCCATATAGATACATATATATGGGAACAGAAAGGTTAGATATAATTGCTATTTTGAGTGGTGGTATAGTATTCATTTGGTAGCATATTTAATGACTGATGCCATTAACATTGCAACATACGCGTTGAAGCTCAAATTGTTACAGCTCCTGGAAAGAGACAATTCGCATTGAACCAACGCTGATCCTTTCTTTAGTGCCCTGAACACCGTACCTTTTGACATGACATCAAATACTCTGTATGTTAGTTCCAAGGGCTTCTTTCAACGACATCAATAAAGGCTGAAGCAAATAATAGCTTCCATCTTCACACTGACACCAAGGTCAGAGATCTGGCAAATGGAAGCGATTGTGAAGTTTCGATTATTCCCAAGAACTAATTAATTGCTTGCTGCCTAATATTTATATCTGTCTAACAGCAAGAGGTACTGGAATGACCAATTCGAACGTTTGGAACGGAGCCAATGCGGGGATTTATACATTATTAACAAACATTGTGATGAGTTTTCTTCCTGTCAGGTTCTATCATTCCTTTCTGTATATAACGCACAGTATCGGAATTTGTTTTATATCAACTTTATTGTAACATGTCTTCTGACTGACTTCCATTGTACTCTTCATATTCCCTATAAAATCATAAGACATGGCAGCTTTGTATCAATGTTACAAAATGTACTCGCAATATTCTCATGTTGCCATTAGGCATAGACTTTGAGTATCAGCGAAATATTTTGTTGTGGATGTAAGAAGATGTCATTGAGGCATATCCACAAAAACTTGAGTCAGTTGATGCCACTTCCTATGCCACCGCAAAGTGATGTGCAGTGAGATTTAACGTGTCAGGGAAAGCCTTCAAAACGACACATGTCTGTTCTGGGAGGCATGTCACGTCAGCAACACCAGAAATGATCCAGATAATACACTGGGTGGTTGTGCCCGACCGGCGAGTGACAGAGCGTCATATTGCTTGTTCATTAAGCTTTTCCATGGAGAGAGTACATTCCATTATTATAGAAACTTTGACATCTGATCAAAAACGTATCAGGCACAACATATCTCGTGATAATCTAGCTCTGTTTGAAGCTGAACCAGAAAGGTTCTTGCAATGATGATGTGACTTTGGAGATATTTGACATACACCACAAGCACCAAATAAGGCAAAGACTGTCCAATTAGCTGGAAAGGTTATTGCATCCGTGTTCAGACATGCCGAGTGTGTCATCATGGTGGACTATCTTCCAAAAGGCCAGATAGCCAACGGAGCATATTATGCTGCAATTACGGGTTGAAATTAAGACTAAGAGAAAAAGCTGCTCTTCAATCGGACAATGTGCCAGTGCATTATCATGGCTACAAACCGCGAATGTGGCTTTGAACTCCTTCAGCACTCACCTTATTCTCCTGATCTGGATCCGTCAGGCTTCCATCTGTTCCCAAACATGAAGAAAGCTGGAGCCGGAACCTATTTCAACTTGACGATGGCGTCATTGTAAAAGTGACAAAGATGTATCAAGGTAGAAGGGGGTTGTGTTGTGTTGGCCGAAGTTCCAGTTTTGAATGTTGTTTAATCATTTTATCAGTTCTCAATACCTGTATCGGAACATCTCTTGGGCCCCTGTCTTGGAATCAGCTGAATTTTAACATCATGGGCATCTTTTTGTATTCGGTTTTAGGATACTTGTACTACATGTCTTTTGGTACATGCTTATATCAAATGAAGAGATATGCTTAGGAAATGTAACTGTCAGCTTCAGTTTTTTTCTGTTTGTTTGGGTTTTTTGGTTTTTGGTTTTGGGTTTTTTTGGTGTTTTTTTCTGTTTTTTGTTGTTGTTTTTTTGTGTCGGATAGCCTAGTTGTTAAAGCGTTCGCTCCACACACCGATGACCCGGGTTCGATTCCCGACATGGGTACAATGTATGGAGCCCATTTCTGGTGTCCCCCGCCGTGATATTGCTGGAATATTGCTAAACGTGGCGTAAAACCAAACTCACTCACTCACTCACTCAATGTTTTGGGACCTGTTTGGGGACGTGTTTCAGGCCCTAACTGATGTCCAGGTTGAAGACCAATCTGGTGACCATACTGAGGACATTTCAAAGCTAATTTCGTATCATTTATTATTATTTATTATTTTCTCCACATTTTGTTCGAACACATTTTTAGGAGAGTAATTACATAGGGTTTTTTTTATAAATAATACCACAAAACATAAGCACTAAATTATTAAATACTTCAGAAGTCAAAACAATATATTATGCTCTTAATTTATGAGTGATCAATAAAAGTGATAATACATTTTCATCTTTCAAAACATTCCTTTTTTTTGTTTCATTCATATCACATGAGTGAGTGAGTGAGTGAGGTTTTACGCCGCTTTTAGCAACATTCCAGCAATATCACAGAAATGGGCTTCACACATTGTACCCATTTTGGGAATCGATCCCGGGTCCTCGGCGTGACGAGCGAACCCTTTAACCACTAGGCTACCCGACCGCCCCCACATCACATGAGAGACATGTACTTTGATTAAAATAACTCAATATAGTTAAGTTTGTAAACTTATTCATATTCTCATTACTACGCAGTATTTTGAAATTCTTCAGACTTATGAAGGTTGAATATATACCTATATATATTTCATGTGATGTTGGCAATAAACATCATTATTAGCAACGTTGTAGGCAGAGAATGGAACATCAAAATTAATATCCCGTGAATCCGATTTTGTGATATTTAAGAAGGCGGTACACTCACAAGGGATTCATGTTCATTTACATGGTAATTGCTATAGATTTATTCTTGTCGAAATACTTAACGATTATGGATGCCTTTGGATATTAAAACTATTTGTAGCTATCTGTAGGTGGTGTATCTGTGGGTGGTGATATTTACGATGTGAGATTTGATAGAAGGGTTGTTATACACGTGCTTTGTCTGAATCACTGGTAATCTGATTTTGTCTCAACGTCAGGGGCTTCAATATGACGTCAACTGACGTGGGATTCGCCATTTGCAAGGTCGACACGAACTTGTCTTGTTATTTTCAACCCATTTACTGAAATTTAATATAGGTTATATACTTGCAACAACTTTCATATAGAACCAACGAATATCACGTGTACATCCGTGTAACTTATATCAATGTACTGCACTTCTAGGACTTATCTTGAAAGCACAGCACGTAATTGTAAGGTAATTTGGGTATTTTTCTGTGAATCGGGAGCACGGTTGGCCCATTCCCATTCGCCTAAGGTGCCGCAATTCGCTGTTCAGAGGTGTGTTCCTCAGGCGCTCCAGAAACCTATGAATGTGGGTTCGAATCCCAGCTTGATTTTACTTCTGGGTTTATCAGCACCATACCCCATGCTATCTGGTTTCGAGACAGTGGTAAACGTCTAAGACAATCTTCTGCTTAAAGTGGTCAAACCCCCGTGAAGATCCGGGGTAGAATAGGTCTTCAGCAACCCATGCTTGCCGTAAAAGGCGACTATGCTTGTCTTAAGAGGCGACTAACGGGATCGGGTGGTCTGGCTCGCTGTCTTGCTTGATGCATGTCATCGATCCCAATTGCGTGGATCGATGCTCATGTTCACTGGATTGTCTGGTCCAGACTCGATTATTTTACAGACCGCCGTCATATAGCTGGAATATTGCTGAGTGTGGCGTTAAACAAAAAAGTGGTTCAAACGCACTCACTCACTATAGGATAGTAATTCATAACCACATGCTTTTCATATAGTTGCCATCGTACAATGAACTCCGCTTTTAGTAGATATTTCTTATGTGGATGTGAATGGTTTTATTTACATAAGACTCGAGTTTGTTGATACATCGAATTCATTACAATTGTCACTTTCGTAATAACCGATGTCACATGTAATCACTGAAGGTCGTTTCGTGTTGCAGGTTTATCACGGGGAACAGCAGAGTCCGATACAACAAATTCAGAACTCACTACAGATGGTAAGCCTTCAGTACTATCTCCTTCAAATCTACTGTTCTACTTATGTCCATTAGGAAGAAAATTTATGGATGTCAACTTCTTTATTGTGAGGGGGGCGGTCGGGTAGCCTAGTGGTTAAAGCGTTCGCTCGTCGCGCCGATGACCCGGGTTCGATTCCCGACATGGGTACAATATGTGAAGCCCATTTCCGGTGCCCCCCGCCTTGATATTGCTATATATTGCTTGAAAGCATATATATACTTGTAAGGACAACAAAAGTACTAACATAACAAAAGGTGGAAACTAACAAGCGAGGCCAACAGATAATTGTCGCTGATGGGGGATTAGCAATAGACAATGGAAGCCAACACTTTACAGTAATGAGCGCTGATGGTTATGGACAACTGGCTTCCATTATCTTTTGCTAATCACCCATCAGCGGCAATTATCTGTTGGCCTCCCTTGTTAGTTTCATCATGGGCTGTGTTGGATATATTTGTTTCAGGGTCTGTATGACAGACAACTATATAAGTGCAATATCTTGAACCTGACGTTAAACCCTATTTCACCTCACCTCACCTCACCTCACCTCACCTCACCTCACCTCACCTCACCTCACCTCACCTCACCTTGTTCAATGTCTGTCTGCCTCTTACCTTTTCCTTCTGCATACTCGTCCTGCCTCCCTGTGTCTCTTTGTCACGGCCGGCCCACTCAACAAATGCGCTGCTTTGCAGAGTTGCGTCCCTTAGGCACAGAAACCTATGATTTTGGGGTCGGATGTCAGATCCTTCCTGATTATGTTTCTAGGTTTGTCAGAACCATGCCCTTGTGTTTGGGTTTCACCAAAGAAGTCAAGGTCACCCCCTCTTACTTTCCTGCCACATGTTAACGGGTGCTATAACCAAATCATGCACGCTCATTCTGTCTGTGACATACATCTTGTACACCATGTTCAAATGTTATACGCAATAATGTTATACGCAATCTTTGTTATATTTACAGAACCAGATGACCCGGATGGACCGACAGCTGCGCCAGATTATATCATATATTTAGATGATACCCCCTGTCTCCTAGCAACTATAAACGTAACACTACGAATAAATTATAAAGCACAGTCGGGGATTTTCAATGAGGTAACTCACCCGTGAAGTTCCGAGTTAGAATTTGCTTGCTGTAAATGGCGACTATGCTTGTCGTTAGGGACGATTAACGGGATCAGGTGGTCAGACTGCTGACTTGGTTAGTCCATGTCATCGTATCCCAATTGCGTAGATCGATGCTCATTATGTCAATCACTGGATTGTCTGGTCCAGATTATTTACAGACCGACGTCATATAGCTGGAATATTGCTGAGTGCGGCTTAAATATCAAAGAAACAATTAGGTAACTAAATTAATATTGATAACAGAAACCAAATAAGTGTGAAAGAGAAATAGAACCTTCAGAGAAGTTGTACCTAATCATTCCGGACACCCTATATTCCGGACGGGGACCATGGAGCTAGTTATTTATATTTTCAAAGAATATTAATGCTATGGTACGAGTGGAAACTATTAAAAATGTTGAGTGAGTGAGTAAGAACTTTACTGAGAAAGTGTTATCCCTAAATAAAACATTAGCGACAAATCCATTCCTAAATCATGAGAAATCTCAGCTAAAACAGAGTTCATTGTACTGTTCCGGCGATATCGTAAACCTATATTTCTGAATCACTATCAAACAGTGATGATAACGAGTGATAGAGAAAAGGTGAACGTATCCTGTGTCACCTGTCATAAACACGTGCAAAGGCAAGACAAATGTTAACCTGAAAAAAAACCCGGAAACGCATGGTTCACGTAAAAAAAGGGAATTGTATCGGATATAATTTCACAAATGCGTAAAATGTGGAATTGTCCTCCACATGTTTAACATAAAACGTTTTGGAAACTTTACTGAGGCCTTACATGTTTCAACCCTGATCAAACAACTCTTCAGCAAGTGAGTGAGTGAGTTTGGTTTTACCCAGCTTTTTGCAATATTCCAGCAATATCACGGCGGGGGACACCAGAAATCGTCTTCACACATTGTACCTATGTCGGGAATCAATCGCGGGTTCTGACGAGAGAACGCTTTAACCACTAGGCTACCCCACCGCCCCCTCTTTAGCAAGAGTGAGTGAGTTGGGTTTAACGCCGCTTTTAACAGTATACCAGTTATATCACGGCGTGTCTGCTTAATGGGGGAGGAAAGCCCGAAGTGATGCAGGTCTTAGACGTTTACCACTTCGGTGAAACCAACGAGCACGGGTATGGTGCTGACAAACCTAAAAACATCGGGGTGAACCGAGATTCGAACCCACAATCATAGGTTTCTAGCGTGCCCAAGGGACGCAACTCTGCACAGCGAATCGCGGCACCTTAGACGACTGGGCCACCCGTGCCCCGGGGGGATTTGAACCCACACTGCCAGAGTGATCACCTAATCGCCGGAACACAAAGTCAGCGCTCCAAGAGCCGTACGACGCTCTTTGAAATCATCGTAGAAAGTGCAAGCTCGATTGTACCTCCAAAGTTGTGAAAAGTAGCGAGCTGCAGGAATATTGCTCGACATATAGGGAATGTTGTCTGTTGTGAAGTTGAAGTCATCCCTCTTGCCATACAATCTTGCGGATGGTTTATTTATAAGTAATAGATATTTATAAAGACTATTCCACCTCACATTCTAGTTAGCAATACTCTCTGGTTGTGTTCGCAGATTAACAACAAAGAAGTGCTGTTATCAATGGACGAGAGCGCGGTCGTGAACGGCAGTTGCGAGGGCAACGTCAGTTTCCTTTCGATGACGTGGTGGGACGGACTTCTGGGACTCAACTTCACCTTTATAAAAGAGGTCAGACACTTTCTCAATTCTGTTTAGGAAAGTCTTTGTATGCTGGTCCGCTTACTGTATATTTACTCATTTCAATCAACTAAATTATATGTGGCTTTCTTGAAGTACTGAAGACCGCCTCCGTGGTCTAGAGGTAGAGCGTCCGCCCGGAGAGCGGAAGGTCCGGGTTTCGAAAGACGTTAAAAGATGGTACTTGTTGTTGCCCTGTCTGGCGCTCGGTATTTAGGTGCTAAAACAAGGACTGGTCGGCTCGGAGTCAGTATACTGTGTCTGAGTGGGGTATTCACGTTAAACTGCGGCATGGTATCTCAGTGGGCTAGCAGTATAAATCGGCATCAGTCCGGACTAGTACAAGCAGCCACACACACACACACACACACACACACACACACACACACACACACACACACACACACACACACACACACACACACACACACACACACACACACACACACACACACACGGCGTTACATGGACGCGGCGTTAAACCCGATTTCACCTAACCTCACTCAGAAGCTAAAACACTTGAAGGACAATGTATACATGTTGACTCAATGGCCTATTCCTGCCTCGTACAATTACTACATCAAAATATACACACTGTCAATATATAGGTAGGATGTTATAACAAGGGATGGGTATTGGAGGTTTAGTGTGTATCACGATATTTTTCGATAGGCATCACGATATATTGTATAATGTTAAATTTTGAACTCAGAAGCAATCTGATACATTAAGGTATGGATTGAAGTTCATAAATGGAACAAAACAAGATGCTGGTAGAACATGATGTGTATTCAGTCAATAAATACGCGGCCATTTTGGGGCCCCGGATGCCCCCGGGCAGCGAAGGCATTTGGCAAGTATATAACATCAAACACATGATAGAAATCGCTATTTGAAATCACCCGATATATCTAACATGTGATACGTATCATGGAAAAAATGTACCTCAATATGCCTGTCATAGTTCTAAAACCACTATAATTATATTCATAGCTTTCGGGCATGTGAGTCGTGCCGATTTACACTTTTCAGAGGAGATACACAAAGCACGTGATCTCGAGTACCAATTGTCGGACTCATTTTTGTGAAAGCCTCGGTGGGTGAGTTGGTTAGAGCGCTGACTTTGTGTTCCGGCGATTAGGTGATCCCCCTGGCAGTGTGGGTTGACAAATAGGTTAAGTGTGATTCAACACAGAGTGGACAAATAAGTTAAGTGTGATTCAACACAGAATTGACAAATAGGTTAAGTATGATTCAACATAGAGTTGACAAACAGGTTAAGTGTGATTCAACACAGATCGGACAAATAAGTTAAGTGTGATTCAACACAGAGTTGACAAATAGGTTAAGTGTGATTCAACACAGAATTGACAAATAGGTTAAGTATGATTCAACATAGAGTTGACAAACAGGTTAAGTGTGATTCAACACAGATCGGACAAATAAGTTAAGTGTGATTCAACACAGAGTTGACAAATAGGTTAAGTGTGATTCAACACAGGGTGGACAAATAAGTTAAGTGTGATTCAACACAGAATTGACAAATAGGTTAAGTATGATTCAACATAGAGTTGACAAACAGGTTAAGTGTGATTCAACACAGGGTGGACAAATAAGTTAAGTGTGATTCAACACAGAGTTGACAAACAGGTTAAGTGTGATTCAACACAGAGTGGACAAATAAGTTAAGTGTGATTCAACACAGAGTTGACAAACATGTTAAGTTTGATTCAACACAAAGTGGACAAATAGGTTAAGTGTGATTCAACACAGAGTTGACAAATAGGTTAAGTGTGATTCAACATAGAGTGGACAAATAAGTGAAGTGTGATTCAACACAGAGTGGACAAATAGGTTAAGTGTGATTCAACATATAGTGGACAAATAAGTTAAGTGTGATTCAACACAGAGTTGACAAACATGTTAAGTTTGATTCAACACAAAGTGGACAAATAGGTTAAGTGTGATTCAACACAGAGTTGACAAATAGGTTAAGTGTGATTCAACATAGAGTGGACAAATAAGTGAAGTGTGATTCAACACAGAGTGGACAAAAAGGGTTAAGTGTGATTCAACATATAGTGGACAAATAAGTTAAGTGTGATTCAACAAAATGTGGACAAAAAGGTTAAGTTTGATTCAACACAGAGTGGACAAACATGTTAAGTTTGATTCAATACAGACTGGACAAATAGGTTAAGTGTGATTCAAAACGAAATGAATATGTAGGTTACGTTTGATTCAGAATAAAGTGTATATTTAGGTTAAGTGTGATTCAGAACACAATGTATATCTAGGTTATATAAGTGTGATTCAGAACATAATGTATATCTAGGTTAAGTGTGATTCAGAACACAATGTATATCTAGGTTATATAAGTGTGATTCAGAACACAATGTATATCTAGGTTAAGTGTGATTCAGAACACAATGTATATCTAGGTTAAAGGTGATTCAGAACACAATGTATCTGTAGATTAAGTGAGATTCAGTACTAAGTGTCTATGTAGGTTAAGTGTGATTCAGTACACTATATTTATGTAGAGTAAGTGTGATTTAGCACACGTTTTGAATTATTGATAAAACAATCGCAATCGCTATGTTGTCTTTCATTTATAACACACATTCGTACATCTTCCAGTAAATGTCATATGGCCAAACCACGTTACAACGGCACCTAAGTGACTCCAATTAATAAAAGGTTGTGCAATGTTTGATAATTGATATCAAAGGCAAGAATGCGAACCCATTTGCAAAACTATTTGATACTTCATAGTGGTGAATAATTAGAATCATACTTTGATATGAATATTCATAATGAACCAAAACAATTATACGAATTAGTGGAGTCGTGCACAATTCATACATATGTTTGTATGAAAGCATCATGCGTGACGGTGTAGATAATTTGATAAATGAGTTATTTAGAGTTCCTCTTTGTCAGACGACTACACCTACCACGAGGCCAACGACTGTGGTATCAATGACTGGAGTCATCAGTATTGGTATGAAGGTATTTGGTTCAGATATCCTGCCGGTCGATCTTTACATAAAATGTTACCTTGTGTTAACGAGTCGGCAGGCTCCCGGGTTTGATCAGTAACATCGATCTGGCTGTATTCATGCCAGTTAATTTTAGACCATAAATGCTCGTTATTTTCCTATTGTTATTCAACCATAATTCTCTATTTGGGGACGCACATTATGCAAATTTAATGACACTTGTCGCCTATGCCCAAATTGATCCTACGCATTTATGAGAGACTAACGAATTACAAAGAACAAAAATATGAACGCTGTAAAGCAATAACCGTCATAAAGCGACACGTTGATGTGTAAAACTCGGGGATGAAGTCTCTCGCCCCTAATCACGTCCTTATAAAATAATTGTCCCATGTTTCATTTGTTCTTGGGTGAAATTATGAGTTGGACAAAGATAATGAATTATTACTATTAACGATAAATACCATGTTGGTGATGGTTAAAGTGTATAATATGTAAATCCATACTTTCGACGTTTTTACGTATGACAATATCTTGAGGAATTTCTGTACTGTAGCGCGTAGCTAATTACACCAACATTGGCATCTTGACAACTGGTCAGTTACTTCCAAATCCTGAACCAAGATTAAAACAACAGTGTCACTGTTTAAATACGTATGAGCTGTTATTGGGGGTACAGGTAGCTCCAAATCGCATCGTGAAGAGTTACTCCCCTTGGTCGTGTCAGGATCCGTTGATCATGGTTTCGAATCCATGATTTGCCACGTTTATTATTCTTGGTTGGTTAACTTCATAACTGTGCTCGTTGTCTTAGGTTACGTATCTAGACGTCTGGATCGTTTCTACCTTTTTCTAGGGGACCCGCCTCGATTCAACTGAAATATTGTTCAAAGCAGCATTAACATGCGAAGAGGTTTATATTACTCAGAAATAGTTTTTTGTTTTGGTCTATATGCTCTTTTACTCCACATTCAGCCAGATTAAGTGATATATATGTACGGTATGTAAATAATAGAATGAGGGACAGACAAACCAATGGTTGATATTATGAGCAACGTCGTCGGGGTTCGATGACACGCAAAGCAACAGAATGATGGGGGCGTAGTTAGCGGTATCAAACCAATGATGAGAAGAAAAAGGATTCATGTATATGTGATGTAATAGACTATCGTGGTCATTGCAAAATATCGAAATACAACCTCTAAGAAGTGCGAATACAACTTGATGGTTGGAAGCATTGTACGAAGCAGAATCTCGGAACCTATAGAGCGTATGGCATTCCAAGAAAATCTGTTTCAAGTCGTTCAAACAAATCTTTGTGTGTCTACCATTTTGTATTGTGTATGTCTGCGTTTCGAACTTCTTTAACGTCTAGACTGGTAATGAAAACCTCACCTCGAAGCTGTTATCCCACCAACAGTATAAAGGGTACCCGACAGAAAGTAATGAGAATCATTTTACAATCATGTTCGTGTATTCTTTTTCAAATATTTTATTACTTTCTGCTAAGTGTACAGGTGTTAACAATGCATGGGGGATTCACGTTTAAACTAAGTGCATATCTTGAATGCAAAATGAGTATTATCACTATCTGTTTAATATGAATCTTCTACCTGATGTTTGTTTGATGAAACACTATGATTAAGTCGATTGCAAAACGAAGGCATTTATATAAAGAGAAGGTAGCTATGCCATAGACGAAGGGATCATTATTATCATCATCATCATCATCATCATCATCATCATTCTTATTATTATTTACAGAGTAAAATTAAAAATTCAGCAAAGAGGGTTTGGGTGATCCTGTTTGTTTCTAGTGCCCCTAAAATTGTTTAAACACTTTACACTGATGGAAGGTTATACGGGGATGCACTCCTAAAACAGTTTGTTTGATTATTATTAATATTATTATTATTTACAGATTAAAATAAAAATGCAGTAAAGAGGGTTTGGGTGATCCTGGCACAGTCAGGCTGGTTAGGCTCATCATCAGCTCAGGGCCCTTGCCCCCTCTACACGCAGCCCAGACAGCGAATGGGACTTCTCCCAGGAAGCGCTGCCTAGTCAAACCCACCCAGAACTTTTCGGAGAATGTGAAGACTCCCAAACACTGCAGCCTTCTGCATTACCCAGATTGTCAGAAGGGTTGTATTCTGGTAGCAAACCCGGGTACTCTCCCGATGTCAGTCAACAGATTGGGAGGTACCAAACCTAAGGCACCGAGAACAATGGGGTGTCGGACAACTTGGTACTTGGGATGCAAGCGTTATATTTCGAAAGCGAGGTCTGCATATTTGCCATGTTTTTCCTCAATCTTGTCAATCACAATTTTGTCAAAAGGGACAGAAAATTCAATGATATAAATGATTTCATTGGATTTATCACAAAGGACAAGATAAGGTTTGATGGCCTAGATATGGCTGAGGCTGTATACGGGCCTATTCCAAAGAATTTGACGCCCTCTTCATATTCTGGGTCGTACCATGGATGGACGTCACAGAACCACAGGCATTGCGAAGGCGGTAATAAAATGAGTATAATTATGTACAGATTAAATAAGAAATGCAGCAAAGAAGGTTTGGGTAATCCTGGCACAGTCAGGCTGGTTAGGCTCATCAAAACCACAGGCATGGCGAAGACGGTAATAAAAGGATCGAGCAACTCCATCATGTCGCTTAAGATACTGTGTTTGTGCCAAAGCTGGGCATCAACTGAAAATGTGTTGGACAGTCGCATTAAATTCTTTGAATCTTCTACATTTCATATTTACATTCTGATGCAAAATCACACATTGACGGTTTCCAGATAGCCTCTCCTTGAAAAACTGAGTTTGGGCCGATTTCATTTGGCACTTCGATTGGTTAACATTTATTTCTGTACCGTCCTGCAGTACAGAACCATCAACAAAATCAACACTGACATTAAGATTATGTCCAACATACTTGGCTCGTTTAAGAAAACTGAGGAATGTCTTGCTTTCATGATAAGTCTTGACATGCTTCACAAGAGGATCATCAGACAAAAGAATGTGTGCAAAAGTGCACAATACAATTCTATCACGAAGAGCCTCCACGTTAATCAAACCACGCCCTCCCGTTATGATTGGTTAATATAAGCGATTGAGGGAAGAGCGAGGGTGGTCAGATCTATTGTCTGACACGATTCTTCGTGTGAGGGCGTCAATATCCTGGATGTAGTGACAAACAGTAACGCAAAGGACTAAAAGAAATATTCCTCTTCTAATAGAAATGGTTTCCGAAGTCACCACCTGGCCCTGTGAATACATCTCAAGTTGAGTTGACCAGCAATTCATTTAAGACTTGTGTAAAACTCGGGGACGACAATACATTCTAAAGACGTCATACCGAATCATAAGCTTTTCTGTAGTCCATCCAACACATTGAGATGTGGTACGGTTGTAAGTTTTTGTTTCTTCAAGAATCATTTTCTGAACCAGCAATTGACCCTTACAACCCCAGCATCCCTTCCTGGCTCCTTTCTGTTCCATGTAAATAATGTCATTGGAAGCGCAGTATGATGACACAAGATCTGTGAGACACCCTGTGAAGATATGTACTGTGTATTCAGACAAGTAATAGGACGGAAGCTTTTAGGGTCAGTCAAATCACCTTTCTTTGAGAGAAGAATTGTTTATTGTTGTTGTTGTTGTTGTTATAATTATTATTATCATATCTGTGACTGCGTTGGTTTGTCAGGAGACGCCAGTGTCAAACAGCGTAGTACGAGGCGAGTGGTGGGCCACCGAGATACACCTGTCCTACGATACTTCCAACAGTTCCGTATTCCCAGAGGCTATACAAGGTACGGTTACAACACATCGATGTCGGTTACTACCAGTCACACATATACGTACTATGTACGTCAAACTGTAAAGAATTCCACATCTCCATGTCATCATGTATGCCATCCAGAAAGCTGGAAGTCCAATGCAAGTTGTCTGTTCAGGTGATTGTTTACAGGTGTAATACGGCCAAATGCGTAACGCTTCTCCATCTGTCGCGTTGAGTCTTGCCTTATTATTCTCCTATTAGTATGTCGTGTCTTGAAGCTAAAGAACATCTCGCTGGGAAAGTCCTCTTCCTTAACTAACATCTGAGAAGCCAAGATTCGTGGCCAAATCTAGAACCAGCTTTATAGTGGCCCTTAAGCGTCACTCATTATGTCCACTGGAAGGACCTCAAGTCCCCATTTTCCCATGTAATGATCAGTGAATGACGGTGTCGGTGAATGTGTCAGTGAATGTGTCAGTGAAGGAGTCCCTTCCGTTTGTTTCGATTGTTTTTATTTTATGTGGCATAGATACGAACCTTAAAAACCTCGTGCACTGACGTAATTCGGTTTTCATTGTTCAACGGATGAAAGATAAATATGTGCAGTGGTTGGAGACATAAAACAGATTTTAATCATGTTAAGTGTTATTAATTTTTACTCTGAACCTTCCAAATGAATTCCTTGACGATCGCAACGGTTAACGATAGCAAACAAGAGCTCATTCCAAACGCTGCTTAATCCCAAAACGAGGTCTACATTTTTGTGCCATTTTCAGCGTCACTGCAAGTCCTAATTCGTAGTTATAAAGCAAAATGATGTTGTGTGCAGAAATTAAATCTGTGACGAATTCAGGTCATGTTTTACTTTAGGTCTTCCTGGATTTTGGGCAGTGTTGAATGTTTACACAAAAATGTAGACAAATAATTTTTTATTCATATATTTTACATATACATTTTAAAAAATCAACGCGACAATCGGCAACGCGGCATTTTCTGACTTTAAGTCAACTATCGTTCCCTAGACAGAACAATAATAATGAATAATGAATCTTTCAGTTTCAGGGGGCATTGAAGACCTGGCAAAAGATGACCTTGAACTTTTCAAGTCGCCGTTAGGAATGTCCTTCTTCTGCGATTCACAAGAACGGATAACAATAGGGAGCCGTGAAAATGCCGCCATTGTGGCATTCCGCCATGTTCATATACAGCCCTTTCTTGTCAAATCAGGGATGTTTTCTACAGGTTTGTACTGCAGGCCGTTCATAAAACTCAATTTTTCAACCAGATACATACAATGTCGTGAGGGACAGAGACCAAACAGCAGGCGAAAGGGAGGTGACGTCACAGATTGTCACGTCATCAATGTGCTGTGGTCACATAGGCACATAGGCTCACAGGGCGGTCGTAATGCTGCGATTGCCAAACTCCCCTGCCTTTACGACAGCACCCGTGAAGATCCGGATTAGAATAGGTCTTCAACAACCCATGCTTGCCATAAAAGGTGACTATGATTGTCGTAAGAGGCGACTAACGGGATCGCTGACTCGGCTGATGCATGTCATCGTATCCCTGGATTGTCTGGTCCAGACTCGATTATTTACGGACCGCCTTCATGTAGCTGGAATATTGCTGAGTGCGGCGTTCAACTACAACATTGATATACCCAAAGTTACTTCCGACACGACTATTTCTTGGACTAGGACGGTTGTGGAATTATTCTGGTGGTCTGTGTATCACTTTGTTGTTTTCATTTCCTTTTATCTCTTTTCTGGACATGAGTTAGTTGGGTTAAACGCCGCTTTGAGCAACATCACAGCGGCGACACTGCTCCACACATTTCACCCATGGAGATAATGAAACCCGGTTATTCGACATTCCCGATGATCCAAACACAATACACTAGACTACGTTTATAACGAACACGCTTATAACAAACTGACGGATATAACGAACTTATTTTTAGTCCCGGCCATTTGATGTATATAAGTTTTATATATGCTTATGACGAACTACGGTTATTAGGAACTAAAATTAATGGTCCCTTTGAGTTCGTTATAACCGTAGTTTACTGTACTGAAAATAAAATATAACCTTCTGTTCATTGCTGACAGCTTGATACTGGATACTTTTCTTCACTTGGTCAGAGTTGTGTTGGGGAATCTCGGATCTTGGGTGTGTTGTTGGGAATCACGAAGGAAATTTACAAACACAAATATCATATCTCAATTGAAGTCTTTGATAGGCATTTAGAAGTTGGGCGACATAAATGAATGACACTTTTTTATGGATAGATTTATTCTTTGTAGGACGTTTCTGGGCTACTGCTTGCTCCTTCATCAGGTTCACATTCACATAATGTATTCATATCTCATCTGTTTAGTGAAAGTTTGTTCAATCATATTTCGTGAGTCAATCAATCCTTTAAAGTTAAATATTTCAATCGTACAGGATAAATGACTCAATATTCCAGGGTAAATGCAAAATCATTCAAGGTAACATCTCAATCATTCGGGGTCATTTGTAAATCATTCAGGGTCATGTTACAATCCTCCCGGGCAATATCTCAAGCATTCAGAGTAATTTGTTGAACGCTCAAGGAAATGTTTATTGTCCGTTTCATTTTGGTAATTGTTTCACATTTCAAGGTAATGAATCAAACATTCTGGATATTGTCTCAATCATTCAGAAAAATGAATCAGTAATTCAGTTCAATTACTCAATCGTTCAGGGTAAGCCTCGATTACTCGTGAATGTCTGAAAGTAATTTACTTTTGCAGTAACCATTCAATCAGAGCAGGCAGTTTTGGAAGGTTGAAAGTAACATGCTAGTCCCTCCTGTGCAGAGATACAATAAAAGTAACTGAAACAAATTACTGAAGAAATGTGTTTATGTGTCTCAGTTAGGTTGTTGTCAATGTTATTGGTCCAACTGATTTTAAATTTTCGAAATCCGTGTCTGAGGACCAGGATAAGTTTGGTCGGAATGTTACTCCCCGTTGTCTCTTTTCGTGTCATCGGCTGGTGTTTAAAGACCCGACATACGCTAATACGGCAAATATCCTTGAATCATTCCTGGTATGTGGAGAGGCGTAGTGTATATAGTACTCTGGTCGTTATAGTGAGTAGGAGCCTGCAGAGTAATATACAGAAGAGATGTGAAACTATCGACTGAAGCGAAGGAATACACGCTGTTCAAGTAACAAAAATGGCGCTTTGCGAAACGACCAGTCTCGATTGACGAGTTAAATGACAAACGTACAGTTTATAACGAAACATTTTTAGAGAATAACAAACAGCAAGAAGCGATTTTAACTCAATAAATGACCATCTGTCATTATTTTGAATGGTCAGTGTGGAACTTACGTAAAAATGAAGTCTACAGTTTGTGTACGGGCCAGACACTTAAAAATACGATAAAGGGAGACAGTTTGCGGGGAGGTCACTCTTGTAGGACAAAAGTTCCGTCAAAATGTTTGTTCACTACAGTGAAATATCAAGTATATATGTTCATTGCAATGAGAATATCACTTTTTAGAAAACTCAGTCTTTCACACTGAAGTACATAAGAAAGTACACATTGAAGTACATAATAAAGTACACATTGAAGTGCATAATAAAGTACACGTTGAAGTACATAATAAAGTACACATTGAAGTACATAATAAAGTACACATTGAAGAACATAATAAAGTACACAATGAAGTACATAATAAAGAACATATTGAAGTACATATTAAAGTACACATTGAAGTACATAATAAAGTACACATTGAAGTACATAATAAGGCACACATATAAGTACATAATAAAGTACACATTGAAGTACATAATAAAGTACATATTGAAGTACATAATAAAGCACACATTGAAGTACATAATAAAGCACACATTGAAGTACATAATAAAGTACATATTGAAGTACATATTAAAGTACACTTTGAAGTACATAATAAAGCACACATTGAAGTACATAATAAAGTACACATTGAAGTACATAAAAAAGCACACATTGAAGTACATAATAAAGTACACATTGAAGTACATAATAAAGCACACATATAAGTACATAATAAAGTACACATTGAAGTGCATAATAAAGTACATATTGAAGTACATAATAAAGCACACATTGAAGTACATAATAAAGTACACATTGAAGTACATATAAAAGCACACATTGAAGTACATAATAAAGTACACATTGGAGTACATAATAAAGTACTATAACACAGAAGTATTTAATTGGGTGTTTTCTTTTAAGCAATGAACCATATCATTTTTATACAATAAAATGAATTGATGCGATGTATTTTTTAAGTCTTGGCTATCACATATTCCCTGATGTTACATTCATCTTCTTCACATTTCCAGCGAGAGTGTGTAACGAGGATGTGGAGATAGTGTTGGACAAGAAGCAGGCCTACCTTGTCCCCGTTATTGTTGCTTGTTGCCTAGGAGCCATCTGCATTATGGTTGTCATTGGATACGCCATCAGTCGCAAAGTGAACAGATACCATGACCAGTCTTCATACAAACCAATGGATTAGTGACACGTCACGTGATAAACCAACGCTACAACCAAATCAAAGCGTCCTGGATTGCGAAATAACTTCAGCAAAACCATATATATGACTATACAGAAAAATGCTTTGCTTATAATCAGAATATATGATACAATTTGACAAGAAATCGGGTTGAAGTTTGCTTTAACTAATAATTGTAACAATGTGATGCTTCTTTTCAGATTACGCAACACATTCTTCAAAATGAAATGATGAATGATAATTTTGTAAATATAATTATATTAACTGAGGGTCAAAAGAAAGTATACCAATCATGTATTTTTCGAAATGGTAAAAACTACAAAAACAAAAGTTGATGCAAACGTATTTCGAATGTATGATCCTTTGAAATGATATACTGAAGAATTACCTTCAAATATCAGCATCACAGTGCTCCAACAGCACTTGGGGGTAAAATGGGCGACTTCACATAACAACACTCATGAAGGAGATTGAAAAAACATTATCATAACTAGCGTGTGCGATGGCGGACAGAGATCGTTAGGCGTCTAATGACGTCATCAGAAATTGCCCTCTCAGTGCCTGAACAAACTGATAACTGTTCATTTGTGGATTTGGGAGGGCGTTGAATTCCATGGCCACATTGGTACATCCGTTTTGAGAAAATCAGAAAAAAGCACATGTTTCCAGTTGCGACCTTGAACGTCGATGTTGCCTCGTCAAGGTCATTCCTCTGAATGGTCGATGGGCCCTGATAGCATGCTGGTGACGTACTGTGTGACGACTGATTGCACGCCCAAGCGTGATATGGTTCAGGGACTGTGATAAATACTACCTTACCATGTCCTAGCATGCTTTACTGTTGACTGATGACTTTATATATGGTCATCTTACAGTACAGCATCGCCCAAACGCAGTAATCTGTTACAATTGTTACGTTACATTACTGGAATCTAACCTTCCATGAACGTCATTTGGGTTTTTCTTTCTAGCACAGATTTTTCGGTATACTTTCTATTGATCGTCAGTTTTTACCAACATTATATTATACACTTACCATTTATAAGCATTATTTCTTAATAATTGAGTCTTTCATGGTAGAACAGATGTATATCAATGTCTGAAAAGTGGAAGGGAAATGAACGGAGAATATGCTTTAATAGATTAGAAATGACCAAGTGATACTTGAGCCACGTTTTTATGTTTCCGCGAAATAGTGTTCAACTGCCCTTCCATATTTGGATGTCTATGGTTGTGATTAGTGTATGCCGTGTGAGTATTAATGTAGTACATGACTGTAGAGTTGTAGTGTTAAGTAGAGTGAAACGGTTACCTAGGTGTGTGTAGTCACGCTAGAACTTGGCTATTGCGTCTCATTGAAACTGGGGCAAAGTGGTTACAATGGTCAAGTTATTGTTATGGAGCGTTTCAGATCATATGCATGTACATGCTGCATGATTGTAACTTACGATTGGATATCGAACTGTATCTGAGATCAGTATGATCCTGTAACCACGTAAGAAAATGATGATGATGATGATGATGATGATGATTTTGATTTTTTCTTGCAGCTTATGGCAGCTTATTGTATGTCCTTTGCCGAAAAAGATATCTGTTACTATATGAACTGCCAGAATGGAGAGTGTTTAAAGACGTATTGTATCTTTGGAAAACAATAACTAGATTCACCATTGCATGGAACGTATTTGAATAGTTCAGTCTTTTGTCTCGTCATCATTTCCACATGAATGAAAGTACATTGGCCTTTTGCTTCAACGCCACGAGGAACTTTTAAGACTGTATGGGCATTTGGAGAGGAAACGCCGTTGTAGGATTTCAACAATGCTTACTATACTTTGTTAAAAGTGGCGATCAACCAACAGCGGCAAGTGTGTGTCCAGGAACACGTTTCTGTGAGAAGGATGTGAAGGGATTTTAAGGTGCAACTATTTGATTCCAAACGACCCCACATTTACTAACTGACAACACGGTGAAGATCGAAAGATCGATATGGGATTAAAAAAGTTTTGAACCCACCACCTCCACACCCACCCTCAACTCACGCACGCACGCACGTACACACACACACACACACACACACACACACGCACGCACACACACACACACGCACTCACGCACGCACTCACGCACACACACACACGAACACACACACACGCGCGCACGCACACACACGCACACATACACACACGAACGCGCACGCACACACACACGCACACATACACACACACACACGAACACACACACGCACACACACACACGCATACAATCATAAAGGAATGAAGAATCATTCCTGTTAGTGTGGTGTTGGCCTGCGATGACCAATATGAAGCCAGACAATTCAGAAACTAAAGGGCATCTCTGATCGAGGACAGCGTAAGTTGCCCAACTTTGAGAGGATTTCCTGTTCTATCGACCTTACAGACCAATATCCGGGAGTTCTGTGTCATGCGGGTAAGGAGGGTCGCGGAGGAGAGGATATCAGCTGCATAAAAGGGCGACCACAGTTCGGACCGTGTCCCTTGTCACGCGATGGAATCTGGAATGGTAAAATCCTCTCGTGATCGAACTGAATGGAAAGTCGACTTTTGCAGTTGATCCCGTGTGTAGTCGGAAATAGAGGTTAGATGTTACACGAGTTTTAAGTAAAATCAAAATTGCAATTGTGTTTTTTGTAATGCCAACCCGTGGAAAATCTGTCTGTTCATTCCAGGAAAACGGAAAACACGAGAAAGATCAAAGATACAGGGGAATGGTTATGTAAACAGACCAGGGTACCAGAATGTACCAGAATGTACCAGAGTGTACCAGAATGTACCAGAATGTACCAGAATGTACCAGAATACTCAGCAAGGACTGCCAGCCGTGTGGTAACGTTCATGGTTGGATTCATCATATTCGAGGACTGATGATAATACTTTTTTATCTTTTCGTTTCAATTATTTCATAATTGAATAATATTATGATGCTTGTGGAAAATCTTATTTCGTTATTAAACGGGGCTACACGGGGCTAAACGGATATACGCTTTCAATACCAAGTTATAATACCTAGTTATGATGCCTAGTTATAATACCTAGTTAAAAGAGAATTTACAGCATCAAGAGAGGCGACTAACGGGATCGGGTAGTCAGGCTCGCGGACTTGGTGGGTGCATATCATCGTACTCCAATTGCGTAGATCGATGCTCATGATTCCAATCACTTGATTCTCTGGTCCCGACTCGATCATTACAGACCGCCGTCATGTAGCAGGAATATTGCTGAGTGCGGCGTTAAAGAGCAAACAAACAAAATAAAACACCAAATTATTATACCAAGGTCTGATACGAAGTTGCAAGTTACAACACCAAGTAATAATACCAAGTTACAATACAATTTTAAAAAAACACCAAACTACAACAATCGTAGGTCAAGAGGGGTCATGGAAAGCAAGTATATGCATGTATGGCTCTATCTCCATAAACCCAAGGCTCAGAATTACTAGCCTCGCTTAGATCCCATTCCTTAATTTACTTTATGCTTTCAGACAATGAAAGCATCACAACTGTCACTAATATATAGCATTACGACAACCCAGAGAGAGCATAACACACAAATTCACCGATTACAGTAAATTCCTGAAATCAATTTAAACGCAGGCTGCCTTCCGCCAGCGAGTTAACGAGGTTTTGAGACAATGTTGTTATCTCGTAGCGGTCATCGAGATGTCACATAATATAGGATTTTGACGTATGGACTTAATGCTGGTTCTGTATGTGGTAATCAGGCTGTCCGGGAGATCAACGATGATTGAAATCCGACAGTCGGTCCCTTACCAATACTGACAACAGTGAAGCTAAATTGATAATAGAACGTGGCATTGGGGTTAGTGTCTGTGGTTGGAAATATTAGCTTCCAAACCGGTGCTGACGATTTCAGAATTCGATCCATAATCTGGAGGTAATTGTTAGTTAGTGAGGCGATTCTCAGGGCGTCGAGGGGAATCGGAAGTCAAGGTCACTAGTGACATGTTCCTGGAATTAAAGCTTTTCATTCAAGAAACGGTTCATTCCTCCATACATGAAACATTTATTCCATGCAAATAAAAACTATAAACAGTTAGAAGTCAATTTTAAAATATTCTTGATTGGCATAACAGAAATCGAGACTTTTGTGGTAATTGACTACTGCGTTTCGGTAGGCCACAACGGCCCTGTTATTAGTCGAAGGTACCACAGAGTTGCAGAGTTGTCTCCCTTTGCCACCAGGATACGATGACCGTGGGTTCAAATTCAAGATTGTGAGCATAAATTGGACTGTCAGCAGGGTACCTATGCCTGATGATATCGCCCGTTATAAATGTCTACGGCTTGCGTGGGTTTGGCTTTCCTGTCATATTAATCTGACATCTCATTAAATAACTGAAAGACTATTCAGAGCGATCGTAAACAGGTCTTTGCATATGGTTTCAAGATTAAATATTTTGAACAGAATGTTAACAAGAATGGTGTTTCTGATCTTTTCATACAGTTTAGATGAACTGGTTCCCTTGGAAGGTGACTGATAAAACGAAAGTTGAAATCGAAATTTCAATCAGAGCAATGGCACAAATGGAGTCACTGGATCTTCAACACACGTGAGACAAACAGTTTACTTCACGGCTCCTTGAAATCGAATAATGTCAACACGATCGAGTATGTATCAGTTGACATCCTCAGACGTCTGAGATACGTTATTTGTCATCAGTTATGCTCTCTGTAACTGAAACAGAGCGGCAATAACCCTTGGGTTTCCTGACCTGCCACATTGACCCGAAATATCACGAGATGTTCCGAATGAGAATGACGAATTATATCTCTTTGTATATGCTTTGTGCGAACTTATTTAATCAAAATGTAAAACTAATCTTTATCAATAGACTTGTTTATTTGTTTGTCACTCACTGTATAAAAATATCTCAACAAAGCTCCTGTGGTGAAATAAACTGTTGACCATAAGTACCATGTTTCTGGTTATTTCTCATATGTAGTGGCGGTCGGGTAGCCTAGTGGTTAAAGCGTTCGCTCGTCACGCTGAAGACCCGGGTTCGATTCCCCACATGGGTACAATGTGTGAAGCCCATTTCTGGTGTTCCCCGCCGTGACATTGCTGGAATATTGCTAAAATCGGCGTAAAACAAAACTCACTCACTCACTCACTCTCCTGTGTATATCAAGTTGAACAGGGAGATAACCCCTACCAACAGATCCATGCTGTTGCCATGACAGCCTGCGAAGTTTGATTGGTTGTTGTTTAACGCCGCACTAAGCAATATTCCAGCTATATGACGGCGGTCTGTAAATAATTGAGTCTTGACCAGACAATCCAGTGATTGATATCATGAACATCGGTCCACGCAATTTGGATACGATGACATGTATCAACCAAGTCAGCGAGCCTGACCACCCGATCCCGTTAGTCGCCTCTTACCACAAGCGTAGTCGCCATTTACAGCAAGCATGGGTTGCTGAAGACCTATTCTACCCCGGATCTTCACGGTTGGCCTGCGAGGTGTATTCGGGCGTGGTACAGGAAAACCAATGGTCGACAGTGTGAGCATCGGGTTGTCATCGATAGTACGAGAATCGATCCAGACAGTCAAATATCATAATGCTTTGGTGAAAGGATGATTAGCAGTAGTCACAATGGTTTTACACTTTTCAGCAATGTTCCAGCAATAGAACGACGCGAAACACCAAGAGCTTCAAATACTTTACCAATTTTGGGAATCGAACAAGGGCCTTCGGCGTCACAATGATTGAGTGAAAATGGTTTTACGCGGGTTTTAGCAATTGGGCGTCACACATTGAGCCTATGTGGGGAATCGAACCCGGGTCTTCGGCGAACGTTTTAACCACTAGGCTAGACCCAACACCAGATATAGCCCAGACATAGAAGAGGTCGAGGTGACACATATGAGGAAGTGATCGAAACTAAAATCGATAATGGGGGATACCTTTTCCTAATACACTTCTAGAAACAAAATCTATTTTGCGTATCAGTATCGACATATTGACATTTTCTCCATTGAAATTTAAAAAAACAATTATTTAAAAATAATTTAACATCAAACGGGACTATGCTTCTATACTTTGAGTCGGCATGAAGATTTCATTCAGTTGTGTTCGGGTGTAACACTCGGAAGGAATGAACTCGTTTATACATCGACCGCCGCCATCAATGTGTGGAAGGACAATATCGTAATCTAAATCTATAGCACAGCATAATAAAGTTTTTAATACAAGAATAAATTGCATGTCGGTTGAGACTCATATCGGATGCTCCATTTGGCTTTCGAAAAAGACAAAAAACAAGAAATGTTAAATCGTACATAGTTATGTTGCAGTAAGCTATCCATGCAGAGATAAAATGCAATAATGACGCATATATTTCGCTCTGTCCCGACAATGTTTTGCTGATAAACGTAGGGAAATCCACTTATAACATAATTAGAAAGAACGGTAAAACTGTTTCTATTAACATCCCATATTCGCCACGGTGGCATAAAAGTGTTCGAGTATTGCTGTGTCATATGGCAGCCTTTCAGGGCCACTTGGTTTATTTCCCTTTTCTTGAAATTTCAAAGTAGTAAGTTCAAATTTCAAGATGCTAAGTTGAAATTTTAAGATACTACGTTGAAACGTCAAGTTAAAAATCAACTTATCATCTTGATATTTCAAGATAATTACCTTGAAATTTCAACTTTGTATATATCTTGAAATTTCAAGATAGTAAGTTGAAATTTCAAGATGCTTTGTTGAAATTTTAAGATACTACGTTGAAATGTCAAGTTAAAAATCAACTTATTATCTTGATATATCAAGATAATGCCCTTGAAATTTCACCTTTGAATATATCTTGAAAGTTCAACAAAGCATCTTGAATTTTCAACTTAGTATAAATTTCAACTTCGCATCGAAATTTCAACATAGTCTGTATCAAATTATGTTGAAATTTCAACTTAGTATCTAGAAATTTCAAGAAAAATAACAAATGGCTCCAAATGGCCAGTCAGCAATATTCCAGATACTATGGCCTGTAAATAATCACTCAACGGCAGTGTGAAGCCCCAGAATTAGTATCATAAAACGTACGGTTCGGTATAGTGTAAGCCAGACAGTCTGATGCCCCCCCCCCCCCCCCCCCCCCCACCCCCCCCCACCCCCCCCCCACCCCCCCACCCCCCCCCCCCCCCCCCACCCCCACCCCCCACCAAAAAAACAAAAAAAAACAAACCAAAAACAACACACACATACACATTCTTTTGAAAACCAAATGTAGTAAGTTGTAGAGAATCCCCCCACCAACCGATTGGGAGGGGATTTGATATTTTGGACCCCTCCCAATTCAAAATGCTAGATCCGCCCTTGTCGGTTCTATGGTAGTTTTACACGGATACATATTTGTCCATCACAGAACATTACAGTTGCCTAGAAACACAAGTCAGATCTCTCGCTGTCTACAGCCGACACTGAGTGTGTTGATGTGCGTGTATTAGGATTCACCTTGTTTATTAACGGCACGAGCCAGCTGTTGCAGACAGTAATGGCAAACTGTTTTTAACAAAATAAATTCATGTTTTATAAAAATTAATTTGCCTTTTGTACGTGGGTTGTTTTGTTTGTTGTTTAACGCTGCATTCCGCAATATTCCATCCAGTGTTTATTCCGGGTTTAACAGGTACCCAGCAACCTATGCTGGTTGTAAGAGCAGACTAAATGGATCGGGTGGTCACGCTCGGTGGCAAGGTCGATGTATTGAATGTCATCGTATCCCGACAGCATCAGTGAATGAGTGAGTGAGTTGGATTTTACGCCGTTTTTAGCAATAATCCAGCAAAAACACGGCGGGGGACACCAGAAATGGGCTTCACACATTGTACCCATGTGGGGAATCGAACCCGGGCCGTCAGCGTGTCGCGTGAACGCTTTAAACATTAGGATACCCCATTGAACCCCGACAGCATGAATCGTTGCTTACAATTTCAACGACAGTGTTGTCTGTTCTAGAATAAAACATATACAGGCTCACTTCATGTAGCTGGAATATTGCTGAGAGACTTTAAGCAACTGACAAACAACAATATTCCTGCTATATGACGGCGGCCTCTAAATAGTCGGTGTACGTGTATGTGTTTGTGTGGCTGCTTGTGCTAGTCCGGACTGATGCCGATTTATAGTGCTGGCTCACTTCGATACCATGCCGCAGTTTAACATGAATACCCCACTCAGACACAGTGTACTGACTCCGAGCCGACCAGGCCTTGTTTTAGCCCCTTAATGCCGAGCGCCAGACAGGGTAACAACAAGTACCATCTTTTAACGTCTTTTGGTATGACGCGGCCGGGGATCGAACCCCGGAACTTCCGCTCTCCGGGCGGACGCTCTACCACTAGACCACGGAGGCGGTCTCTAAATATTCGAGTCTGGTCTAGATGTGAGGTGAGGTGAAATGTGGTTTAACGTCGCGTCCAAGATTATTGCACTTATATAGCGACGTGCATGCAAATGTGTCTGTGTGTGTGTGTGGCTGCTTTGTACTAGTCCGGACTGATGCCGATTTATAGTGCTAGCCCACTGAGATACCATGCCGCAGTTTAACATGAATACCCCACTCAGACACAGTATACTGACTCCGAGCCGACCAGTCCTTGTTTTAGCCCCTTATGCCGAGCGCTAGACAGGGTAACAACAAATACCATCTTTTAACGTCTTTTGGTATGACGCGGCAAGGGATCGAACCCCGAACCTTCCGCTCTCCGGGCGGACGCTCTACCACTAGAACACGGAGGCGGTCGAGTCTGGTCTAGATAAAACGGAGGTTGATATTATGAGAAACAGCCGACACTGTCGGGCTGCAACACACGCAATGAACCACGTCTGACCACCTGGTCCATTTAGTCGCGAGTGCAGGTTGCTGTGGAACTAATCAAACTTGGAATCCTCACAGCTTTGTTTGTTTGTTTGTTGTTTAACGCCGCACACAGTATTATTCCAGCTATATGACGGCGGTCTGTAAGTAATTGAATCTGGTCCAGACAACCAAGTGATTGACATCATGAGCATCGATCTACGCAATTGAGATACGATGACATGCATCAACCAAGTCAGCGAGCCTGACCACCCGATCTCGTTAGTCGCCTCAACGGCAAGCATGGGTTGCTGAAGACCTATACTAACCCGGAATCTTCACGGGAGTCAAAGCTGTTAAAGGTCCAATTATATCGAGAACCAAGAAAATTACATGCTCCGCGTCGATGCTAGTTACAGACCAACGAGTGGACGGGTCTCACGTCTTTGAAACGGAAGGGACACCATGTGTGTGGAGACATATTTCAGCAATATCATGGTGGGGCACCAGAAACAGACTTCACACCATGTGGGTAATCGAAACCGGGCCTTCGGGGTGACGAAACTATTAGGGGGCCACCCTACCGCCATACAGGTTCTTTCGCCGCCCGGGGCGGTCGGGTAGCCTAGTGGTTAAAGCGTTCGCTCGTCACGCCGAAGACCCGGGTTCGATTCCCGACACGGGTACAATGTGTGAAGCCCATTTCTGGTGTCCCCCGCCGTGATATTGCTGGAATATTGCTAAAAGCGGCGTAAAATCATACTCACTCACTCACTCTTTCGCCGCCCTGGTTGCTGTGCGAGTTCATAGCGTGTTCGGAAAACCCCAGATCAGTGGTGTTAAGAGAACATCAAAATACTCTTTGCAGAACATTACCAAATTACCAGATGACTGACAGTTATCGTGACGTGGACAAACCTGTTGCTTTGATCCTGAAACTTTCATCTTCTTACCGCTGTAATTTCTTTAACATTCTCACTGTGTGGTCACTTCGGTTTTGATGACATGTAATCGATATATTAATATAAATATATTCCGTTTAATATTAAATCCCTCTAACATCCTTGAACCTACAGGGGCGTTTGTCAAATACAGCCTACAACTGGCTCTTTTGAACATGGTTACATTTGGCCAGACACTTGTGGTAGGTCGTATTACAAATTTAAATTAAACTCTTTCAACAGAATTTAAGTTGGGGGGATGGGGGGGCTTTGATATTTAAATGGGTCAGAATAATAACTTAGTAAGAGTTCTATCTGTCTGTCGTGATTTTGTTTTAAAATATTAACAAAATTTAATGCACTCCATGTTTCATTGCAGCTTTTCAGTCGATGCCAAATATTTATGAGATTATTTTATTATCAAAACGAATTTTACTGTCGGCGGCATTAGCACAACTTTCAATGCTGATTTTATTTGTTTTCCCAAACATTTTAAGATCAGCGGATCAGCAAACCATGTACAAAAAATGTTAGGCCTTACAACGAAATCGTTAGGATCACAGACAATGAAAAAAGGGCCCAGATTCCTTGTTTCTAGTCAGTGAGGGGACGGTCGGGTAGCCTAATTGTTAAAGCGTTCGCTCGTCGCGCCGAAGACCCGGGTTCGATTCCCGAAATGGGTTCAATGGGTTTCAGTTTAACTCCGAGGAGTCCAGTACTTGTTTTAGCCCCTTGATGCCGAGATCCAGGCTGGGTAACAATAAGTACCATCCTTTAACGTCTTTGGGTATGACGCGGCCGGGAATGTTATCCCCAACCTTTCGGCTTTCTCAGGATGATAAAGACAGTGGATAAGTTTCGATTTTATTTAAACAGAATTTTAGTTATACCACCTCATGTCGTTAAAGCCCGAAGCAATGCAGGTGTTAGACCATACAACTTTGATGAAACCCACAAGCAAGGGTATGGAATCAGGATCTGAACCCATGATAAAAAAATTCTCGCATATCTAAGGGAAGCAATTCTACATAAATTAGACCATACCTGCCCCTTTGTCAATTATTAAGAAATATTCAGTGGTTAAGAGTCAATATTTGTTTGTTTGTTGTTTAACGCTGCACTCAGCAATATTCCAGCCATATGACGGCGGTCTGTAAATAATCGAGTCTGGACCAGTCAATCCAGTGATTGACATCATGAGCATCGATCCATGCAATTGGGATACGATGACATGCATCAACAACTCGCCCAGCCAAGTTAGTCGCCTCTTACCACAAGCATTGTCACCTCTTATAACAAGCATGGGTTGCTGAAGACCTATTCTATCCCGGATCTTCAAGGGTCAGACAGTCAATAATAAAGTATCAATGATGGAGAAACACAGCACAAACACACAACCAATGTTATACAAATATCTTTATTGCCATTAGTGTGTTATATGTGTCTATTTCACAGTAGGCTCGGGGGTGTAGCTGATGCTATTTTCATCTAAGCTCCATCTAGAGTTATTTTGAAAACTAAAAGCCTGCTGTAGCTGTGCCTATACAATAATGTACAACATAGCAATAATCAGGCTTGTAGCACAACCTGTGAAATAAGGATCACAATGAGGGTTTTCATCAAGAAAATTATCATCAATTAATCTTATCGTAACAACAGATATATACGTCATAGGTGATATATGTCTTTTACCAAGTTTTACTGAGAACTTACAAATCTTAAACCTGAAATAAAGAAGATCATTCATTCAAATATCCTTATGTGAAATATATGTACCTATTTCATGAACATAAAACAGGTATATTACATGAGAAAAGCGTTTTGCTAATATATGCTTAAACATACAATGAAAAGACTTTTAATGCACCTAATGTAACTGACTGGTTCTGGTCTGTTCTTGAACAGTTTCTTCAGGTGTTACATTCACTAGAGCTTACAAAGAGAACCCACTTCAGCAACCCGTACCTTAAGACAGTTTCTTTGATGACTACACCAACTTAAACATTACAGTATACAGAAAACAGTTCAGTAAGATCTTCGCTACATTTCAAAATGAGATATCTATCACAACAAAATTCCACGAAGAACCACAGTAAAAGTGTTCATACAACAGGAGGAGCACAACCAAAGTACAGTGATATCACAACTACCTCCAATTAAAGCATTATGGAATCTGATAATCAATATTTCGTTAATGTATATTTGTACTATGAAAACCCAATCAAAGGGGGACAACTCTGAAAGATCTATATTGGCAAGAATGAAGTATATCTGTGAAGTTTCAAAAGCTATGGGATACAATACATTAATTCCTCTAATAGAAGTGATGAAAAGATGCACAAAGGGCAGCCTTAGATTGAAAGTTGTTTTTACTAAATAAGGGCAATGCCCAACCATGGCCCAGTCAATATTAACATGTATACTTAAAGTGAAAAATATAAACTGCTATAATTTAAATATGTGATTTAACCCTAATAATATGCCCATACTTGATTGAAAAAATAAATTCTTGAAAGTATTTTATTTCTACCACTGAATTCTACATTACAGAACGAGCAATAAATTTGTATATACATACTTACAATAATATTTTCACTGGCATCATAGATAAAACACATCAATCTTGACTAAAACAGCTAATATACTTCATAAATGATCATATATAGAAAAAATAATTATTCATAATTATGAGGCAACAAAAGGATGATAATTACAAAAAGGCAGCATCAGAGCAATGATATGTATGAAAAGTAAAAATTAATAATTCACAATTTTTTATAATACAATAGCTATCATTTTAAGTTGGTTCAAAGTAGAAGCAGCTCTCTAAAACTATAAAATCTAGCAACACTGATCAGATCAAAATGTGTCGTTCAAACGTTTCTGTACAGTTAGACAATAAGTTACTTGCTGCATTAACAAAAGCATTCACCGTCTAGTCCATCTACCTACCTACTCTGTGTTGCTATATTACGATTTAATTCAAATATTCTGACTATTTGTCACACGACCTAAGCATGGCACAATTGAAACTACATAGAGTTGATGGTAAAGACATTACCATCATTACCCATGTGTGTAGTTTTCTCGATATGTTAATGTTAACAAATAAAATGATCTTATGAAGTCCTGTAACCTTTACTTTTTGATTCTAACAGCCATTATATTTCCTTGAGAGATATGTACATAATTGATGACGTTGCAAACTAAACTATTACACAGTCTCATTGAAATGAGATCTTAGTTCTGGCTACTGCTAAAGAAAGACCTTTCGACATCCCACTACGGGTCACATCAGAACGACTCATCAGAGCGTTGCTTACCAGATCGGGAAAGTGATAGTTGGTGTTTGTTTTCTAATCCTGCAACCTGTAAGATAACACGGTCTTCTGAACGATGGGCTTTACGATATCTAAGGACGGATGAGACTTTCCATAGCCATGGGAAGTACTGCCATATAATGTCAGCCCTCTGACGTTCCAAAATGTTCTTTTGTTCAGTTTTCAAATTTTGAATCGAGAACTTTGTCAAAATGTAGTCTGGAATGGAAGTTGCAAGTTTGAAACTAGTGCCATAAAGCTTGAGAGGGCTGCTTTCTGATTGGCTAATGTTGATTTCTTGTGAGTCATTTCATTTGTCGGTTAAAGATTGCGAAAGGTATTCTGTTATGACCTGTAATGGGTTGTCCTAAGATCTTTGTGTAGCAGTAGCAAACACTTTGATCAAATTTTAATGAGATTCACTATTTCATTGATATCGTGAAGATAAATATTCACGTTTCTCCAAACAATAGCTTCCAAATACAAAGCAGCAATCCACACTGACCAAACTGAGGCAACTGATAGCTGACATGTGAACAATGAGTACACACAAAGCATATGCAAGTGAGTGAGTTAATGTTTAACATCCCATTGGCAATATCACAGCCAAATAGCGACCGTTTAGTATATGCAGTACATATGAAGACAGTTACAGAAGTATGATGAGTGAGTAACTGCTTTGAACATTATATCAGTAAGTGTGTCGGCTTGTTGTGAAAGGGGACCCCATGACACAGGCTGCAGATGCTTACCCCCTGGTGTAACCCATGTACACTGGTATGTGGTGACAAACCAAGGATCATCTTCAACATGATTCTGGCATTCAAACCCTGGATTGCCGCAGATGTTAACCACTTCGATTGAACCCATGACAACCAGGGTGAGAACCAGAGTGAATCTGGGCGACAATCTGCGAATCCTGTCATGCATAAGGGATGCAACTCTGCTTCAAGTGCTGGTGTGCATTTGATCACTGGTATGAAGGAGATGGCAATGTACAATGTGATTAATACACAAATCATGACTTCCCTTTGTTTAATAACTGATGATCTGAGAAACCCAAACCTATGGTTACCATGGTTAGAATCAGCTATAATCATTAAAAACACGCTATTCTACAGCTGTACAAAATGAGTTTACAAAATGGTCAGGTTAGAAATAGCACATTTGTCCTGTAAAAATATATATGTATACTTATAGAACTGCTATTCATTCCAAGTTTAGGATACCGGTATGATTATATATATACTATCTACAGCAATACATCAGACAGATGGGGCAAAAAATGCAATAACAGGATAAAGTGGTATACTGTTCTACTGTACATACACAGAATGTAGAACATTGTTCTATTGTGAATACACACAATGTAGAAAGTTACTTGTGTACAGGAATATACACAATACTTCCAGTTTCTGTAATGCTTTGTGAAGGTTAAAAGAACCAAAACTAAGATCACATTTTGCTCTCCTTAATATTTGCATGTGATTAATTAGTATGGCATTCATCAATATTAAATGTTACAGATATATTGTCAGTACTTCAAGGGTATAGGTACACGACATTCCTCCATCACAAGTGAATACAGACTTTGCCTGATATGTGGTGTAACATCAATGCATGCCTCATTTAGTCAGGTAATGAAATGAGTTGGTGTGCAACTCACCGAGCTTTCAAGGCAAATCCTGGCCTGATATTGAAGTGATATGGAGGGCAGAAAATATGGGTTATGGGACATGTTGCACACAATGCCAAGTAACAAACATTGTCATTTGTGTTGTAGAGCAAGCACCCATTGGTCTGAGAGATAGGTCGATTTGTTTTTGTTTGTTTGTTCGTTCTTTAACACCGCACTCAGCAATATTCAAGCGGTCTGTAAATAATCCAGTCTTGACCAGACAATCCAGTGATTGACATCATGAGCATCAATCCATGCAATTGGTTTACAATGATATGCATCAACAAAGTCAGCACGTCTGACCACTCGATCCCGATAGTTGCCTCTTACGACAAGCATAGTCGCCTTTTACAGCAAGCATGGGTTGCTGAATAACTTTCTACTCCGGATCTTCACGGGTCATGTCAATTTGTTGTTCAATTTGTTGCCGAATTAGCGAGTACACTGAAATGCAGGGATAGGCACCATTGTTTATATCCAACTAGTCCACAGCTCATTTAGGACAAGAAGTTAATGTAAAAAAGCTTCAGTTTTGGAGAAACAACTAGTCCCTCTACATTTTCACTGGTCTCAGGCAGACAACTGGCGCTGTTTATTGCTGCAATCGGCCGCATGTACTCATTGATGATGGAGGAGCATTTGTAAACCAACCCTTGAAGTACTGACGATGGAACAGGTGAGGCTACACGATCAAGGTAGAAACAGGACCACTTACACCAGTGGAAGAATTCAATTCAGATAGGACTCCATCTTTGGTTAAAGCCATGGGCATGTCTCTACAAGGAGTGTCACTTATTTATTATTCCAATGAGTTATCAACTTTAAGGAAGCTGACATCATATGTGCAGCTAAATAAGTTCATGTTTCCAGATATCTTTTAACTTCCATACAGTACATATAGTTTAGATATTTCAAAACCATCAGAACTATAAATGTAATTCTTTTTTAAAATCCCAAACAGCCCAGCTATTAGATTCAATTCTTCTATCATTAAATATTGATACAAAAAGATTATATCTTACAATACACATCAGAATGTACTCTGGGAATGTCTTTGAAATACATCTTTGATGTATTCAGTTTCTAAAGAAACATTATTTTTATCACACCACCAAAGATAATATTTTGCAGTCCTGAAAACAAAACACTTTCACATTTGATAACATAATATCGTAATCTTCATTTTAACCTCACGTGAACTAAATTCATACATAAGATACATATTATGTTTGAGATGTTAAGAAAATAACTTTGGTTAACTCTATCGCAGGTTATAAGTCTTGGCTATAGGAGTATTTTGATCATCAAGGATTACAGCATACAATGCTAATATCAAGACATGAAATTAGGAAATTCTATATACACATTACTTTTCACAGAGATTATGAACAAGGAGTTGTAAATCTGTCATGAATGTAACGCACCACAATCACCTGATGACAACTTACGATCATTTCCCATCACTGAAGTCAGTTAATTAAATTTTGCTCGGATATGTGCGCAAGATGGGATCAGTCCAAATGGTGTTGGTGACGGAACATTTCTTAAAGATTGATGGAATGATCTGTTGCAGGACCTCAGCACTACTGCGCTATGCTGCGCCGCACAGCAGAGCTCACTGGCAATGATTCACATATCAAGACGGAACTAGGATGAAAATTTAAGACACTTAGTACAAGAGAAATGCTTAAATCGAATGTGTTTATCAAAATATTCCTGTAAAATCTGGACTGGTTTGCATAAGGTTGTGCGATTTGTTGTCAAATAGCACTGCTGTATAAAACCAAGGCAAGATCAACGACCATGATTTGGTTTTGTTAAGATATTGCCATACTTGCATACTGGGCTGTGATTGTCGTACTGCTCACAAAACAACACTTTTTGGTCCTATGATGGTCTACACGCCGTACAGACACGAAGCACAAATTGGTCAGGTTGAGATTGCACCTGTCACATTAAATGTTTAACAGACGTTTACTCGCTTTTATTCCTAAAAATGTAGCAAGTGCCATTGTTTTTCTTCATATTATTGACCATGGTCCAATTTGATAACACGACCTTAGTGCAAAGACTGTCATAAGTCTATCATTAAAGTATGGGAATTACGATCGTGTTAGCATTAAGATCGCTTGGTCGAATGGGGCCCTGTTCATCCCAGGTCAGAGCAATGTTCCACAAAGCCATCTTAGCCCTATGTCTGTCGTATGTCTAGAGTTACGACTGTCTTAGCGCAAGATCATTTTGCTGAATGGGGCCCAGGGCATTTGGTCATCTACCGAAAGTCAATAAGTGACAAAATATCAGCCATGGTCAAGCCATGATAAAATAACATTGTTAATTTGATAAAATATAATTATTAATTCACATTGACTTAATCGTGTTATCTTTGTTCATGTTGTCGCAGGTATTTGTACAAACCGTGAACTTGAATGTACACAAATCATGGTCTTTTAATGGGCGGAGTGCAGTGTTATCATGTAGGTGAAGTCTTCATGGATGGAATAGTACAACATGTTGTGAATACAAAACAAATATCCATTTTCTTTACTTTCATAGCAAGTTATCATGTATTTCAAGGCACACTCTGTGACACCAAGTAGTCCACAGTTCTTTGTTGCATAAACCATACTTCATCAGATGTGTAGAAATGTAAAAAAAAATGTGAAACATCAAATCGAGGTATCCATGAAAATGTGGTGATTTGCTTCCTATGTTGAGTTTTGACAGAGCTTACGTTATTGCAGTCGAGGGCAATGGAAACTAATTAACTGTAATTAAGTAGATTTTTATACAGGATACACAGCCCTCTTCCTGCGTAACTTACCATATCTCATGTACCAGTGCTGGAAATAAAGTGGGATCCTGGGGTCCTTGTCATTGGAATCTAGGGACCCTGTCATTGGAATCTAGGGACCCTGTCAACTTTGAACATCAGGGTTACAAAAAGGACACTTTCATGCCTAAATTGTAACTGCATGTACATTTCTTGACAACAGTATGTACAGAACATCATGTTAAACACTGTACAAGGACTGCAAGAGTACAAATGGCAGTCACTGTACAAGGACTGCAGGAGTTCAAACAGTACCCATGTAGTCATATTTGGACTACAGTTTGGACTACAATATATATCTACAGTTGCTCCCTCTTCACTGACTGTCCACCCCAGAGTCCTATCATCTAACCTTTGTTCTTGACTTCATAGTCTTCGTGACAAATGAGAATGATAACATGAAATCATCGTCTGCAGTTCTCTTAAAAACACATCCGAGTAATACTTTCAGTTCACACTGAGCAAGGTTTTGTTTATGCCCTTTAATTCTCGAACCTAAATGAATCTGAACCCTTTTCTGTAATCATGACACACAGCTGTCTTCAATATATCCTCTTCTGATACACCTTGCAAGCTTACACAATACAGGTTATGTAAAACACAGCCCAAAGCCTTCAAGTTCTCAGCATGCTGATAATTGTTAGAAACACACACCCCATACAGTCCATTTACTAAGATAGGGTTACACCACAAGTCTGTAAGCTGGCATATATGGATGTATTTACAGAAAAGGGGTATTCTGGAAGCTGCTATGTCAAAGCCTAAACTCACAACAGGGTTAGGCACAACCTGCCAGGAACACAGGATTAAGATATCTGGTAGATGATGCAAGGAGCTTGAAACACAGACTTGGAACTTCAGCATGGGCTGTTCCTTAAACTCCTCATCAAGGGCATCAGACATGATGGAGGGCCTGCCTCACGTAGGAACGGGTGTTGCATCAGCTCGGCTGCGGTGGCTCTCTGGGTCGGGTCGCGCACCAACATCTTGTCCAGGAAGCCTTGAAGCCTTGGAGAAACCTGGCAAGCAGATTCAAACATAAGGTGAGGTGAGGTGAAATTGGGTTTAACGTCGCCTCCAAGATTATTGCACTTATATAGTGACGTGCATGCACGTGTGTGTGTGTGGCTGCTTGTACTAGTCCGGACTGATGCCGATTTATAGTGCTAGCTCACTGAGATACCATGCCGCAGTTTAACATGAATACCCCACTCAGACACAGTGTACTGACTCCGAGCCGACCAGTCCTTGTTTTAGCCCCTTAATGCCGAGCGCCAGACAGGGTAACAACAAGTACCATCTTTTAACGTCTTTTGGTATGACGCGGCCGGGGATCGAACCCCGGACCTTCCGCTCTCCGGGCGGACGCTCTACCACAAGACCGCGGAGGCGGCTCAAACATAAGTGTTTGTTGTGTATGATTGAGTTGCTGAATGAATGTTGTTTGACATGTTTAATGTATTGTACGGTATTCCAGCCCCATCATGGAGAACTTATCCTGTCTACACCAAAGAAATCTGTGTGTGAGTGAGTATGGTTTTACGCTGCTTCAGTGAATATTCCAGTAATCATCACAGCAGGAACACTAGAAATGGGCTTCACACATTCCCTTGCTATTTATTGCTGTGATTTGAAGTTTGGCTCTAAAACTTTTTCCCATAAGGGGAATCAAACCCAGATCTTTGGTGTGACAAGTGAATGCTTTAACCACTAGGCTACCCTGTGAACAAAAACATGAGCAGCTTTAGGGTACGAAGACAGGCAATCAGTCAAGTCACAGAGCTTGACCACCCACCCTCCTGTTTTAGCTGATGCTTGTGACAAGCATGGGGTAATGAAAAGGGACCAAATCTGACCTCGAATCCACAAAGGTTTAGAAATGACATTTGAGTGAGTGAGTATGGTTGTACGCCACTTTTAGCAATATTCCAGCAATGTCACGGCAGGAAATGGAAATGAAATTTGAATGGACATGGGAGCACATCAGTTGTAACATTGTTTTAATGGTGGTCATATGTGCCTTACTTTCTGAAAAAGAAAAGCTAAGTAAGTAATATGTATCTAAAAAAAACATATTGTTTCACCGACTTTGTGAATTACATCAGTAACACAACAGCTATCTTTCAACAAATAATTATTTAATAATAAAACACTAGAATAATGATGGAAGGTTGGGTTAAAACTATTAACTGCTGCAAACAAGAAGTTTGGTCATTATAACATTAGCAATTACCAGAGCAACAGCTTCTTTGGCGATGACTAGCCAAGGGAAGTAACTGTGGATTTAATCGTAAAATATGCATAGACCAGGTTATTTTGTCACCTTTCTGAAACAATAAGGGGCCAGAAAGGGTGTTAGTGTCCTCTCACCTTGTGCGTGTTCTTCAGTTTTGGGGGAGGCATGTCTCTGATGCGCCTCATGGCTTGCAGAGGGGGTTCGTTGAAGAATGGTGGTTCTCCATCTATCATCTCGATAACCATGATGCCCATGGACCAAATGTCCACCTGCACAATCACACGAAACATCAGTCAGTCAGTGAGTCAGTCAGTGAGTGAACTAGGATTTGTGCCAATGATCATCGCATTCTGGCACGCCTTAGGGGTGCAACTCACGGTAAATTGTGTTCCACTTTTACACGCCTGGGCAAACCGTACCCACACACCAGTTCAGTACAAAATGTGATTTGATACTGGAACGTCCTGCCATGCTGATCATATCAATTTAAAGAAAAAGATCTTTATCTTTAGCCATGCTGATCATATGTATTTTAGAGAGAAAGACAATTTCTCTTGATATCTGGTAAGTTGATATAACATAAGGTCCTGACATAACAATGACATAACAATTTGATCCGTAGCCATGCTGATAATATGAATTAAAAGTGAAAGGACATTTCCCTTGATCTCGGGTAAGCTTGTTTGTTTGTTTGTTGTGTAACGCCACACATGGCAATATTCCAGCCATATTATAGCAGTCTGTAAATAATTGAGTCTGGACAAGACAATCAAGTGATTCATATCATGAGCATCGATCTACGCATTTGGGATACAATGACATGCATCAAGCAAGTCAGCGAGCCTGAACGCCCGATCCCATTAGCCACCTCTTACGACGAGCATAGTCAAGCTCGAGTTGCTGAAGACCTGTTCAAACCAGGATCTTAACTTAGGTACAAGCATGGGTAGACGAAGACCTATTCTAACCCGGATCTTCACAGGGGTACAAGCATGAGCTGCTGTAGACCTATTCCAACAGTAATCTTCACGGGGGTACAAGCATGGGTTGCTGTAGACCTATTATAAACCGGATCTTCACAGGGGTCTTGATGCACAAAGGGTCTAGAATATTTTCCTTAAACTTTAACTATTTTACAGCACCATTAAAGTCACAGTGATGTAAGTTATTTATTCACTATGCTGACAAGATAGCACATGGCTAATTCTATCAGATGAAATAGATGCATGTCAAGTCCACAATTTGCCTTACCTCTGGGCCATACGGAAGGCGGGATATTACTTCTGGTGCCATCCAGTACGGTGTTCCTACCAGCGACTTCCTCTTCTGAAGCTCCATAGTAACTTGAGCACAGAAACCAAAATCTGACAGTTTCACCTGAAATTTAAGGCATATTGTGAGTGAGGTTCCGACTTATTTCAGTTTTCAAATGGCATGACCACAGCATGATGCTACAGGCTGGATGCATCAATCTACAGACATGATTAATAATATAACTCAGATTAACACCAATCCGAACTTACTTTTCCATCATGTGACAGCAGTATGGAGTCGGACTTGATGTCCCGATGGATGACCCCGTGGGAGTGGAGGAAGGCCAGGGCTTTCAGACAGGCCCGACACACTGTTGCTATCTGCACCTCGTCCATCCTGGCAACAAAAGCATGCTACACATACTGGCACAGTACATCAGCAAAACACACAATGTTGATGCTTTATTCAGTTATAATATGGGCAGAGAGTGTAAGTACTAAAACATAAGTTATCAATACAGTTCAGTTTGTTAGAGTTCATCTGACAGTCTGACGACTGATTCTTTTTACACATTGTAAAACAAGTAGGGGACATAACTCTGTACTGGATGATGCAGTATCTTAAACTACTGGGCCAAGTCCCTTGTCATTATGTCCAAATGTTAGCAGTCTATTTGTTCTGTGAATAACTCATCCACTGAGAATTATTTTTCAGGCCATAAGGTGTTCATGGCAGTTTTTAACACTGAAAATCCTTTTAAAACCCTTCTCAACATTTAGTTAATGAGAAAACCAACATTTTCAACAATTGGATAGTAAAAACATGAATTTTTAATGCTTTATGACTTATGTTTCTGATAAACATAAGATCCCGCTGTCCTTACCTGCTGTGTGTGACAATATCGGTGAGCGCCCCTCCTTCCATGAACTCCATGACGACCCACAGCTCATCTAGCACTAAGTAACTGTTGTACATATCTACAATGTTGGGGTGATGGTAGTCTCTCATCACAACCACCTGTAGCACAAGGAACAGCATCATGGAGACCATCTTGCATTAACTTCTGTCATACATACAGCCCTAGAAATATTTTTTGAACAATAGTCCGGAGGACAAGTGGTAACTTTTCTTCACAAGTCCTCATATTTTGTAGCTAGTCCTGCTTGAATGAGACAAAGATGTTGACTGTGTTTACTTGTTTCTGTCAGTTTTATAAAGTTCCAATTTGTGCAAAACTGAAGCATTTAGAACTGGTTCAGAATCACAGCCCTAAAATGCTACTATGAGGACTACCAAAACTGGATTTTAACTTGTCCTCAACAAAATTCAGTAGTCCTGGGCTGTACATACAACAACTCTCATGACATACATGAAATTACATTAAAGTTTCACTTAAGGATTGCTGTCTGGTGCAGAGTCGAATCAGTGTCCAAACTTAAGCATGAAAGTCAAGGGATACTTGTCATAATGTTAACTGTTTAGGACTTACATAGTGAATTATTCACCCAAGATTCATATACCTTGCACTGGTAGACACCGCTGAACATGTTCAACTAGACCCCAACCCATTCCAGACTAGTGGCTTATGTAAAACACTTCATTTCGGGAAATAACAACTAGTTCCTCTAGATTTTCACTTGTCTCTGACTAACAGACAAGCAGTCGTGTCTAACTCTGAATAGCGCCGGTAGACACCATTGAACATGTTCAACTTGTCCCCAACCCATTCCAGACTAGTGGCTTATGTAAAACACTACATTTTCAGGAAGCAACAACTAGTTCCTCTAGATTTTCACTTGTCTCTGACTAACGGACTTGTAATCATGTCTAACTCTGCTTGGCAGAAAAAACTGATGGACTGTCTAACTCTGCATAGCAGGGGGGGGAAAAGGACCCCAGGGCCACCCTTAATTTTAACACTGCTAATCATCTGCAGACAGATTTTGAACCAGGGATTCATACTTGGATCCATTTCAGTATTGCCAGGATAACTCAATATATATTCTGGCAAATATATTCAATACAATGTCGTCCAAATTGACCTATGATTGACAATCTCAGTCAGGCGAGATCCTATACACTAAATCTATTACCGGGTATTCTCATTCATGATTACTATATGTTCGGTCAAAACATCAGGTCACTAACTCCAAGTATCTTGTAACCGTAATCTAAAGATGTCACAAGCTTTCACACTGCTCTCAGAATGTACTTTCTGTAACCTTCTGTATCCTTTATATACCATCATCTATTAAGGTAAAACCTTTATTAAAAAATCACTTGTACATTACATGCAAGCAAATTTCAATCACGGCTTTGAAAAAATCAAAAAATCACAACTAGACTTGCAAATAACCCTAGCAACGATCAAAACATTTATCTGTTTTCCAGTGTATTGTAAAAGGTGACAATATGGCCTGTTCTGATGTTTCACGTGGCTGTCACAATCAGGCAAATTTACACAAGGGAAACATGAATTACACACCTCATTAAACAGAAGTTCTCTTCTCTGTTGTTTTCTCAGATCCATCTTTTTAACAGCAACCTGTTGGGCTCGGGATCGGTCGTTGGCGATGCACACAATACCTGTTGAACCTTCTCCGATCTTGACAAAGTCCGACAAGAATTCACGAGGATCACCGGGTGAAACCACCATTTGCAGAGCATTTCGGAACTAGAAATAGTAATGTCAGAAATAAACATCCATCTCTCAGCCATTGTCCATATCTGATAAAGGCTATAACACTTCAACAAGAACAAATGATTCTGGTGATGCTAAGGTTTTGCCTTCACCAAACTCACTCGGGTTAATTAGTGAGTAAGTGAATGAGTGTGGTTCTAAGCCAATTTCAGAAATATTCCAGCAATATTATGGTGGATATGGACAAATATGAGCTTCACTAATTGTACCGATGTGAGGAATCGAACCTGGTCCTTTCTACATTTATATACATTCAGTTAAAACAAATTTCAGTATGCATGTACAAGTTCAAAGTTGATGTTTGTCTTCATTTGATATGTACCCAAGTATTCTTCATATTTGTTCAAAGCATGGAACAGTATTCTTCCACACTGTCAAATCTTCAGGCATGACAAATGAAAGAATTTATATAACAAAAGTTTTATCAACATAAAAAAGATGACATAAAACCCATATCATGATATATAAAATGCATAACAGAATTTGGATTGGCTTAACTGCTTTCCAGTCAAGACCTCTATCTGATTGGAGGTCAATCTAGTTTAACACTTAACGCTTAAGGCTCCTAAAATATCAGAAGATGCAAGGGAGAATGAGAACATTAATTGATACATGAAACACGGAACCACATATGGGAAAAGGAGTGCAATATACAGAAAAAAATGTTATGTTTACACCACAGATTTCCAAACACTTGATTAAACTGACATGAACAACATACTGACAAGATTATTGTGACACTGGATCAGGTGTGGTTAATGCATGGACAACATAACAAGTCAAGGCGGACTGAACATGCAGTCTCACATCAAGGTCCTAAAGTTTACACATGCAATGTAATGCCAGTTAGGTGTCAGAAGCAGAGAGCAGTTGGATAAGCTACTGAGTGATTTCGTGTACTCTGTCTGTGTGCTCTGGTTACCAATTGGACTTGTAACATATTTTTTTAAATCTGTTTAATCAGTTGTTTTGAATCCTTATGAAAACAACTAAGGATTTAATATTCTAGGACATTTATTTATTGTTATCCTAAATATCCCATTTTCTTTTAAACATCGGTAGCGACATCGATAGCGACATCGATAAAACAATTACATAAAAATGAGATAAAATTCTGAAAGTACTCTTGATCATAATGTCAAATATCTCAAACAAATTCATTGCAAGTAAGAGATATTTCTAAAAATTGGTGAAAGGAATGAAATAATATGAATTAAAAAGGGCAAATAAGATGCTGTTGAGCATCCCCTTAAAATGTAGAAAGAGGGCTATAAAAATTGTCAAAAAAAACCCAAGAAATGCCATTCAAAGACTTGATAAAAATTGTCTGTCTTACCGGTATTCACATAAAATAATCAATACCTCATTTGTGTGACAACACACTCAAGGTATAAAACTCGTATCACACACAGTGAGAAGGAAATAACAAGTGGTGACGGGCAAACCTGCTCATGTGAAAGTCGCTGCTGCTCTGGGCTGGGTCCTGGCTGCTTGCTGTGGGGCGGGGACTTGCCGCCTGGGGGTGAGGGCTTCTGATTGGGCGAGTGAGGGGGGCGGTGTATGTGCTGGCTGTTGTTTGGCTTATTAGGGGACTGGTCACCCTTGAGAGAGAAAAGAGGGTGGCTAGTCTAGCAGCGTTACATGCACAAATACATGCAGGAATGTGACAAGCATACAACCGACTGTTAATAGGCTGCAATGATTCACTTCTTCTGGAAAGACCACATAACATGCCATACTGATACAGACAGTCCACCCCTCATTTCGGACTTGGCGTATGTAACTTAACGATCATTTGGGAGAAAACTAGTCCTAGATTTTCACTAATCTCCAAATTAGCAGACTAGAACCCATGTCAGGGTTAGAACTTAACACTAACCCACTAGCCCCGGGGCAGTGCAAATTCCTGTGGGCTAGTACAAATATCCAAATTTCTCCATTGTTATAAGGGCTTTTTATCTTTACCCAGGGTAGCAAATGTTTTGAGTTCAGTTTTAACCCTGCATGTCAAATCTTTGTCGCGGACATGCTTAAGAAATTCATTACCATAATAAAAAAAATAGATTGTTGATTGGGCTCATGGTTCAATTCGGAAACTAAGTGAATCATCGCTGCCTTAATTGTTTTAATTCTAGTAGATATAATGTGTTACACCTTGAAGTTTGGTTTAGACAAAAAGAAACACAAATCCTTGTGGACTGTACTTCACCTATGCTCCCCCCGATTGTTTACATGTACATAATGTTCCATTAAAGCAAGGAGAGGGAGGACAGTGGTTGCTGGTTGTCAAATCTCATGCAACAGATGGATCAACAAGGACTGAACATAGGAGGGTGTGTTGGGAGCTGTTCATATTTGCTATCATCATATATTTAAGATCAGTGAAAATATTTGCAGATGGGAAAAGCTTAGGAAAAAAAAAGCAACGTTATCAAAAAAGATATTTGAAAAGAAGAATGAATCTGCTCGTAAAACAATTCATTTTCAAGACTTTCGGTAAGAACCTGAAGACTGGAGCAGATCCGTTACCATGGTTATGGAGCTCCCACCACTCCTTCAAAATTACCAAGAGATCCCAATGACATGAAGAAATCAGAAACTAAATTATTGATGGAAATAGGGATGAATTCATCAGTAATCCAGCCACTCCCCCTCTCCTCCCCCATGCAAAACAATATGGAATGAGCAAAACATAACACAGGGACATAAAGTAAAGTAAATCCTACAATCTAACATGACTCAACCAAATTTCAATATCTTAATTTTGACATGAACAATGACAGTAAACTGCAGTTTAATTAACAGTAAGTGCAATATGCATGGTACAATTCATGTCAGTTTGCCATGAATACAAACTCAGATCCAGTGTAAACACGTCAAACCAACTGAACAAACTGTCCAGTGAAAAAAACCCATGTTCACTGATCAAGAATATTGATGACACCTCCTCTAGATTCCCCATCAATCAATTAGCAGTGAGGACTAGTTTGTTCTACCAGGTCCACTGTCAATGTGAAATGTAGCTGGAAATTACAGCAATGGACATCACTTTGACAAAGACATACCGATGTTGATTACAGGATCAATCAAGGCTGAAGCAACAGCAAATACCAAACTGGGAATGTTATGCTCGTGTTATTAACAAACTGCAGCAGTTTGGTTAGTTGCCACTGAGTTCACACATTCACAATGCACAAAACAAATCTCAACAGCACCTTCCCAGCCAATGTCAACCTTCATTTCCAACTAGCCATATGATGAAAGGGTGATGTAATGAAATAAGGGCCTCGCTTTAATGGACATGAAAGAACAAGGCAAGAGCAAAAATCAGAATCAATTTTCACGATGTGACGATCTGACAGTCAGCCATTTCAGATCCTCTAAAAGAATTCGTTAGGGTCATAACTGCATTTTGTCAGGAAATATTCCTTTGATCAATGATAATTAACATGATGAGGGTTTTTTAAAACTGACACAAGATTACACTTATTTCATGCATGAAGTGAAATTGAAAAGGAGGACATTGTTCTTATCAAATACAAAACCATATTCTCATAACCTAGAATCAAAAAGTTAAGACTTTTCAACATCCTTTTCTCTGAAAGAAATTACCACCAAAAGCAGGAAAAATTGTCAAAATATTTTTTTCCATTTCTACATGCTCTATTTGAACATACTGAACAGTAATGTGTCAAGAATGACCTTTGTAAGGCATGTTTCCTAATAACTGCAGGGGTTTAGAAAAATATATTACCTACCTACCCTGTTTTAAAAGTTAGTGTGATCGGACAACACATAAATTTTGTGAGGGGTTAGTAGCAATGGATTGGCATTCTGATACTTTCTTTCTAAAAACAATTATTTTCTCAAAACACTTAAGATACAACAGACTTCCTTGCTCTCTTGTCCCACAAGAAGTCAGTTTCACAATGTCTTTGCTGGCTCTACGATACACTGACATATTGGATTGCTGGCATTTGTGGTTATGTTTAAGGTTTTCACGTTGTTGTTTGTTTAGTTTTTCATACTTTTATTTGTTTTGGTTTTCATGCTGTTGTTTGTTTAGGTTTTCACACATTAATTTGTTTTGCAAGTTTAGGTTTTCAAATAGTTTAGGATGTCTGACGGTTATCTGACGAACTGACAGATCATGAGATTACATCATACATATACCTAACTATATTTACTGCAAGAGAATATTGCTAGTATTATAAAATTGATTATCTGGACCTCATATGTCACTGAAGGCGACCAGGAGTCTCAAATTACAAATATACAGCTAGTAATGGATTTGATATTTTCAATCCTTGTAAACATGGTGAAGGTTTCAATAGATTGATAATAACTTCCAAAGATTCTTTCACACTCACAATACCTTGACCATGTTGAATAAAGTTATATCATTTCAGGCTAAACAATAAATAGAAATGCCTGAAAAAGATGTTCTCTGTATATTCTGTTTATGTTGGTCAGTAGAACATCATAATTTTCAGGCAGCGCTATGTAGTGGTTCTCACAACACTGTTTGAAAATCTAACCGTATCGTGGAAGAGACAAGATTTTAACATTTATTAAGAAAATTCAGATGAAGTACCGGTTAAACATCTTATTTGTCAAATATGATAACATTGTTTCGTAATTACCCACATTTTGTCTTCTGTACATTATAGTGGTCTTCAAATAAATTTAATTAGGTTTGAACTCAAGACTGTTTTTTCAGTTTTCACACGAAACTTGAAACCATGATTATACTTGTTCGTACTTTCGTACAACCAGATTTTATCATCATGTGTCAAGAATGCACATCCTACTGCAAATTCGAAATAAACACCATTCAGAGAACTCTGATGTTGTGTGTGAGAGGTGAGCTGCCTGACACCACTATCTGGTGAAATGGATCCCTTCTCTAGCCTATGCTATCAAGTGAAGCTGTAACCAGGCCCATCTCTGTAACATAAACAACACAGACACTTGTGTGGGGTGCTGACCTATTGTTCTAAGCTCTTATGTTACCATGGCCACATAGACAAGGGCTTTTATCAGGAAAGGCCAGGCCCATATTGCTCGCCTCCCTTCCATCCTACTTCAGTGATGCTGGAACTTGGAGTATGTGGAGTTTGGTCACATCCATCATGCTTGTTTATTTGGTTTGGTTTAACCAGCCAAACTGGCACCAGGGTCAAGGTGGATTTGATATATTGTGTATTGTACCAGAGGACATTTGACATTTCGTTATTTATTTGTTTACTTCTGGAAAGGCAGGGTCTATGGCCATGTCATGTTAATATCAGTTTACAGGTCAAAATATCAGACAGATTGGTGAGATAATATCAAACATGTGGGGAACATTAGAATATAGGGACAATATTATTTCAGAATTAATAGTAGTTGGAGGGATTAACAAAACATATATATAGTAGCAAGGAAGTGATCAGTTTTCAGGCACTTCCTGATTGGGATCCGCCCCATGTCGTAGATAACCTACTAGAATGTGCAAGGGGAAAGGTCTTATCTCTGAATATTTGCCTAGGACTTAATCATTACCAATTGTAAGAAGTTTCATTTCATTTACTGAAGGCAAATAAATTTAAACTTATTTTGGCATTATTATTTGCACAAAGGATGGCCTAAGCAATAAGCATGCTATCAAAATCTGAAACTGTATGTTTGGTACTATATGGGCATAATTGGGGAACATTTATCTTTGGACAGTCTGTGTCAAAAACGGTTGAGTTTATCTTTTGACTTAATCATAAACTTTTGACTTAAAGCATAATCTTCTGTAGATATTATTAGACCATTACCAGCTGATATTACCTGACCGAACAGAATATTAATCAACTTGGCTTCTGACAAGTGTTTAAAGTCGCAACTGTTTGGAGTTTGATTATCAGTTTGACGGCTACATAACCAATGATAACATGACAAATCTACATGAAAATAATTTGTAATAAAATATTCCATCAAATAACATGCATATGCTCAACATGCTCAAGGTTGCAAAGTCTTTTTTATCATTATAGCCATGATCATAACATATTATACAGCCACCAGGTATTGATACTTTAAATTCAACATACACCATTTGGGAAACTTTGAAATAAGCATCAGGTCCACTAGCTTATAAACACTAATAAAACATAAATGAAAGCTTAGGTATCCACTGGTACAACCAAATGCATAAAATTACTTTAATCATAAAGTGTTAACATGTACAGTGGTTGTCCTACTGAAACAAGGCTGTGGCAGCTCACAAGACCCTAGTATTTGCAAATGATCAGTCACACTATTTATATAGTTAGTAACAAGGTGATCACAAAGGGCCCTACCACATCAACCTGATTTCCCTCACAAAGTACAGTGTTAAAAGGTACATAAATTCATGTCCACTGAAGCAAGACGTCTTATCACCTTTATGGTGAGTAGCTCTGCCCTGACATCAGGAAAGAGTTCATGACTCCTTAAAACCCATGTCCTGTATATTGTGTTCACCGCCTGTGCATTAGGATAGATCTAGGAAAAGCTGTCTTTTTAAGGGAAATGACTTTTATTTTGCCAAAAATGAGCATTTCTGATTAAATGCAATTTTTTTATACTTACCTGACGCTACACAGTGCTATGGGTGTAGCGTCATTTAAGGTAAAACATGAGCATTTCTGATTAAATGCAATGTTTTTATACTTACCTGACGCTACACCTATAGCACTGTGTAGCGTCAGGTAAGGTAAAACATGGCATCACAATGCTAATAATTTGATATGACATCAGCAAAGCATAAATATCATGAATATATCAAGATTGAAGAAGCATACTATCTTTCACCATGTTTACATTTATAGATTGTGTAAGTTAATGTTTGGCACTCGCAGCAAGTTTGAAGTCTCTGAAATGTTGGTTTTTTTTTTCAAAAATAAAACAAACAATCTAATACATGAATATGCTGTAAGGAGTTATAGCCTCTTCCAACTGACCTATGTCATTTCATTTTATGTTTTTAAAACAGAGATGCAACTTGCTGCTGGCTCACTAGCCTGTGTCAGTTTATGTAATGTTAAAGGTATCCTATTGGCTGGTACAATTTTTAGTGGGTATCCCTACATTTTATCACTAACCAGGAAAGTAAATGTTTCAGGTTAAGTTGTATCCCTACTCATCCATACAGTGATTAATCTTGGATTCCAAACTAAGAATACAAAATTGAGATTTTTCAAGTTATTTTCCCAAATTCAGAGCTATTTTAAAATTGCATTCCGTGAGATCATTTGAAACTAAGCATGAACATGATTAAGTCTCTTCCTCTATCTGTCCTGTTATCAGTGAAACAAGTCACCCCTTCACAACCACAACATGAATAGTAACATGAATTGGGAAGTTATTAATTCCAATTTGGGAATTTTTACTGACATTTCCTGAAGACTAGAGGCTGAATATCGGCCTCTGAACATGTCTACAGAAATCTTTGCCGAAGGACATGAATTGGTCAGGTGCTGTCTTCCTACTTTACAATTGAAGCCTGTTTCTTTATACTGCATGAATATCAAGAAAATAACCATTCCAACAGGTACTGAAAAAAGAGGATGTTAATGAATTGGACAACTTGCTAAAAAATAAATAAAAAATTAAAGACACAAATCCACAAGAATATCTTTTCATGCAACACTCCCAGAACTATGTCACAAAGAAGACAATCAGTGTTGATTAAACACAATGCATAACTCACCCTCTCATAATGCAAGGCAACAGGAGATTTGGGATGTCCCAGTTCAGAGAAGCCATGGGGGTGTTGTCCAGGTCGAGGGGGACTTGTCTGAACTCCATTGTGAAACTGGTGGCGGTCATTGGGGGGACCCCTCCCATCTGGTTGATCGTATCTACTATTTTGTTGGGGCATATCCCTTGGACGATTTCGCTGTTCAAAAGAACTATTATAAGGATCACTGCCGTATGAATTATTCAGTCCTCTGTCATAATCATTTGGACCATTCTGACGACGCTCTAATGTTCCACCTTGAGAATAGTCTCTGGGGTCACGCTGTGGGCCTCGCTGGTCTGGATGGACAAATCTAGGATCCCTTGGATCTCTTGGGTCCCGAGGATCCCTCGGATCCCCCCGATATTCCCGAGGATCACGCATTTCTCTTCGTGGGTCTCTCGGATCCATCCCAGGAGGGAATCGCTCATCTCTCGGATCCCGTTCATGGGGATTGCGCCCGTATTCACGGGGATCCCCTCTGTATTCCCTGGGAGAGTAATCCCTGTTTTGACCATTTTGATCCCGTGGGTATCCTGGGTGTCCTTGAGGGTGCTCGTTGAATCTCCCAGGTGACATCTCATCTTCGGGTACAGGTGGGTGGTCGGCATTTGGTTTAAAGTTCCTTCTGTATGGCGGTGGGCTTTCTCTTCGCAAGGAGTTTGACCTTGCCACACTGATACCACCCCGTGCTGGTGGTAAAAACCCATTTAGATCTGCCTGTGAGTGACCTCGGATGATAGCTTGTGACTGAAAACAAAATCAGAATAGATGCAAATACACATGACCCAATGTTAAACAAAGTGAGGTGGTGGGCGAAATGGGGTTTAACGTAGCATTTACGTGTATATGGGCGTGTGTGTGGCTTCTTGTACTATCCCAGACTAATGCCCAATTTATATCATGTTATATTGCTAAGCCACTGAAACTAGTAGAACGAAAAGTTGTATATTTCGATTATAAGTACTATATTTCTTTATGAAAATAAAAAAAGTGAATACCATGATAAAATTAATTAATTAATGGCTTAATCAAGGCCATGACTAACATGTTATACCTACAAAAATTAAAATAAGGTGGCACTGAAAGTGTCATGGCCAGAAACTATTTTTAAAAAAAACACATTGGAACTAACATTGTAACACAAATATTTGTCAATGTGAACTTTTCCAACAAATATTTATTTAAATTAATCACACATCTGGTAGGAAACACTTGCCGAATGTGGACACATTTGTTGATAGAACGATAATAAAACACTTTAAAACCATTTAAACATTAAATAATCAGGCAACTTGTTTACCTGAAAATGATGTCAACCTATTATTAAAGCATTGAAAACCAGTTAAGAATTAAAATTGAAAGTCAATGAGAACAATCATCATTGAATTTTTAATTGTCCCCTGCACACTTTAGTAGTCTAGGGTTAGCAGACTAGTGCAAATTTCAAAGGCTGGTATGTGAATCTTGGAACTTACGACAAAGACATCAATACTTTCCAGCTTAATTTCGAACACTGTCAACACCCTGTCATCAAATGAGTTAGTTACCTTGAGTGGTTCTATGTCTGTATGCGTGATACTGGAAGGGTCCACTATTGGCCGTGGCCTCTCCTTCTCTACCCCGATGATGCCCGTCCATTGGGCTGGTAGGCCGAAGAAAACACCTTGTTCACTGTCAAAGCCAGTGTGGACACGGTGCTCAAAGTTTATTGGGTCCGAAATTGCAGGCTTTTTCTTCTTGGATTTGAACATGATTATGATCAATAATCAAGTGTCCTGAAAACAAAAAGAAACATTGAATGATGCAGGATTTTATCGTGCCTTAAAAAGAGGGGGTTCCCTGGACCCCCAAAGATTTATTTCAAGGGTCCCTACAGGCAATATGAGGGTCCTGTAAAGTACTTAAATGGTGTAGAGTACTGTACATTTTGATAATTACTTTAGTGCCTGGGATGAATCAAGTATCATGTGGACAGAGGTCATGATGGATGAAATGACAGACACCCATAACTGGTATTGATGGGCTGTAGGTACAACGAATATTATTGTGCATCACTCTGGACGCAGTATATTCTTTTTCTGCGTCCACTCTCAACATTTGTGCGTACTGGACGCACATTAGTGAATTGAATAAACCCCTAATTTAGCCCAGATTTGAACCGTATGCACACCAGATTTTACATACAAACCTCAAGAAACTAATAAGTTTAACAGGGATGGAAAATAGCTCTAACCCCAGACCAGTTTTATTCATGTTAAAGTTATCCTCAGAGTGAGTGAGTGAATATGGTTTTACGCCGCTTTTAGCAATATTCCAGCAATATCACGGCGGGGGACTCCAGAAATGGGCTTCACACATTGTACCCATATCTGGAATCGAAACCGGGTCTTCGGCGTGACGAGCGAACGCTTTAACCACTAGGCTACCTGACCGCCCCTGTTATCCTCAGAACTAGTAGAAATTCAACCATTTAGAGTTTTTAAAAAAATATATGTTACTACTATTCGGGCTTACATTTTTGGTTAATTTCCACCCCTGTTTGAAATCAATTCTTGAAAGACCAATGGTGTTTACACCAGTAAGATGATTGATTTGATCATGTTTATCATTGTTGTTGCTAGAGCTAGCTAAAAAGATTGATAATTGGCATGAGAAGAAAAATTAACAACGATCAATATGAAATTGCTCTTATTGATAAAAACTTCAAGTCGATAATAACATAAACATGATAAACTACTGTGATGAAATAAAGTTTAGATTTCCCGAAAAAGATTTGTTGCTGTCAATCATGTCAATTGTCGAGGAGGGAAAGCAACTGTATGTCAAATGTTATAAGTCAAATGTTCACAAAGTAATCCATGCATGAATGTGTCACTGCTCACCAGTGTGTTTTCTTTCGGGACTTTCTTGCATGTTTCCTAAGAGTTACTTCTACGGTATTTATCGATAATTGATTGATATTTAGTTACCGGTAGCAATTATCAATCTCTATGACCTATATCGATAGCCAGCCCTAGCTGTTGGTACTTGGGTAAATCAATTATCATGATTATCAACCCAGCAATTAGCCATCTCTAGTATATAATTCATATTCGATCTCAGTTCATGTATATATTATATATTGATGAGTATCAACGTATTCTACATGCCCTGTAGGTCACAAAAGTATCAATTGTCATCTTGAACAGTGGCTTCCTTAGTATTCAGTGTAAATAATACTTACAAATATGGGTCAATTTGTGCCGTGATCATCACAGATCATGCTGATCATGTTGATATTGATCATGTAATTTGTGACATCAAACATGAGAGTTTGGACAACAACGACAGTCTATCTCGCTGTACGTGAGCATTAGGGCTGGAACGATACACCAAATGTACGATCCGATACATATCACAATACCTTGCTCACGAACCGACACATATCACGATACTTGCATGTGCACTTGTCTGTGGTGCGTAAGCCATCTTTTTCATAGACAGGATGGCCAAATACCTGGCACACTAATGATAAACAGTTGGCAGTGTCAGGTATGGCGCAATGGATGAAAATATTTACTACTCATTTTCACTAGTAATTAGTGTTTGGTGTAACACAAATTAAAAAAAACATTTAAGGTAAGAATCGATACTTTTCACTTTGTGTTTGACTGTGATCACTACTTGTATCGAGAAGTAAAAATTGGGATCCACTGATGCATTAGTGTATTGTCCCACCACTAGTGAGCATTATGAGTATGGGCTATAACAATTCCATGAAGTTATAGTTTATTGAGCATAAGGAGTCATTGATTGGAAATTGATCACGATATATCCATATATTGATTGATAAATTAATTACTCTGCACTGCATGTGTATATATAGATAAAAGTAACTAATGTAGACCTGCATTTAATCAATATAATGCGCTAATACAAAACAGGCAGAACCATTATTTGTTTCTGTGGGGCATAAAATTGTATAAATAGTATCGATTCATTCAATTTCCTGTATTGTACCTCACTATCACCTCACTATCACGATAGAACCGTGAAGATCCGGGGTAGAATAGGTATTCAGCAACCCATGCTTGCCGTAAAAATGCTATGCTTGTCATTAGAGGAGACTGACGGGATCGGGTGGTTAGGCTCGCTGACATGGTTGATGAATGTCCTCTTATTCCAATTGTGCGGATCGATGCTCATGATGTCAATCACTGGATTGTCTGGTCCTGACTCAATAACTTACAGACCGCCATCTTATAGCTGGAATATTGCTCAGTGCGGCGATAAACAACAAACAAACTAACACCATCACGATATATATGCAGAGTCGGTGTGCCAAAACAGCCTTTTTATGAGACAATGATGACAATTATCTCTTCTTTGTATGTTTGTTGTTTAGCGCCTGATCCAGACAATTCTGTGACTGATATGATGAACATCAATATTTTTGCAATTGGGATACGATGACATGCAGATGTGAGGTGGATGTAAAAAACCTTCTAACGCCCCTTGGCAGCTTTTGTTGTATACTCTGAAGAGAGTTGAGAATGATAACTGGAATGTGAACAATCAACAGGTCGGGGAACAAATAAAAAAGCATTTGAGCAGATACTAGTACTTGGATAATAATAATAATAATAATAATAATAATAATAATAAAAATAAAACGAATACTAATTCTATCCGAGATGTTCACAGAGGTGACCTATCAACAGTTAACCATCACTGTTAAAAACTTAAAATACAGACCTTCCTGAACATACAGTTCAGGAAGCAACTACACAGGATACTTAAAACAGTTAAACTGATCCTGCTGATACTGATTAATGCTGACTTCCTCCTTTCATCACAAACAGCTGACATAAGAATGCCTTCCTACTTGATAATTAGCGGTTTACGTGGGTGCAATACCTCGATCATTTAATAGGCAAATTACGGCGATGAAACATACATCCAATAATTATTAATAATATGGAAACAATAACCTATAGTGATAGTAAACAATAGTCTAAAAAAAATAAAAAATCAGCATGATCAACTGGCATTATATGTGACAATTAAATGTGCTTTGTTTGTCTGTTTTATAATGTCACACTCAGCAATATTCCAGCCATACGACGAGAATCTGCAAATAATTGAGTTAATCTACACAATTGGGATATGAGTCAGCGAGCCTGACCACCCTATCCCATTGGTCGCCTCTAACAAGAAGCCTAAGTTGCTGAAGACCAAACCTGGATCTTCATGGGGACTAGACAGTTATATCATCACATGTCTATTTAATCTGGAAGGAAAGCCTGAAATTATGCTGGTTGTAGATGCTTTAACACTTGGGGAAAACCAACAAGCAAAAGTACAGTGCTTTTAATCAAGGAGTGAATGAGTGAGTTGGGTGTAACGCCGCTTTTAACATCATTCAAGTTATATCACGGCGTGTCAGCTTAATGTGGGAGGAAAGCCCGAAGTGATGCAGGTCTCAGACGTTTAATACTTCGGTGAAACCCACGAGCACGGGTATGGTGCTGACAGACCTAGAAACATAGTTGGGGCGAACCGGGATTCGAACCCACAATCATGCCAATGTTGTTGTTTTTTAGTTATAAATGCTTAAACACGTTGGATACCATTGTTAATGCGCATACCGGACGCGCATGTAACGGCGAGTATTTGTAATGCGGTTACGTCCCTTTGACTCGTGGCTAATTGTACTTCCGCCAAAATGAACTCATAGAAATGTAAGTTTGGGCAAGAGTTACCTCCCCTGATTCATTATTTTAGGGGTATGCTGTGTTGATTGAAAATAATTTGAATATCCTCTGGTAACATGTTGTTTCTATTTTAAAATTATATTTTACAATGAATAAACATTAGAAATAAGCCAGTTTGAAAAATATCTTGATTTTGTAAAATGCTTTTTTGACTGATGAATCAATTTTTGGGGAAAATGTGCTTTTTTTAAAGTCAAATGATGTGAAATTAAAAATGTTTTTGACTTGAATTTTCATTTTTCTTTTTTGTGTCATATGAATACTGTAATATGTCCATTTAAAAACACTCATTTAATAATCAAACATTAAAATGACCATTTTATTGGCAAAATGATTTTATCATCGGGTGCCTCTAGATGGCGCCACTTATTCAAAAAATGCTGTTGTGACTTTGTTTTTTTTATTGCGTAATTTGATTCAGGACATATTTTCCTACAAAATGATACCAAATATACCCATTTCTTGAATTGTTTGTTTTTGGTATGCAACCTCTTAACACTACCTACCTTGATGAAACTTTAGTTTTGTTTTGTTGTCATGGCATTATCAAATCTGACATCACAAAGCATATGCTAGACACCGTATTTTGAAAATATTGTCAGAAAAGTCAAACATCAAATGATTTAGATAAACATTTCAATATCTTGAAATATCACAGGGAAAGATTTGTTACTGGCAGTCGCTCACTTGCCCGAAGCAATCAGCCTTACTCTAGAGACATCCCTTGGGCATGTTGAGGAATACAAATTACCTTTATCCCATGTACTGGGCAGATTCCTGTTTCTCATCACCACCTGACCCTAAAAAGCATCATGACCTTTCTTTTTTCTATTTTGCTTGCTAAATTTGGTTCTGAATCAAGACACCATCAATCACTTTCCATTCCAAAGTTGCACATTTTGATGTGACTCATCCTAATGACGAGTAGTTTCATTCATGATGCTGATTAAATATGTTTTAGTACTTTGTATGTTGAGTGTGTACGTCAGCAAATCAGCATGTGACAACTTAATAAAATATCAGATAAATATCTTAGGTGTTGTGTTGAAGCCTCAAAGGGGTGTCATTGTTTTCACTTCACTATTTGTGAATTTCTGTTGCTAAGTTTGATATCAAAAAGTAGAGATTCCTCTATCTATATCAAACCATACATTTATGTTTTCGTTGAGACCTTGATCACTGTAGCATGTGTACATAACAATATTTTTACAAATGTCATATCAGTTTTAACTCTAACTCAAATACAGGCCATTGACCTAGTGTCTAAAGAACTCAATGCGAAATAGAATTATCTAAATGATAGATGATTTGAGAGAAAACCACAGCCCGATGGGCCACTAATATCTCATTATTGTCGTGAGTAGGCAACCTGTGCCAGATTTGAATTGCTTAACTAGGGGGCCTAAGCAAATAACTGGAAAAAAACCAACAAAGTGATCCTCAAATCTTAAGATGATATATAGAAAACATTCAAAAGGTAATGTTATTTCTGCTAACTTTGTGTATCACCTTACTGCATATAATTGTGCTGGGTATATCAAATAAAAACATTTCAGGCAATGTCATACAATTCGAGGCCATGTGGAGTTTACCATCCTGTTCAAAATTATTGCACATGCACAGTGATGTGCATGCGTGTTTGTGTTTGTAAGTGTGTTTGTGTCTGCTTGTACTAGTCCAGACTAATTCCGGTTTTATAGTACTAGCCCACAGAGATACCATGCCGCAGTACATGTATATCCCCCACAGACACAGTATACTGACTTTGAGCCAACCAGTCCTTGTTTTCGCCCTTAATGCTGAGTGCCAGGCAGGGTAACAACAAATGCCATCTTTTAACGTTTTACTACGGCGTGGCTGAGGATCTAACCACCAACCTTCCGCTCTCCAGGCAGATGCACTAATAGACTATCTAATAGACCGTGGAGGCAATCTTCTTTTAACTTGAGATAAAATCACAACAGTCCATCCATTATTAGCCAATTACTTTACTGATATTTAGAAAGCTAGTTGTATTGTACAGCATGTCTACACAGTGATGAGTGATGTTTACAGATGCTGTGACAGGAAAGAATACAAGTCATGGGGAAGTAAATATTCACAAAGTGAAGGAACTTCTGTAGCAATGAAACCTCTGTAGTTGGTAAAAGGTTATCAAACTTGTACAACTATCAGTCAACATACCAGCACTGCAAGGTACGACAGCCAAGGTAAATAGCATACCATACATGTGGCATCATCAGTTCAGTCAGGTGTGAAATACACACCTGTCAGGAGCCCTACTAATTATGTAAGTAAAGATGATCCCAATCATCACAGATTATGCAATATGTAGTAAAAGCTGGTATTGTATCAATTACTACAGTGCTACTCTGTCCCCCAAACCCTGGAGAATAAATTAAAAAAGGAGTCCAACTCAAATCTAGCATGAGTTGGCAAGTCTAGATTGCCTCAGCTGCAGTTCTGAAATTAAGCATTGCTCTGGGCTCCATTTGCATTTTATTTTGTACATATATAGTTTTTGATAAGATTACGTCATTTCTGGAAATATATGTTAGTGATATCTACCATGGTGTACATGTGTATACATGGTAAGACATGGCAACATGTATGAATAAACACGATTTACCAATCGCCCCCAATGAGTCGCTGACTATTTAGATTTAACTCATGGTTTCGACCTCTGCATAAATATTGTCATGTGCTGCTTCATGTGTATCTCAATGACAGTCTTGGGATTGCATTTTAAAACAATATCAGTGAATAGTCAACTAGCAGAGACTTAAATAATTATGTGAATGATATAGTACCAAATCGTGATCATTGATAAGGTCTGATGAAGTAGCTTATTTGACCTGAAGAGGACAGATTTTATCAAAACCGTCAATGAAATTACGACAAGCAGTTGTGGACTGAAGACAAGTATAATGTAACAGGTCTTTGAAAGGCATTTAGAAGTGATACACATGAGGAAGAGAATATATGGATGTCAACTTCTTTATTATGAGGAACACGTTTTTTGAGTATATGCTTACTCCTTCATCGGGTGATAACCTGATGGAGTAAGCATATACTCCATATACTCAGAAATGTTGTGTTCCTCATAATAAAGAAGTTGACATCCATATATTCTCTTCCTTATAATGTAACAGTTACCACAGGTTAACTTGACAAAGGACAAGAGAAATTGTGTACATACAGTTATAGGTAGTCCCATCCCTGCTAGTCTGACAAAAATACCTCATAGGAGTATTTTACTTCAGTTTTCTTGTCTAAATACTTACGCAAAATTAATTTGTTTAAAAAAAAAGAATAAAAAAAAATCAGCATCGGTACAAAATAAACAACACAAAACACCTTACTGTAAAAGGCTAAAGTTATTCAATATATCAGTTCTCAAACTAAGAAATACACTACTTTAAATCTTAACAAGCAAAACTGTTTAAACAACAGAAAGGTAAAATACTTCTTTGATGACTAAATCTGAAGGAAGGTAACGTGTGTGGGCGTGGCACAAGGGATATCCCTGTGTGATTCAACTCACAGCCCAAAAAAAATCGATTGGAATGATCATTGCGTTCAACAGGTAAACACGCGTAAACAAGCCTGTGGATTAACACCAGTGTCAACATGAATATTCATTAAAATTTACTAGGCAGGTAATAAAGATGCCGGTTGTGTTAGCGGGAGTGTAATTACCCCTCGCTGGGAACAGTTCTCAAGTTCACTTGATGAGGGCAGGGTCACCGAAGTTTGGGTATTCAAGCACACCGGTTTAGATTTGAGAAAACACCGAGAACAGCTCACCAGCATGTGCGTGTTTGACTGCATCATGCACATTAAAACGTGTGCTTAGACACAGCAGAAGTGTTAATACTTGATACCAAATAAGTTGCAGTGTCTAAATATGGCTAAAATAACCGATTGAAGCCAGGTGCGTTGTTACGAGCACAGCTCGGAAGTGAAGTTCCCGATGTTATGATTTAAGAAATGAGGACAAGGCTAAAATGTCAGAGGTGTCCTACCTCTAGTCGAAATCGGACTGTGGTAATTTGCACTTAGAAACCTCGACTAATTTTACTAATATCTATGCAGGAAAAATCAGCACACACTTACCAAAACAAGAAAATCTTACAGGTAATATCTCCACATTCGCTGCTACAGCTTCGACGCCATATTTTTAGGGCACTTGTTACATACGGGCATTTGAAGTATTTCGCCGCCAGGTGGCGCGGAGGATTAACTTGGGAAGTCCCTGGGGCGCAAATAAACTGTAACTCGGGCACAATGGTTTCAAAACGATTTTATTTATGAAAAGCACATTTATGATGTGATTAAGTAGACTTTGGATATCATACCTTTAGAATTAAACAATGAAATCATGTGTACATTAACGGCGACGAAGAGCTTTTATTTCCTCATGCGAGTGAAACAACTCTATCCAGTTTTTGTTAAAATTGGGCCAGATTTTGCATCCCACAGAACGTAATTTACAGGTACAATGTCACTCGTTCAAAATGAATATAGTAAACCTAATGTCTGAGGCGTTCTATCTGATACTTGCAATACAAAATAACACTAACATTGTACGTTTTAAGATGTTTCTTATGTCCAGCCTGGTATATTAATTATGAAACGGTGGACATGAAACATAAAAATAACACCAAGTATTCAAGGCATACAAATATGGTGCAAAACTCATTTTATTTTTTCTGTCTCGGAGTTTAACAATTCCATATAGATCTTTAAATGAGACTGTTATATTCGAATTTCATCAAAGTTTATTTGTAAATTAATCTAATTCAAATGCTAATCACGGTATATTTTTCAGATTTCAAAGTACAAATGCCCTTTACATTAAGGATTTATCTGTTTGCTTAAATGTTTGTTGGTTTATGCCGCTCTCAGCAATATATTGAGGCCGTATCACTACGGCTTGGGGTCGATTCTGGGCCAGACATAACATCTTGTCTCTGAAATGAACATATTTTACAGAAAAAAAACAATTGTTAAATCATAGTTATAAAATATACTAAACAACAAAAGGTTCCTGTGACATTGAATAAGATTTAATGCAAAGTTATGTTTTTTACCAAATCTGAAACAATTTCGGTTGCAACAGATAAAAGACTCCTGTAAGTGTTCAAATGGTTTAATTTGCCATACTGACTTCAGAAAATGCGTGATTTCATATTAAAAACATGAACATGTCAAGATGTCAATTTACAAATCAATAGCGTGTGTGTCCGACTCTTGTTGCGATGCAAGCAACACATCTTCGTCTCATGGAATGGACCAAGCGTCGCACAAAGTCCTGTGGTATATCTGTCCATATCTGCTGGAGCATGTTTCGAAGTTCCTGGAGTGTCTGCGGACGTCTGTGTCAGCCCACATGTGCTCGATTGGAGCGAGCCGGCCAGGGGATGACATTCACGTTGTTTTGTTGAAGAGAATCCTGAACAAGTCCAGCAATATGACGGGCGCTGTCATGTTGAAAGGTAGTCCTGGGCCATGACGACGCAAAAACGGTAGAACAACAGGGCCGATGATCTCGTCGCGGTAGCGCTGTCCATTGAGATTTTCCTCTACCACTATCCAACGGGTCCTCTGTCTTGCTGTAATCCCACCCCATACCATAACGCTGCCGCCCCCGAACCGATCTTCTTCCATGACACAATGATTGACGTAACGTTCACCTCGACGTCGGTACACTCGAATCCGTCCATTCCTGCGGCTGAGGTGAAAACGAGACTCGTCAGTGAATAAAACTTGTCCCCCCAACTTGTCTCCAGCGTAGACGCTGTCTGCACCACTGCAGACGTGCTTGGCGGTGGTTTCCTGTCAAAATGGGACGTCTGGCGGGTCTTCTGGCGTCAATCCCTGCACGTCTGAGGCGACGACGTACGGTTTGCGAAGGCCAGGGATGCTTCTTGCAGTCACTGTTACTGGCTGGAATCGATTTCGTAGGTGGGTTGTTCGAATCCAGTTGTCTTGTCGATTATTTGGTTACGCGTGGCCTGTCACTCCGAGGATGGTCTCTGACTGCATTCGTCTGTTGCTAACGTTGCCATGAACACCAAATGGTGTTTCTGTGGACGTTAAATTGTCTTGCAACATCACGTTGAGTCGATCCTGCTTCAAGCTACCAATGGCTCGCAGGCGCCCATTTTCGGACAGGCGTGGCATTTCGTAATGTTGTATAATTGCGTAATTTTGTTGTTTTTCTGAGTGGTTGTTGTCAGCACGATGCTAAACAATGCATATGAAATCCCGTTAACGCACATGTTTTAATACCCATTCTTGGGTAGTGAAATGCATGGGGCTTGCATAAAAGTCAACTTTTGCATGGAATGCACGCTTTTCTGTAGCAGTTGCGTTTTTGTGACTTGATTCCATACATGTACTACAATATTGAAAACCAAACTTTACTTGTTTGAAAAATACACTAAAATATTGGTGTCACAGGAACTTTTGTTGTTGAGTATATAATAAAAAGGAGCCCAGAGACTTTCATCATTTTCAGATACTGTAGTAATATAGACTTGCCAAGCATTATAGACTTGCATGGGCTGTATTGGATATATTTGTTTCATGTCCCACGCTGTCAGAGTAGGATGGCTGGCATTCAGTCCGGCCTGACGACCCGATTGCTCTTACAGGCAAGTGTATTGGGTGTTAATGTAACTCTGGTCCCCACGATGTTACAGTTTTGATGGAGGATGAAATCATCTATTCATGATTACAAGTTGACATAACAGAAGAAAAGCTAATACGTGTACTTAATAAATCTCACAACACCCGTGAAGATTCGGGGTAGAATATAGGTCTTCAGCAACCCATGCTTGCCGTAAATGGCGACTATGCTTGTCGTTAGTGGCGACGTAACGGGATCAGGTGGTCAGGCTCGCTGACTTGGTTGATGCATGTCATCGATCCCAATTGCGTGGATCGATGCTCATGATGTAAATCACGGGATTGTCTGGTCCAGACTCGATTATTTACAGACCGCCGTAATATAGATAGAATATTGCTGAGTGTGGCGTTAAACAACAAACAAACACCATGCATAACCAACAAAATCCGATTTGATCTCACCTAATGATACCAGCATATGCTGGAGCACTGTTGCCATGGCGTCATACTGTAAAACTGCACCACTGCGAGTTATGTGCATAGTGTCTTTTTCTGTTTGTTATGAAGCGTCAACCCGACGGTTGGCTTTTAAAACTCAAGAAAAAACACACACAGGATTAGCTAAAACGTATGACATTTGTTCAAGTTGTTGTGTATTCATACATTCCGTTTACAGTATTCCCGAAACATATTGTATGCAATGTTTGACAAGACGAGCAAAGACATTGCTGTCATAACTATTGCTATGTAATGCCTGGTTTTTTTGTGAAAGCTGAAGTGAAGATGTCAGCATATTGCACATTTCTAAGATCGGTCAAACGAACAGAATATGTCTTAGTGTAGAAAATATATAATGGCAAAATAATATGTATGGAACTCGTATACGACGGCTTGTAATATTATGACATCTCTGTTTTCAGCTTCTTCCCATATATGCCAGAATTTTAACAGGAAGTGACACCCTGTCAATCAAACGTTTACATCACAATCTACCATTAAGTGAATGCTGTTTTACGTCACACTCAGCATTAGCGGATCTCTATCACGGCGGATCATAACTGAGTTAAGTCTGGTCCAGGCATACAAGTGGTTGACAGCATGAACAAGAACCACCTCGCCAAGGCAACATAATACACAGGCTGAACTAGCACACATTAGATGACCTTTAAACGTTACTCATAGCATCAACCATTGGTTGAGTAACTACGAGAAGCGGTGATATAGCTAGAATATTAGTCTATTACAACCTTCACTCGCTCGATGAGGTGAGGTGAAATGGGGTTTTACGTCGCGTCCAAGATTATTGCACTTGTAAAGCGACGTGCATGCACGTGGGTGTGTTGCTGTTTGTACTAGCCCGGACTGATGCCGATTTATAGTGCTAGCCCATTGAGATATCATGCCGCAGTTTAACTTGAATACCCCATTCAGACACAGTATACTGACCCCGAGCCGACCAGTCCTTGTTTTAGCCCCTTAATGCCGGGTGCCGGACAGGATAACAACAAGTACCATCTTTTAACGTCTTTTGGTATGACGCGGCCGGGGATCGAACCCCGGACCTTCCGCTCTCCGGGCGGACGCTCTACACTAGACCACGGAGGCGGTCTAAGTCGCTCGGTGTATGTGATTGTCTTGATTTAAGAGCAGCTTGTCTTTATTCAAGAAGAATTAACTCCCGATGAGTTACACTGTTCGCCATGGTTGTCGACTCGCATCAGATCACCGTCCCCTTGAATATCACTTGTTTTGTCCGTAATTTGAGATCGGATTCATGAACACAAGATTACTGTCAGGTTCTCCGCTTACGCTCTAATACCCTTACTTCGTTACATCTGTATTACATCCCTTTATGTCAAGATTACGTTAAGTGGCATTTAAACTAAACATACGCGATTTATAGGAACCAGATTCAGTTTTCCTTGGAAAATATACGCTTTCTGAAAATTTTTATTAAATTGTAATTGTGAATTATATAAACTCTAATTATTCCACCTAGGACTAGGAAAGTAATGCACAAGAGGTTTCTTTACCATGTCGAGGGGCAAACAATGCCGACATGACGTCAACAATGGCTACGATGTCACCATTAACTGTGACGTCATCCCTTTGTATTAGAATAATGGCGTTTGCATTACACCAACAACCGTGTCTTCGCGTCGTCAACAATGCTAATAGGGCGCGTGAAATCACGATAACCCGTGTGCTCCACGTTATTGTTAAACCAGAGACCTTAAAATATTGAATAGTCTCTGGTTAAATGGAGTGTGTGCTACACACTCAAAGGTTGAAAAACGTGATGAAATTGGATTTGAATCCAGGAACTCCGGACGTTTCACCGCGTATGACATTGTTTCTCTATACCGAATGAACAAAGAAAACGCGTCATTCCGCTTGGAAAAATTGATACTGCGCTAAAAGAAATAACTCAGATTTTTTATTTCTCTCTCCACATTTTGCCATATTATTACCAGGGCCCACTTGCCAAAAGCGATCTCAGCGCTAAGGTGATCGTAACTCCTATACTTTAACATAGGTTTACAATAGTCTTAGCGCTAAGATCGCTTTGTGCAAGTGGGCCCGGGCGTGTTCAGATATACAGAATCAAGTGACGGGATCTATTGTTTCATGACGTCATCCCATTCCATGAGTAATGGCTGTCTCACAACAGTGAGAGCTCGCGTAGATAGACAGTGCTTCAGAAAATGACTGATTACTTATATATTGTGTATTCAGCCTTACGGGTTTTACTGAATTTCCACATAATTTCTTCTTATCATCTAGCTTTTAATTATGTAATTATCTTTACAACTGTTGTCGTGCTTTCATGAACTGTTTCCTGTGCTACAGGTCTTGATTCTTATAATGCTAAACTCTCAATAATGCATCGATATTCATTACCTCTGTGATTATAGTGAACTTTGGGACAAAATATGAAGGCATTTTTCGACATCTATCTCGACGTGGATGTCAAACATGTGAGAAAAAAACATACCATTTTACATAATCAATTAAGTGCGGAACGTGATGTACTAGACTATACACTAGCGCATCGATTAAGCACCATCCACCTTTTCGGATATTTGCTACATTAAAAAAATAATTGGTGTGATTCATTTTTGGAAACATGACAAAAGAGTAGTTAACAGACAAACAGAACGCCGGGCACTACAATCACACAAATAATGAAGCTGACACCAGCAAACGTTATCGATTTAATTTCGTTATGCAAAGAAGTCTAAACACGTTCATTTCAACAACGCTGCAAAGTACCCAGTCCACACAACTAATCGGACTGTCACATTATGCAGTGAAAAAGAATTATTGTCAACCTACATTTTAGGAATCATCACTGACTCTGCAGTCAATATCCATGCACCCTTTTCATGGATGCCATTCACGAGGCGTCTCCTCATTCTCAGTCTGAGACCTGCGTCACTTCGGGCTTTCCTCCCACATTAACCTGACACGCTTAAATAACTGGAATACTGTTCAAAGCGGCGTCAAACTCAACTCACTCACTTGATCGTGATGAGTTTTTGATGCAGGTCTCAGACGTTTACCACTTCGGTGAAACCCACGAGTAGGGTATGGTGCTGAGAAACCTAGAAACATAATCGGGGCGAACCGGGATTCGAACCCACGATCAAAGGTTTCTGGTGTGCCGAAGGGACAACTCTGAACAGCGAATCGCGGCGCCTTAGACGACTGGACCACCCTAGCCCCCAATAGATGGTAGAATGGTAAAAAGATGGTAGAATATCTCCAGCTCTCCAGTGCTAGTTGTAAGAGGCTAAACTGGAACCTGGGATACCTAGGTAGAATGGTCCCTATAGCAACTAATGCTGGCCTAAACGGGGATGAATGGATCGGGTGGTCAGGCTCGCTGACTTGGTTGATCGTGTGTCAACTTACCCGATAGTGTGGATGGTTGTTCATTACATCAATCACTGGGTTGTCTTGTCCTAACTCGATTATTTCCAGGCCGCCGTCATATAGCTGGGATATTGCGGAATGTTAAACAACACATATAAACACACGTCACTCTACGTGTGAAATATATTCGAATGCGACGTTTAGCCCCATTTCACCCCACCTCACTGTCATTCGACTCTCATAGTCATTTTATTGTGCGAGGAGATTTATATTTTACGACTACTTCAAATGTTTGTACAATTATTCTAAGATGCGTAACTGTAAAAGTGGAAAAGTTAATTAGTAAGATGACTTTTGAATATTAATATCATATTACTTCACAGAATTATCAGCTATAGGGTGTTTGTTAAAACATGCAACGCAAGAAGGACGCCGTGATTAATTTACATAGTGAGTGTGAACATTTGTGAATTTGAAGTGCTTTCATTTAATAAAATTTCGAAGTATTCTTCATGGCAATTCCATTAAATGCTATTAGTTACAATCTATATTCATATTCATGTGTTGTGATATTGAGCAAACAACAATGAAGTCTATAGTTGCCTTTGATAGTTAAGCTCAGTTAAAAGTGAGTAAGTTTGGTGTTTGATATTACGTGTCAACTTGATTTTAGAATATCAATGAAATACTGCATGCTTAAGCGCATAGGCGCCCCCCCCCCCCCCCCCCCCCCCCCCCCCCCCCCAACACACACACACCAATAAAAACAAACAAACAAATTAAACAAAAACTGATAAAACAACAACAAACTTCCCAGCCCCCAAAATATCAACATGTTTGCCCCTTATAATACCTTGACATCACCAATATTAGGTAGCTTAGTCTAAAATCAGGTATGTAATCATCATACAACGTAGATGGTAGGGGTTGTAAACCTCAAGGTCACCGCAACATAAATATATAATATTATACAGACAAACCATTCATAGGTTAGGTTGACTTGTATTATGTATTTCATTTTTAGCAAGATGCTCGACATTATGAATGTGATTTTTCAATTGATATTTTCATAGTTTGTTCGTTTTTTCACCTACAACCATTCAATAAATATTTCTTTAGGGAAGATCTGCTCTACATTTTAAATTACGGTTAGATCACGGCTAACGTTTGTGCGGAAACTCGTTTCTGCCCTTGTATATAATGTAATATCGCAACACCTCGCAGTAAACTTCGCGTTCCCGTGCAATAACTCTCACGTCTGTTAAATGTAACGTGCTTTATACTTCTTTTTATTTTAAATTTCTCTTGTTCACCTTTGACGCGAGCTTTCGCTATCTGTGTACGAGTCATTTGTTTGTGAACAAGTTGTTTTCTGCGTAAGAGTTACCTCCCTTGAGGAAGGGAGATAATAGGATGAACGCTAGGAGTCTGTCCGGGTTTCTAACGAAGTCTTTCGCTGGAAGAAAAACGCGATCTGCTTTCGAATTATACCTTAACAACCCCTGTAGTCATCGTAATGTGAACCTGGTACAATCATCCAAACCACAACAACGAAACTTCAGCCACCTGGTTTCTGAAATGTCGAAGAAAGGCGCGACATCGAAGCAGACGAAGCTACCATTTACGACTCAACCTGCGAAAAATATGAGTAGTCAGAATGCCGGTACTGGTGGAGGTGGAAGTAGCAAAAAAGAACCTCCGAGGAAACCGGATGGTGGTGTTGAAAGGAAAATTACACGACAGTTTGTACAAAAGGACGACAAAGCAGAAGTTGAGACAGATAGAGGTATAAATTGTTTTATATTGCTCACAAAGTGAAAGTGAAAGTTGCTTATGTTTTATTTGGGTTCAAATCAACCAAATGCGAACCATTTCAGCTCAAACAGTTCAAAGTTTTCCATAAATGAAAAATAATTAATCTGTATATACTGTTACCAGCTGTTTATAAGAACAAAGGTCTTAATTTCAGGTACAAACATTCTTCTACACCAACCAGGGTTATAAGAGAAAATGGCCCCCCAGCAGAAATGGCCCGAACAATGTGAGAAAAATGGCACCAAATTTTAGTGAGAATGCCCAAATATTTTTGAGAAATTGGCTCCAGTGTTTGGAAAAAATGGACCCAAAGAAACCTAACACAAATCCGTAGTGGTTTAATTTATACAATTAATACATCGGACACTTTTCTCCTATTTGCCATGAGACATTGTATTTCAAGTAGACTGCAACCTCGGGGTATTGCGGTACTTGTCATGTACGCTAAATGGAACAAAATGCACTCACTAACATTTATGATTATTCGTGTTCTCTATATCAGATGTCATTTATTTTATCTAACTGCATATTTTACTGATAAAGGTCATTATTAACATTAGTTAAGCTCCGAGTAAAACCGGGCCCCGTGCTCAGTATGACAAGGGAGAGAACTCCATTGTATCGCGGTACAGAGAAAAGTTGTGTATGGAGTTCCGAATTGGACAAAAAGAGGACATACTTCTACCAACCACTTAGTATAATCATGCCAGATATCAGTGATTTGTCCAGACATGTGCAACGACAGCACAAGTAAAATTCTAAATGCGTTATCAGTAATAGGTATTCTATGCATATTTACCGAAAAGTCTGAGAAAAATATTTTAAAAATCAACAACAAAATATCAGTAATGATATTCTTAGATCGTTTATAAAAAAAAATTGGATGACAACAATTTGTCACATAATGGAAAAATGTTAAAAGTTAACAATAAATATATAAAAAACACTCCTACTATGCCCAAAGTATGTATTTATCTTTTGGCTTCTAGTGAAGAACGTATTTCTAAGTTTGGCATTATGGCCCTTATGATCTCCCAATAGATTCTGAGCACAGAGCGGGAAAAAATGTGCGGACTACGTAACTTCCGTTACCTTATTAGTCGCCATGAATATGCAGATGATCTAGTTCAGGTCGATAGAGAAAGTTTACTTGGGGAACTGCGGGTTATATTGTTGGCCATTGATAGATGGGGGTAAGGCAATATTAAAAAAAGATGCAAGAAGTAAGTATCAACACATAAGTAACTCCTTACTTACAGCAGGCGGAACATTCCGAGGAAATTGAAATTGTTTACGAAGTGAGCACTTCCTGGTAACTGATTTGCATTAATAGACAGCTGCTAAGAGGCCTGTCCCGCGTGAACTACCGGAAAACACAAATGCCGCGATACGATGAATGCCGCGGTACCACGGGGTCCGAGTATACCTCTTGTAAGGGATGGATTCACAGTATGTGGACCTGTAGCTCAGTACAAAGAGCTCACACAGCAAAAAGTGGAATTTCCCTTCACTTGCCATGTCTGTGTTGAGGAAACCATTGTTGACAGGCCAGATGTTTGCAATGTCAAGTTCGCAGCTTTTATTATGTCACACCTCTCGTTACGCAACAAATCACGATCAATATTGTTGTTAAAAAACATGGTAGATCTACATGGCGATAACTAGTCCTTGGCTGATTCATCTTCGTGAGGCAAGAGTTAACTGACTATAAAAATCCAGTTTCCACCCTTGCCGAACTAGGCTGGTATTGTGGAGTTACATTTTGGCTGGACTAATGAGTCTATGCATAGTTCAATCCAAATTGCGCAACGAAATTAAAATCTGGTTTGTAAACTGTCATGCAGATTATGGTCGATTGCAGGATTTGCAAAGCATGTGCACCGCCAACTTGTTGTCAACAAATCATTTTCAAATCTGTTCATGTTTTTAAGCATGGTGCTCACGTGATTTGATGCACTTCAGGATGTAAGACCTGTTTTATCACAATACAGAACTTGATTATCAATCAGAGCGTCTTGACTGGGCGCCGCAAATGCAAGTGATACGAGAGATGGAATCTGATCTGTCCATAGGAGAGGCTGGAAACTCTAGTTAAGTCAGTTAACTATCTTGCCTCGAGGGGGGGGGGGGGGGGGGGGGGGGGGGGGGATGGGGGGGGGGGGACGGGTGACCCAGGAGTCTAAGGCGCCATGATTCGCTGTGCAGAGTTGCGTCCCTTGGGCACGCCAGAAACCTATGATTGTTGGTTCGAATCCCGGTTCGCCCCAATTATGTTTCTAGGTTTGTCGGCACCATATCCGTGCTCGTGGGTTTCACCGAAGTGGTAAATGTCTGAGACCTGCATCACTTCGGGCTTTCCTCCCACATTAAGCTGACACGCCGTGATATGACTTGAATAATGTTAAAAGCGGCGTTAAACCCAACTCACTCACTCACTCTTGCCTCGGGAAGATGTAACTGATTTGAAGTAAACTCAAAGCATAGAGAACTCGTAAAGATTTATGGCCCACAAGACCTACTAGTCATTGAGGACGACAATCTTTTGACTTTAATTGTCGACAGCACATTTTAGTAGTCTTGGTCTAGTGGAATAGCATGCATTTTGAAGGCTGTGTGATAGCCACAGTTGCCCACATGAGTGAACTGGCTCCCAGTTTGGTTCCATCAGTGCTTGTAATACCGATGGGACTGAGTCAAGGTGAGCAAGGCCCAGTGCTGAGTTACGTTCCTTAGCTGCAAAGGTTTTGGGGATTCAATTCCAATTTTATTTCTTCTATCCTTGATCTCTGTCTCAGCAACAACCAGTGCTTGGAAGTTGTGTGGAAGTGGCCAACATCTAAAAGCATACTGACTCTGGACCGATCTCCCACCGATCACGTTTAAACCATGATGACTGAACAGTGTTGACATCCTGCCACCTGGCATGCCAGGAACACTTGTTCATAGCAAAGGAAAAAAGTGCCTGTCCGTACTCAATTATTTATTGCCCATATGCTTTGGGGTTCTTTTTAAGTGTAACTAGATCTAATGCTACTGTTTTATTTGTTTCCAGAAAATGCATTGGGTATGTCCATAGAAGAAAAGCGCAAACAATACAAGTGCCGTGATAGGTATGAACTGCTTTCAAACATACCTTCCTGGAAAAATCAACCAGAATTGTCATCAGCAACATTGCCGAAGAAAAAGAAAGGTTTTCTCAGTAAAGGTATGTCATTCCAGCATTACCAGAACGTCACTTCAGTTGAACAGATGGAAAATATGAGATTTTCACCACTACACATAGTATTCAAACTACACTGTAGGTATGGCACCACAAGTACTCAAAAGAATCAGGTGGTCAGGCTCAAGGACTTCGTTGATGCATTGTCATCGTATCCCAATTGTGTAGATAGATGCTCATTATGGCAATCACTGGATTGTCTGGTCCAGACTTGATTATTTACAGACCGCCGTCATGTAGCTTGAATATTGCAAAGTGTGGCATAGAACCAAAAGCAAACCCAGTAGGCATGGCATTAGAAATACAATGTAGGTATGGTGTGCATAGTAACAGAGGTTAATATACATGTGTATGTGTGTCATACTGATTTTGCAAAACGATTGTCACAATTCTTGTATTTCCTGAGCTAGAAAGAGGGTAATACAAGTTTCATAAAATCAGTATGACACACATACAAGTGTAATAATTTCTTTAATACCCATTATTTCCTAATCTTGTCAGAGCTCCACCTCAGAAAAATGCACTAATCACAACCACCTTCTGAGAAAGCCAAAATTGTCGAATGACGTCAACAATCTCAGCTATGACATCATTTCTACATGTTCTTGTTTGACATTATATCAACCTTTTGACACAGTAGTATTCAAATGAAGTCAACAAAACCATCCAGATGATGTAAACAATACTCTGGTGCACATAATGTGATATTTGCACTAGTGCACATACAATTTTTATGAACTTGGTTATTTCTACCCTTAGGTATGCTCATGACATCAATCACCGGATTGTCTGGTCCAGGAACCTTTATTTACAGATATTATAGCTTGAATATTGCTGAGTGTGTCGTTAAACAACATACAAACAAAACAAAACTTCCTGTTGTTCTTCTCTTGAAAATGTTTCCTTGTTGTAACAACACTTGACTAGTGTGTATTCTGTTGCTTCAAACAGCCGTCTTGTAGATTTCAGAATATTTTTTGTTGAATTTGATTTTGTATTTAATCATATCCAAATGTATGATAAAGAATTTTAGTAACCTTAAATATTTTTTGTTCTGTTATTCCCCTGGTTTGAATTGAGTGGTGAACTGGTGCCTTTTGAATGATTTGGGATTTATGTTTTTTAATTTTTGTTATGTTTTCATAACGACAAGTTGAACTTTACAGAAAATCTCCTGATGACTCTTGTTTATATTTTTATGATATGGCAAACACGGAACTACTTTTGAAGTCGCAATTACAAAGGGTAGTGAAACGTCCCTGTGCATCAGGTAGGGAAATATCATGTTTCTCTCTAAGACGCCAATCTCTTAACTTTATCTCCTTAAATATCTCCTTCCACACTCCCGGTCACTCGATGAGAGAAACATGATATTTCACTCGACACATGAAGTATCCTCTATTTATCTGGACCTGCTCATGTAATAACAAAACACATGTTTTATGGCTGTGTAGAGGCAACTAATAAATCACTGACAACAGGACCAACATTGAACAAAATAACAATTCTTTCCCAAATTGGCTGGCAGGCCCACTTAGTTTGGAATCCTAGATACAGCCCTGATAGATGGCATACACAGAACTGTCCAACATCTGGCAATATTTTCTTGATTTCCTTAATATTGAATCTCTGATACCAAGTTTAAATTCAGTATTATAACATCTCCAAGGATGTTTGCTCAAATTATGTGATGCAATCAATCTGTTTTTAAGATGTCTTCAAACTGATGTAATGTACATATTTTTTTTCCTGGTAGACTGTTTTCAAGACAAAGATTTACAAAAATGTCCAAGGAAATCCTGAACATAGAACAAGGAAACATACATACAGGATATTTACAAAGCCATATTGTAGAATAATATCTCTGAAATTTGTATGGTGTGTTTCATGGATGAAATAACTATCAGTGATAGAAGATTTTCAATTAGAAGTTACTTCAAACTTTGTTTCACCAGTTTAAATTTTAGGTGCTCAGGAAACATGCACAAATAACCTTATTGTAAGTACCGGTAAATAGAATCACTATCTCTATGAATATTTATTCAACTGTCATAGTGTCCTGTGGTTTTGTTGGGCCACACTTTCTTGCTTGCTTTATGGGTCCGCCGACTGTAAATTTTATTTTAAATGAAATAAAAGCATATTTCAAAATTTGCTCTCTTTTTTTTATCCTACAAATAAGCTGATAGGATATTGCACCAAAATAAATATTTTCTAAACAAGGACCCGCTGAAGTTGACATATGTATTAAGCATGGGAGGCAAAATATGGTTTGTTGTTTTTCCTGAAATTGATAGGATGCGGAGATGCAAACAGTATTCAGGCTTGATTCATCAGGTTTGCATTGCTTAGAGCAACCCCTGTGTTGTAGGATGTCTTCCCCACAATAAACTGTTTTTATTCTTTTATACCAGCCAACCTGTAGTGGAGAAAAAAACTATAATGTCATCCAGTACACTGCTATCATCCTAGCTTTGTGTACAAATGAATTCAGACATCTCATAAGTAGGAAGTGTGTGTTTTTAAAGCAATTGAAATGAATATCACAAAATTTCCGACTTGAGACAAACATTACGTCATACCAGCAATTCTTTTGCAATGTCCTGCAACTATGATGTGGTCTAGGGCATTCTCCCTGAAAGCGAGACTGATGATACAGACCCCTGGAAGGCATGGTATGACAGGTACCTGGTGGGCATGGTGTCATGGGTACCTGGTGGGCATGGTGTCACAGGTACCCGGTGGGCATGGTGTCACAGGTACCTGGTGGGCATTGTGTTATGGGTACCTGGTGGGCAATACTGGGCATGATGTTAAAGGTACCTGGTGGGCATTGTGTTATGGGTACCTGGTGGGCAATACTGGGCATGATGTTAAAGGTACCTGGTGGGCATGGTGTTATGGGTACCAGGTGGGCATGGTGTCTCAGGTACCCAGTGGGCATGGTGTCACGGGTACCTGGTGGGCATGGTGTCACAGGTACCTGGTGGGCATTGTGTTATGGGTACCTGGTGGGCAATACTGGGCATGATGTTAAAGGTACCTGGTGGGCATGGTGTTATGGGTACCAGGTGGGCATGGTGTTTCAGGTACCTGGTGGGCATTGTGCAGTCCTGATTGTATGCAGCGATTGCAAAGTCATAGAATATTTTGCAGAAATACCCACTTGGTGCAGAAATATACCTGTGTGAAAATCACATTTTGTGCAGAATTCATGCAAAATTTTGCATTTATCTGCCGAGGAATTCATCAAATACGCTGCAGAATTGTAACATGTGAGTCAAAAGCTGGTTTTAAGCGTGTAAATAAATATATATTTCATTTCAATAAACCATTCTAGCAGCTGTTAAGTTAATAAATATAATGCCTGCCACTAGTCAAACAGATGCAAAACTACGAAAATTGATCTTAAAAGTATGCAGAATTGTGTGCAGTATTGTCAAAATGTGGTTGCAGAATGTACAAAAGTTGACTGCAGAATTTTTAATTTTGTTGGCGAAATACTGCGGGGACTGATATTGTTAGAAATACACGGCTAGTGTGGTATGAGAAATCCATGGTAGGTATGGTGTCACAGGTATCAGAAGTACCCAGAAGACATGATACTACCAGGACCAGGCAGGCAGGCATCATACTCAGTACTCATCAAGCATACTGTCAGTATCATAAGTACCCTGTGGAAACCTGGTTAGCAATGGCCCCCAGTGTACTTTGCTTGTTGGAAGAGTCTCCTAAAATGAATCAGATTTGTTTACTTGGCATGGAAAGTTAATAACCACTGGTTTGTCTGGCCCAGAATTAATTATTCATAGCCCACTCTGATATACCAGTAGATGGAATATTGCCGACTCAACCGATTTCACCCAAAAAAGGGAAGTACCCAGTATAGGCATGATAGAACGAGAACCTGGTAGGCATAGGATCACAATACTGGTAGGCATTTGTTCAGTATGGTCTCAAATGTAGAAAGTATGTTAAGTGTAAAGTTCTCGGTTGGCATATTGTGATAAGTACCCATAGCCGTGGAACAGGAAGTATCGGGTAGGCATGAAATTAAAAGTATCAAGTAGGCATGTCACCAAATGTATGTGGTAGGCATGTTATTGGAAGCATCGGGTAGGCATGGTATCCAAAGTACCTGGTGGGTATCACAAGTACAGTAAAGTACGGTTATAACAAACTCAAAGGGACTACTAATATTAGTTCATTATAACCGTAGTTCGTTATAAGCATATATACAGCATAATACAGCTAATTATCGGGACCAAAAAAGTAGTTCGTTATATCCGTCAGTTCGTTATAAGCGTGTTCGTTATAACCGTAGTTTACTGTACCTGAAATGTATCGGTATTTGTTTAAGTACCTAGTAGGTATTGTATCATCATTACCTGGTAGGCATGATGTTACAATGATTTATCTGCAAAAACGTTCTTTAAAGACATTTATCCTAAACAGACCTTGACCTTTCAGATTTCAGTTGAGTGAAAAGAGATTGTTCAGACAAAGTGCAGTGTGTTGATAAATCTTTGCTTTTAATAGTGTTACAGGTCAAACAGGGTACCATCACCTGGGGCAAATAAAAATTAAATGCAAAATTGAAGGTAAAAAATTTACTACATCAGAGATCACTCTTTGATTCTACAGTTACCACTGTCATTGAACATTTCAAATAATAATTTGTCCTTTGACCGACTGTGCAGATGCCATTCACCTTGTACATTATTTAAGGCATCAGTGCTAGTGAGTGAGTTAGTGAGACAGAAGAGTAATCATGGTTGGGTTGGCAGGTTGTTTCAAATGTTTACTCATTTACTTAGCAAAAACATAGGCGGATCCAGAAAACAAAATGTAGTGAGCAGTAACATTACCTGAGAAGGATAGTTATATTTTGGACCCCTCCTTTTTAACTGGATCCACCCTTGAAAAAGCTTTGGAACTTTTCAGGTATGTACACTAATAGGTGTCCATGTGGATTGGTGGATCGTGTGGTCAGAATGTGTGGTCTGGCTGATACTTTGTCATTGGTCATTCTTCTTGCTAGCCATGCCTAATAGCCGTGACTCGACTTACAGTCAGCAGTGATGTACCTGATAGCTTGAATATATTGTAAAACAACATTTTGATACTTTCAACTCACAGATATAGTCCGTAAGTTATTAAGTTATATAAAGCAACTAAATCTTATTCCAACTGTTTGTTTTTAAGTGATCTAACAGGTGCTTCATGACGTAAATCCATTTATTGTTTTCCCTGGACAAAGAGAGACAATGCATGCAAATGTTGTTGTAAGATGGTGTTGTCATTTCACTAGCGTGGTGGAAGTCGCTATTGAAGAAGACCGGGCCGTCTCATGCACTACGGGAGCCTCATTATAAGCCGATGGTTGAAAGCGGTGAGATAAACCATTAGATAGCCACTTCCATTGCCTTGAACCTCCAAAGTATTTAGAACTATCGTGACTCACTTGATTCTATGATTTTCCTCCTGATCCAAAGAATGAATATTTACTCTTTTATGATGTAATTTTGCCAAATAGATCCTGAGTTTTCCAAATTCCAGGATGACCTTAGTAAGTGCATCCTCAGTTATCCAGTGCATTTGTCTCACTTCAGCTATGATAAATACCCAGGGCCCATATTTCTTTTAACTCTGTACATGATGTTAAATACCTGTATATATATATATGGTCAATCAAATTACACTGATCATGAAAGAAATAAGCAGCAGTACTACCAGTTCCCGCCTCACCTTGTTATATGCTATGTTTAATACAAAAGAGAACTTCACACAAATCTGTAATGGTGGCAAATGGGTCGAGGGTATTTTTCCTGAGTGGAATTGAGATCTACTGTATACTTCATTTCTTGGTGTAGAGTAGTTTATTTTTCCTCTTGAAGTAATTAACAGAAGCCCCTGTAAATTTGAGAGTCTTCACGATTTTTTTTCCTCAAACACGCTTACAAACGTTGATAACATTATACCTGATGTGCCTCCTCTATTTCCCGGGAAAGTTTTCTGACATGAGACAACATTGTCATGGTCACTCAGTATGAACTAGGTTTTTAAAGACCTTCTGTACATGATGTCTTGAGTATTAATGAAGAAATGTAGGGCCCTCTGGGCTGAAAGACATAGGATCATTTTGAAATTTAGGGGGCACAACATTGAAGTTTTAAAAGTTTAATTCAAGTATGATGTCTAAGTTTTACAAATCTGAATTTGTATTATCTATTCTGAACTATAGGGGTAGAAACTAACATTTCTAGTCCACTAGTCCATATAATGATTATAACAAGTAGCAAAAGCCTTTAAGGGCAAATATCTACTTGTCCTTATGATACCTTAACCATTGGGTAGTTTGGCAAGGACTATAGGACTAGTGCCAACTACTAACGCTGGAACAAGTTTGATAATCATAATTGTTTCACTTTTTAATTATGAACATCAACTTTTGTCACGATCAAACCTTAAGCAGGGATTGCTAGACAATCATTTGTCTTAAAACAGACTCTCATTGTGTTGAAATGTCACTTGTAGGGGTTTGGGGTGTTGGGTCTGATGAAATTTCATTTTTGGCACTGACAACTGAGAGACATTGGTAGAGTGGTGCCTACTGTCTTTTCAATTATTTGTAATAGGAAAACACTTAACAGAGTCTTAAAACACTTTGTCTGTCTCAGCCATTTTGTAGCCTAGCAAAAGTTATTTATTAGGACAGAAGGATAGGCCTATCTAAGAAACATTTATAGAAATTATAAACCAATAACTACAAGCTCTTATACTACTGTATAGCGAAAGTAGGTTAAATGGAAACAAATCAATGACTGACGAATACACTAACCAATGAAAACATTTTGTCTGATTCCATATATGCTACTAAGTTTATTTTTTCCTTTCGTAAACATTTCTAAATCACGGAAAAACAGACTGATGTCTTATGAAGGGAAGGGCGATAATCTTCACAGTAAACCGGAAGTGGTATGGAAGTTTCATAATGAATTCAAGTTTGTCTCGACCGCAGCAGGTATTACTATTACTGGGTGGGTCTTTTTAAAATTTCATCTAAATTATTTGCAGGTTTGTTATGTCATCATAGTGGCTGTATCCTCGAAGGGGGTTGAAGTAGCGTAAAATTATTGTCCCCCTGAGAGGATATGTAAGCCCACATAAATCAAAGTAATTTTATATCTGCCAGTGTTTTAATCGTAGTATATTTGTTGGTTTAATCTGGCTAAACCTTGTCAATGGTCGCCAGTGACTAAAGGGATGGTGTAAATCCTGCTGGGGTCCATGCAGGTAGCAAAGGTACTGTAAGTCCCCATGGTCCTCAGTATGGTGACCTCACTTTAGTTGCTGGTGATATATAGCCCAATTTTATCTATTGTAATGTTATGAATTGTCATATTTTATGGTTCTGTACTAGTTTTAAACATATATCTGTGATAATCTAGTTGTTTTACTGTCCTTCGTTGACAGAATTTTATACAGTTTACATATATATTATTAAAGTCAAATTTTATCTCGTCACGATATGGCTGCAATACTGCCGATGTGACGTTAAATATTAACTCACTCACTCACTTGTTATGTCATCTGTGACATTATAACTGAAATAAACACAGCTTCATTTAGAAACAATCAAAGAAATTTCCAATCACCTATTATAGATCATAAATAGCTGATCATACCTGTTAGATACTCCTGCGAAAATGAAATACATAACCAGAATTTTGGTGTGGGAGTTAGCACACACTGACTTCACATCTGAACACTTGATGAGTGATGATATTTGACATACGTCTAAAATTAAGACAAACCACAGAAAATGAAAAAGGTTCATCTTTTGTGTCCACCAATAACATCAAAGGCTACCTTCCAATTCCTGCCCTTGGAGAGAAATGAGAGTATGGATCACAAATTTGGGAGTGTAAGCCCACTTGGCTTGTAGTGCATGTTTTCCCTCTGTTACAAATGTCTGTGGTTCAGGCTGTTGTACACAGTGATCCAACTCGTCCCATCAAGTACATATCTGGTGATTTAGAGGACCATGGGAGAACCTGTACATTGTAGTTCCCAGGGATGCTGCTGTTACACATGCTGTATGTAGTCTAGCATTACAGTGTTAAATGATGATGCTGATATGGTTCATAGTGTGAAATTGTGCCTGTAGGATTTCTTCACAATGGCGTTTGGCTGTTAAGCTGCCTTTCTTCCTCCAGGTTTGTTCTACCATTGTTGGAGATCGCCGCCCACATCACTACATTGTCATCAACAAATCTTTTCACCTGTTGTATGCTGTTCCTATCAGCTTGAAGTAGTATGATATATCTTGAGTTGTTGTTGAACCAAACAGTCCTCCATCACTGGTTGGGCCATATTCTGTGTGCTTGACAGCTCTGATGTCACAGTTGACAATGTCGTTTTGCCATCTGGCTCTGAGACCTGCTTCACGAAGTCATATGAGCTATGTCAGATATTCTTCACAATCTTGGAATTGTTGCTGTTTCGGCGAATGAGAAGCCCAGACTACTATACATAGATTATTCATGTTTAGAGCATCGAAGTACATCTATCCTATGGTCCTCTTGTGGTGTTACTTTTCTGTATTGTTACTTTTGGGTTAAATGCATTTGATTGTTACTGTATTTTAGAGATCCCAAAAACAACATTGCTGGTTTTTAACCAAACATGCCAACAACAAACATGCCAACAACACTGCTCACCTGAGGCAATACTTTTTGTGTGATATATTTGACAGATTTTTTTACAAATAGAAATCTTAATATGCTTGAAAGCACTGGTTATATTTAATCCACCAAAAGATTGTACATATGATATGATAGACTGCAAGATCAACCATTGCCAACTGCTTAATACGTTTTAAACAGTTGAAATGTCCCATCTTGTTCAGGTATGAATTCAGTATAATTAGTGGATATTAAGCCATCAATAATTCTTGTATTTATTGGACCAGGTATAGCAACCACAAAGAAGTTACATTAGCGACTGCGTCAAGGATATCCACTTTCCCCACGGCACTTACCTCTTCTTTATCTGACCAGTGAAGATCCAGGGTAGAATAGGTCTTTAGCAACTAATGCTTGTCGCTAAAGGTGACTATGTTGTTGTACAAGGCAACTAACGGGATGGTCAGGCTCACTGTTTTGGTTGATGCATGTTATGTATCCTAATTGCGTGGATCGATGCTCATGATGTCAGTCACTGGATTGTCTGGTCCAGACTCAATTATTTACAGACCGCTATCACATAGCTAGAATTTTGATGAGTGCGGCGTTAAACAACAGACAAGTCTACACCTTGGCAGCATAATAATTGGTGTCATCAATGTAAAAATGCTGTCACCAATGTAAAATACTGTCATGGACAATAAAAATCAAATCTTTAATATGAAGAGTATATGTGGACTTATGCTTACACTGAAAATGGCAGTAGTGCTCCTTTACGGAGCAGATCTTGAAAACCATACCATAATTCTTCATCAAACTTGGCACATAGATAGGTCCAGTGATGAACAATGGGTACAATGTGTGAAGCCCATTTCTGGTGTCCCCCGATATTGATGTTGCTGGAATATTGCTAAAAGCAGCGTCAAACCATACTCACTCTACTTATCATTGATGACTGTTCTTTTGAATGAAGTGATAAGATGATGATCAACCAAGATGATTTAAAATTTAGCTCACCTAAACAAACTTGTAATTTGAACTTTGACTTGATGCACCAATGTGTAATATATAACATGCAGTGAGTTGAAATAGATCTACTGCTCATGTTAGTTATAAGTACTGTGATGTACCTGTCCTCAACACAAGATTGCTGATGCAATGTTAAGTAATATTCACTCACTCACTCACTCACTCTCACTCACTCACTCACTCACTCACTCACTCACTCTCTCTCTCTCTCTCTCTCTCTCTCTCTCTCTCTCTCTTCACTCTCTCTCTCTCTCTCTCTCTCTCACTCACTCACTCACTCACTCACTCACCTGCTGTTCTTGCACCTGCTTGTGTGAAGCACAATGTGTGCACTATATACATGTTAAAGGGAGACTAGGCCTGGGTCACTTGGCAGTCCTAGCAAATTTGCTGGAAGTAATTCAAAACTCATTTTTCTGCAAACTCACATTTTGATATGTAGGTCTATGTCAAACAGGTAATAATTACCCTTACTCAAACAGTTTGACAAAAGTTGCTAATTATGTCAAAATTAGCCTCAAACTGGACCCCAGATCACAGAGCATAGTTCTCCTTTTAGGATGTTCATATCTGTTAGGAATTAGTTAATGTTTTGTATGGTCTAAAATCTTTTATTAATGATTGAATAATAACAAATAATGATTGATTAGGAAGGCTTGTAAAATTTAGGGCCTTCCTTATATATATTTATATTCACTATTCTGTTTAGAAAATGATTCAGGTTTATTTGCAAATGTGAAAGGGAATAGAATTTCTTTTATGAAAAGTATAGATTCTTATTTCCCTTCATTTTTCTTCTGAAATAACAAAACGTTCATATGATTATTAGCTGACCTGACTAAAAGTCAAGTGAGCATTTGTTGTGGCGCTTTGTCCGTTTTCTGGTTGTCCATCCATCTGTTGTAGAGTTTCGCATTTGCAACATCTCGTCTGAAACTAAAAGGCTGATAAAGCTGAAACTTGTGTTCTATTTTTTTCTGCATTATTTTGAAGTTTGATAAATTGTTTTGATCTTTACACCTTGACAGCATAATAATTGTTGTCATCAATGTAAAAATACTGTCATGGACAATAAAAATGAAGGTAAGTGCAGACTTTGAAAGTCATATCTTATTTTTATCATGCCAGTCTGCCACCATGCTTCAAAAAAAGTATTTGCATTCATTGGTACCCATGATTAGAATACCCTTGGTTAGAATAGGGCCGTCGGGTAGCCTCGTGGTTAAAGCGTTCGCTCGTCACGCTGAAGACCCGGGTTCGATTCCCGACATGGGTGAAATGTTTGAAGCCGATTTCTGGTGTCCCCCGCCGTGATATTGCTGGAATATTGCTAAAAGCAGCGTAAAACCATACTCACTCACTCACTCACTTGGTTAGAATAGGTCTTCAGCAACCCATGCTTGCCTTAAATATGCTTGTCGTAATAGGTGACTATCAGTATTGGGTGGTCTTTTTTAGAAAGGTATTTGTTTTCATTACAACGAATTGGATTTTTTTTAAAATGAGGGTAGTGCTCATTTCCAGAGCAGAACTCCAGAATATTGATTTATTTTTTGTCATGGCAACAATTTGGACTTATACTGAAAATGAGGGTAAGAGCTCGTTTCTGGAGCAGAACTCCAAAATCATTGACTATTACTTGATGAAACTTGCTATACAGATCAGCCTAGTGGTGATCTAGTGCCTTTTGATGATTTGGGATGTTGAAAACTTCTGAACTAAAGGTATCCAATGGCAACGAACCAAAAGGATTCATTACTCCATAACCAAATTGCACCAGACTGGGGAGATATGTCATCTTCTGATGAAGCTTGTTGTTTTTGTTAAAGTGAGGGAGTGAAGTTTTACGCTGCTTTTAGCAATATTCCCGCAATATCGAGGCGGGGCACACCAGAAATGGGTTTTCGCACATTGTACCCATGTCGGGAATCGAACCCAGGTCCTCGGCCTGACGAGCGAACGCTTTAACCACGAGGCTACCCGACTGCCCCTATTCTAACCAAGGGTATTCTAATCATGGGTACCAATGAATGCAAATACTTTTTTTGAAACATGGTGGCAGATTGGCGAACGCTTTAAGCACTAGGCTACCCGACCACCCCCGTTTTTGATAAAAATACTTGTAATCAAAGTTTACAAGATATACAAGATGTTTTAAAGATGTTAGCTTTTTCTTAAGAAGCAAAGGGCACTTAAAGCTGAAACTTTGTAAATGGTTATGACTATAAGCATGATAAGGAGATCCGTAAGAATATGTTTTTTTTTATTTACAAGAGACGTTTGTCTTAAGATTGTTTCTTCCTGTGAGCTACAGAGATTTGCGGCAGGAATATTTTTTAAGACCATGTATGATTTCTGAAACTGTTTTCACTACATTGAGACAATCAAGAGACAGTCCCCCTAAAGGACATGGGAAAGGGTCATAATACATGTAAAACAAGTAGCTGTAGGTACTTTTGGAGGTAAAACCTCTGAATATGTAATCATTATTTTTACCTGCCTTTTACATGATGGAATCTCACATGTTTTTTCAGGAAACGTAAGCATGTTTAAGGACAAAATAACTCAGAAAAATGATCAAGTTATAGATTTGGGATGATCTAACAACTGTGCGATTCGAATCGTATCACGACACCTTGCTCGCGATCCGATACCTATCTCAATACTTGCCTGTGCTCTTATCTGTGGTGTGTAAGCCATCTTTTTCATAGACATGATGGCCAAATACCTGGCAAACTAACAATTTACACAATGGATGAAAATATTTGCGTTTTCTATACTCATTTTCACTAGTAATTAGTGTTTGGTGTAATATTTATTAAAGAATACATTTAAGGTAAGAATCAGTACTTTTTACTTAGTGTGCGATTGTGATTGATAAGTGAATCGAGAAGATGCATTGGTGTATTGTCCCACTACTATCAAGTAATGGCCAAGTGGAACCTCTCATGCAAAAAAAGGAAATAAAACATTTTTCAACCTGACTTTGCAGTCAACAAGGATTCTTCATCAGGAAATTTGTTAGTATTTCTGTTTTGTACCGAGAGGAAAAAGTTGTAGATATTTTACCACAATTTGACTATCAAATGTTTTTTTCAGACAAAGCATGTAAGAAAGTGTATGAGGTAAGACCTGATCTCAACGAGAAGGTATCACTGTGGTGTGGTGACATCACAACGTTAGAAATAGATGCTATTGCCAATGCTGCCAATGAAGGACTCCTTGGAGGAGGAGGAGGTAAGTTACAGAGAGCTCAGTTTTAGCGTAGAGGTTATGGTATAGCCTGGTGGAGGACACTGATGAACCAGATTCAATTCCCTGTTAAGACCATTTTTGGCACCCCCTGCCATGATCCTCGATTACCCAGTATGTTATATCTCCATTCTGTTATTGGAATAACATGAAGCTAAAAAAAGCTGTCCAATCAAGTCACGTCGTTCCATCGTGATTGAAACAATTGGTGATATCGCCAGTATTTGACCGGCCTTGTTGCTTGTGTCTCAAATACTTCTAAGAAGGTCTTGTAGCCTGACTTTGACCCTGTCTTAATTCAAAGGAAATGACTCTTGATTTGATTATATATATTAAAGACCGAGATTTTGATATTAGATCAATGTCAAACTTGCTTTTGAAAGCGGCGTTGTGCTACATTATAGATAGGTGTCACTTGGTAAACCTGCTAAATGAAGCTATGGTGGGAAATGGGTCCTTTATGTATATCATAACAGAATGGAAATATTGTACCCTGGAACATCAAGGTTGGGAATACCTGATGATATATGATGGTGTGGGAATATTTTTAAAAGCAATGTAAACCCATAATCAAATATATTGTGGGAATATCAACTTTGTCATGTTAGTCAATACTGTAAACGCTGTTAACATGTTATAAGATCTTTGAGTGATATGTTGCTGATGATAAGATACGAGGGTTGATGTGATCGAGATATTTACACAAAAACTTGAGTCAAATGACCCAATTGTTTCGCCATGACAAGTCAGTAAATTCAGCAGAGGTCTGTGATCTGTGGAAAATGGACAAACTTGTGGAACATGCAGTGATCAAGTTCTTGCAGAAAGAAAGAAGCCATCCATGAAGATATGAGTACAACACTTAGGAAGGATGCCCCATCCCATGCCATGTTAAGAGGTTAGAGGTGGGCAGGAAAGTTTAAGCATGGCAGGGAGAGCCTTCACGAAGGCCTGTGATGTCAGCAACATCAGAAGTGATCCAGAGCATCCACACCATGGTGATGACCAACTGGGACTGATAATTCAGTAGGCATTTCTGAGGAGAGTGCATTCCATTTTCACAAAAAACTTTGGCAATGAAAACCTTATTAGCTCATTGGGATCCAAAGCTTCTGACATCTGCTCAAAAACGCACCAGGCATAACGTCTTTTGATAATCCTGGCTGCTCTGTTTGAAGCTGAACCAGAAAGGTTCTTGCAATGATTTGTGACTATGGATGAAACCAAGGTTCACTACTTCTAGCCTGTGTCCAAACAACAATATTCGAGTACTTGATTAGTCCACATTCCTCAAGTTTGTCCATTTTCCAAAGGTGACAGACCTTTGCTTATTTACTGACTTGTCACAGCAATTGACTCAAGTTTTTGTGCATATGCCTTTATGACATCATGTAATGTCCGCAACAAAAGATTTCACTATTACACAATTCCTTCTATGTGATGCTCAAAACTTTTGAATCAACCCTCATGCTATGTGTGTCCTATAAGTGATCAACTTCGTTATTACAATTGTAGCCACATTGAGATGAAGCTAGAATCAACAATCAATGATCCTCACTAAATTCACAAGACAGATGGACATGATTTAGTCCATACATACATCATGTTGTGGCCAAACAGTGTGAACATTTCATGCTTATCCAAGTTATCCAATCCCTAATGGACCTGGTTCAGGGTTAGAATTGGTACCGACCAAGCTATGCTGGTTGTGAGAGGAGACTTAATGAATCGGTTGGTCAGAGACACTGGCTGGGTTGATTGATTGTACCCCTAAACAGTATGGATCGTTCTCACAATGTCAATTACAGGATTGTTTAGTCCATACTAGAAAGCTGGCTGCAGTATGTATACAAGAATATTCACCCCCTCCCTCCAATGTTATTGCAGTAGATGGTGCTATCCATTCAGCAGCAGGACCCAAGCTGAAGAAAGAATGCAAACTCCTTAAGGGCTGCAGACCAGGCGATGCTAAAATAACTGCTGGCTATGAGCTTCCTGCCAGATGTAAGTGCTGAATCATTTGATAAAATAACCTGGTGATATGATTAAATCTGTTTTCTCCAGACAATTATTGATCTACTATCATGTTTGTATTGAATCAAATGTTTAGAAAATGAAAGTATAGGTTAAATCTACTCGTGTCATGAATTCTTGGATAACTGGTTATGGTTTGATTTGAAGTCCTAACCAGTTAAAAAATGTGCAAACCAATATTATCCTGTTTTAATGATATAAATATCATTTGAAGTTATATGTAACGTGAGCTGTGTTCGTTCTGAGTAAAATCAGATCTAATTTCCATACCAAGGTTAACAGTCAACCAATCAAATGAGTTCAGTCATAAAGGCAAGGCAGCATTTATTATCCCCTACCACGAAGTGGAAGGGGGAATATATGAATGGGTACTCTCCATCCGTCTTTCTGTCCGTCTGTCTTTCTGTCTGTCTTTCTGTCTGTCCGTCACGTTTTGTTTCCTGGAAGAACTCAAAAACCATGAGAGATAACTTAACCAAACTGGACACATTGATTGGCCTAGTTGTGAACTGGTGCCTTTTGATAGTTTTTTTTCTTTTTCTTTCCAAAAATAATTTTCCACATTCCATTGCAACAACTTTGACTCAGACCATGTAGACTGAAAATGGATGTAGTGCTCGCTTCCGGAGCAGGTCTTGACAACTGTACATTATTTGTTCACCAAACTTGGCACATAGATAGGCCTAGTGGTATACTGGTGCCTTTTAAAAGTTTGGGATTTTTTTAGAATGTTTCCTTTGCAAGAAACTGGTAATGTGTAACATTCGTTTCTGGAGCAAAACTCGGAAACCGTTTACACATTTTACAAAGAGATCTATGCAGGGTTGTCTGAGAAACGTTACCATAATTTATCATCCAAAACTTGCTCCCACAGGAGATATCGCTTGGGTGCGATCAAGAGATATCTACATTGTAGATATCGCTGCAATGAAATTGCATCACAATGATTTGCAGACGATTGTGACGTCACTGGTTACCATGACGTAACAATCAAATGACATCACTAATGGCTCTGCTACTGAAGCTGTTAGCAGTACTTTTAACACTTAAGGGGGCGGTTGGGTACCCAGGTTAGATTCCCGACATGGGTACAATGTGTGAAGCCCTGGTGTCCCCCGCCGTGATATTGCTGGAATATTGCTAAAAGCGGCGTAAAAATATACTCACTCACTCATTTAACACTTAAGACACTGGTTATTACTATCTACAAACTGAAAAAGTTGGAAGAATGATGTTGGATAGATAGAATCTCACCCTCGTGTCTTTTGATATTAAATATATCAACATGATTTGATAAAAGTGGAAACACTGTAAGGCTTACCAACAGCTCCAGTTGCAGAGCCATTAGTGATATCATTTCATTGTGATGTCATGGTAACCAATAACGTCACAATGTTCCGCAAAGCATTGTCATGCAATTTCATTGCAGCGGTATCTACAATATAGATCTTACTTGATCTCACTCAAGCAATATCTCCTGTGTCAGCAAGTTTTGGATGATAAATATTTGATATCAAAAGATACTTCCATATATCAAATCAGTAAACAAGAGTTGGTCTCATATCAGTCATTTAATAATGAATACATAGAGGATATTTAATGTGTTTTCTCAAATACCACTTTCATCTCACGAGTGAAAATATTAGACTCTCCCCACTTCACTCGATGAGATAAAAGTGGTATTTGAGAAAACACATTGAATTTTCTATTTATTATATACATGTTTTTTTTTTATTACTTGCAATTTATATATTTTTTTGAAAACAGTGTCTGATATATTACTAAGTTCTCCCTGTCGCCCCTTTACCACCGCCGTATAAAGGGGGTTTGCGAAAAGAATATAGTTCGTGAATAAAACTAGCCCTGTTAATATATGTTATGCGAAACATATTATTTCATATCGAGTATTAAGTTCCGTGGAAATTAAATTCTTGGAAAATTCAAGCGGGCGCTTCTCGCCTTGGCAGTACGTCTCGCTGTCGCCAGTTGTGCCTAATGACTGGCGAAACATGTCCGGCGCAAGAGTGATATTAACATTGACATAGATGTTATTTCCAGACATCAGACTCCATGTCTGATATTTGAGAAAACACATTGAATTTTCTATTTATTATATACATGTTACATTATTTCTTGTTGCTTAGCAGACGTAAACAAAGGGGGATAACCCTTTAATGTTTTGATTCAGGAGAAAGTAGTTCCGGCACCTAGTTTATATCAGTCACTAGTGTCTGATAACTTGATCCATCGTCACTGATAAATTCCAGTATTTCATTCATATGTATATAATAAAGATAATTATTTTGTGATAAGATTTTATATTATTACAAATTGTCAATGAAACCTCTAAATTAAAAACACTGGTTTATCACCATTCTACTATAAAGCTGACACGACTGTCAATTTCCTGCAGTAGTTGCTTGTTTCAAATCTACCATGACAAAATGAGGAATGAAACGTGTCTGTGTGTTAGAATGCTTAGTTTGACTTGCTAGTTGTAGGAATGAACATTAATAATTTTGTTGTCTTTTTGAAAATCCACCATGTTAATGTTATTAAGTTACTTTTCAGATGTTATTCACACTGTTGGTCCAGTAACAACTTCTCCAGAGACCCTTGAGAGTTGTTATGTTCAATCCTTGACAAGAATGAAAGAAAACAAGCTGAAAACAATTGTAAGTGTCTCCCCAGTAAATCTAGCACATCCATTTTTGATGTCTTGATGCTGAGCTACACAAGCTCCAATACTGACAACTGGCACTACTCATCCAAGATGCCAAGTTTTTCTAAGATCAAATACTAACACTAGATATTGTTGTTTGCATGATATTTATCACAGGTTTTGTTTCATAGTACATTTAACTGCATGTCAAGAAACGTAATGTAACATATGTGAGCACAGCTGCAATTGGTTTACTCAACCACATGCTTTTGACAGATGTGAGTGACTTCATTCCGCATATACCTGTTACATGCCCCTGGGGAATTTTTCAATCTCATTAAAATCAGATCTTAGTTCTTGCTATCGCTAAACAATGATCTGAGGACATCCCATTAAGGGTCACATCAGAACGACCTTCATCCGACCAATCAAAGAGTCGCTTATCAGATCATGAAAGTGACAGTTGAAATGTGTTTTCTAATCATGCAACCTCGAAAATGTTAACATGGGGTATTCCGAATGACAGTAACGGCCTGTACGACTGATTCTGTTAAAATTATCGTCTATCTCTCACGTCCGTGGGATAAATGTTTGAATGGTGGAAGCGTTGCACAGTACATGGGAAGCACTGCCATACTATCTCAACCATATATTACACATTCCAGAATGTTTGTTTGTTCAGTTTTCAAAATTTTAATCGAGAAATGTGTCGACATATCTTTCAGGAGAGGTCTGAAATGGAAGTCGCCAGGTTGAAACGAGTGCCTTAAAGCTCGAGAAAGCTGCTTTCTAAAGGCTGACATCGACTTCTTGTTAGTCATTTCAGTGGTCCCTGGACTGGGTCGTTCTGACGTGACCTGTATTAGGATGTCCTCAGAGATCTTTGTTTAGCGGCACTGGAACTTAGATCTGATTTTAATGAGATTGGGAATTTTTCTGACTAAGATGTGATGACATTGAACATGTTTTAGGACTTGAAAAAAGATAGACCCAGGTAAATCCCTGGATACCGGTAGATATTGCTGTGGTCAGCTGTCACTGATTTTGTGAAGTCAAAATGGTTCATGGTACATGTTTCTGGTGATACTGAATTATGATAGTTTTAGATTAGTACTGCTACTAATGAATGAACAACTCATATGTCACACCATCATGAAAGTACCTTTGCAAAATGATACAGAAAGTTTATTGATTGGGTTCTATGTTAAAATATAGATTTTTATTAGTAGTATTCACCATTTCTTACGAAGTTGATGTTAAAAACTGGTGTTTTGTTTTTATGTTACCTAATTGTAAAACAGAGTCGGACAAAAATATTATTGTATAAATAAGTCATTTTTTTATATTTCTAATTTCAGGTGGTTTCTTTGTCTTTTGGTTGGTCGCGTAAACCAATTAAAATATTTGTAAGGTCTATGTACACCTTTCTAGTATGTTTCTCTTTTCCAGGCGTTTCCTTGTATATCTACAGGAATATATGGTGAGTTAACACAACACCATCAGTACACACAGTACATGCCCTTTGCCCGAGGGGACACAACCCTTCAGTCGGTTAAGGTTTGTCTTCCACACAAAAAAGCTCAGGAACAAAATGGACCAATTAAGTTGACACTTCACATTCTTGTACCCACTACTGATGTCACCTTAATTTATTCAACCTGTTGTTTCCTAATTTTCATTATGACAGACATTACTTGACAGACAAAATACTTTTGTTCAAAATGTTATAAAAATTGGTCCATAGTGGGTTTGTTTTCCAGATTGTATCCAGTATTTATTCTGAATATATTTTAATAACAATGTTGACAACATGTTAGTTAACCATGTTAACTGGCTGTCTTTGTTGACATTTTGGTTAATGTACTGGCTCTAGTTACATTATCAGCAGTAGAAAGTAACATTTTTAGTCCATTAACATATAGCAAAACCTTTAAAAAGGGCAAATTTCTACTAGTCCTTATGATACCTTAACTATGGGGCAGTTTGGCAAGGACGACAGGACTAGTGCCAAATTCTAATGCTTATTTTGTGATCTCGAAGATGCAGTATTTATAAGCAAAACAGGTTGTTTATTCATCCTGTGCACTTTATCCCATGTGTCTGAATAGGCCTGTTTTGCTCCTGATGAGATTTAACAAAATGCAATTGTTTCAGGTTATCCTAATGAGAAAGCAGCCCCAATTGCGATGAGAGTAGTTCGAGATTGGCTGGAAAATGATCCATATGGACCTGAGGTACAGTGTCGAACTTTACAGTGAAAACTCAAACTCCAATTTTTTGTCTGAAGTTTCAGCAATATACAACTTACCCATTGGATAAGAGGCGACAACATGATTACAAAACTGACATTAATACCTTATGAAGGACTTATTTTGCCTAATATGTATGGATTAGTTACAATGTTAAATTAAATCCATCAGAAGAGAGACCATATGTAAAGACAGGTCAAATTAGTTTGCCTGCTATCCCGGTAAGATTCCAGGTAACATAGGTCCCCAGAAACCTATGTTTGTCGTAAGAGGTGACTTACGAGGGCTGGCTGAAAAGTTCTAAGCCTAACTGTGGAAGACCTGTATCAAGTTGATGGTTTTCATTTATTTCTCCACATAGTCCCCTTCCAGGTTTACACACTTTTGCCAGCGATGCTGCAAGGCCTGGATGCCGGTCAAGAAGAAATATTCTTCAGCCACCCTAGAAAGGGCATTCACAGCGGAAATGACGTCATTATTACTAGGAAAATGGCGACCGGCTAGTTCCTTTTGCATTTTGGGAAACCGGTGGAAGTCTGACGGGGCCAAATCGGGTGAATAAGGGGGATGGTCAATGAGTTCGAAGCCACAATCATGGATCGCTGACATGGCAAGCACGGATTTGTGAACAGGAGCATTGTCTTGGTGGAACAGGACTCCTTTAGTGAGCATTCCCCATCGCTTAGCTTTGATAGCTTCACGCAACTGTCTCAGTAAGTCAGCATAATATCTTCCATTGATGGTCTGGCCTTTTTCAAGATAGCCAATCAGCAGAATACCCTTGGAATCCCCAAAGACTGAAGCCATCACCTTTCCAGCAGAAGGAACCGACTTGGCTTTTTGGGGGGCTGGTGATTCCGGATGCTTCAATTGTTTAGACTGAATTTTGGTTTCTGGTTGAAAGTGATGAATCCAGGTCTCATCCATGGTTACAAATCAGGCCAGAAAATCATCAGAATCTGCTTCAAAATGGCATAAATTGTTATGGAACGTCAGGAATCTGACACGTTTCTGATCCGCTGTCAAGAGCTTTGGCACCCATCTTGCAGAAACTTTTGTCATTCCCAACTTGGTGATAATCTGCTCAACCCTCTAATGAGAGATGCCCAGAACACTGGCAATATGTCGAGTGGTCAAGCATCGATCAGCCATCACCATGTCATGCACCCGGGTAATTTTTTTCTGGAATGGTTGCTGTTGAAGGCCTTCCTGGACGCGGGTCATCGTCAAGGCTCTCTCTGCCACGCTTGAATTCCACAGCCCACTTCTTTACAGTGGAAAAGGAAGGGGCATCATCCCCTAAAGTGGAGACCATGTCAGCATGTATCTGTGTTGGTGTTAGCCCTTTCAGTTGCAGGTACTTGATGACTGCCCTATAGCCAGTTTTGTCCATTTCAGGTGATTTCAATGGGTATGTTCACAAGATGGTCTGGTACAAAGACAATAATAACACTACAGTTGCAGTTCGTATGTCTATGATTCATTAAATGATTGTTGGTTGCAAAAGTTTGTTTCAATCCGATTGACATATCCCACTTAGGCTTAGAACTTTTCAGCCAGCCCTCATACTAGATCGGGTGGTTAGCTTTGTAACTTGGTTGTTGGCATGTCATCGTATCTTCATAGCTGGGTTTGATGCCTATCATGCCATATACTGGATTGTCTGGTCCAGGCTAATTATTTACAGACAGTCGTCATATAGCTGGAATATTGCTTAGTGTGGTGTTAAACTGTAAACAAACAAAACAAAAGTTGGCCTGCTAATTTGTTCAGCATCTTTTTCATGAATACAGTGTTCCCTCACTATTGTGTTCTTCAATATAATATAGCGCCAGCTCGGTTGTAGCATGTGGTAAAGCATGACTCCAAAATTTTACTTACATTTTTAATAATTTTAGATACAATTCTTCCGACGATTGCATCAAAATTCTTTGAAGTTGTTACATTGGGTACTTTTTAACTGAATCCCAGGTAGATAGGGGAGGAAACCTGTGCACAGCTGATTCCTATTTCTGGCTTAGTTTACGAGAAAATACACATGGTAATCTTAATCTCTGCATATAGAACAATGGCTAAGAGAGCAGGAAATTCAATTTAAAAGGTAAAACATCATGTCCGGTGATGTTTTATATCAAATTTCATATTTGTATTGACAAAGTTTGTTATACCTTTTCGTTCACCTGTATTCGTTGAAGAGATATAATGTGTTTTTTTTAAAGCGCATAACCATGTAACACTCGATAAATCGTTTTTAAACTATGAATCATAGACAACTACTGTTCTAATCTTTTTTTAAACTCTGAAACCTGCAACGTAGAATGTGTTAGGTAGGCAGAGAATACTGTTTTTGTTGGTCTTCTACTCCCAACGACTCCACCTCGGTTAAACCACTGATTGTCTATAACGCTCATCAACTATTTTCACCCCAAAGGTAGCGTTGTAGCAAGGAATCTCTGTATATATCATTTTATGTACATTCATTTAGCTTGATGTGTTAGGTTATCAAAAAGGCATCGCCTGACTAACATTGTTTTGAATGTTTTCTATCTCAAACATGTAAAGGTTTGAGTTTAATGCAAACTTAGGATACTCGAACGTAAGATACACAGTGTCATGCAGTGTGATGTTCTCTCTGTCAGCCACATGGTCATTGATGCTTGTCTTCTACAATACAGGTGGAGAGGGTTATTTTTTGTCTCTTCCTGGATATTGATGTGGAATTGTACAAGGAGGGGATGAACACTTTCTTCCCACTTGGAGACAGCAACTCAGGAGGTGAGGGTTGGTTGAGGTTTGTCTTGCATAGGAGGTGAATCAGACATTGAATAAGAATGTGAATGAGGAAGTGAGTAAAAAAAGAATACTAAACAAGCTTCTGTGTAAACCAATTTGATGAAACGTGTGAATCGCTCTGGCCTAACCAGAACTATTCCCGAGTTGACACATATTAATTTAATACAACACGTCATTCCTTTTGAATCCAGCGGTCCGTTCCACAAAGCTGTCATAGCACTAAGGTTATGGTAATTCCCATACTATAACATAGACTTACGACTGTCTTTGTTCTATGATCGCCTTGTGGAACAGGGCCCTGCATCACAAAGTTTACAGACATGTCACAATACCCTGTTACGTAATTTGTGGAATTTTATTGAAACAATGCCATGTGACGTCAGCCAAGCATCAGGGTTGCTGGGGTCATCGGTTATGCATAAGCTCCTATCATCTCAGTGTTGTTGAATAAGCCCACGGATGTTGGGAGTTTTCAATATTTGTGAGTGAAACTTGTTCCTGCAGTTAAAAAGCATGTGCCTTGGTATTACACAACATGTAATACAGCTGTATGTTATTCTACCATGAATTTGGAATTTACTCTATTCTGATTGGTCAATCAGAGGCTATTAAATCACAATAAACCCCCTCTGATTGAAACAGCGGCATCACCGCGGAAGCTAATATTCATGGAATAGTACTATTTTCAGTCATTGTCGGTAGGCATATTTAAATAATTATATCTACAATTACAGGTTACAAAATGCACAGATGCGGTTACTACAATATTCAAAGGATGTGTGGCAATACATTTCGTGCAGAAAAACACGACAGAAATCAACAAAGGGAATGTATATATGTTTTGAAGACAACAGAGAGATTGGAATTTTGGCGCTTTTCTATATACGACTGTGACGTCATAACTTTTGCGTCACAATGAGAGATATGACGTCAGAATGGTGGTGTGTGATGTAGAGCAAAAGCCTTGCAAAGCTTGCTTTGTTTACTTTAGGGATGCCCACCTCATGTTAACTTACCAAGTTGCCGTGCTTATACGCTTTCAATGCCTGTCATGTTTTCGAGTGAAGTATTACGTTGTAAACAAACTGCTTGAGTATATACAGCGCCATATTTTGTTCAGTGATTCCGTAATTCAGATCGATAACCCACTCTAAACACTGGACTCAACCCATGCCGCTTCACTCAGTATATTAGCTGACATCAAAGAGTTAGCGTTTTATTTAGTCATGGTAGAATGGAGATAAACATACTGTGTTTTCAATGTAGAGCTAGGTTACCTGTAGATTGAACCCCGCTAAATTGAATTTGCATTGAAAACACAGTATGTTTATCTCCTAATTGTATCTCTTCACAGGCAAGTAATAATTGAGTTTGACACTGCTTTAAAAAGTACTTAAGTAATATCACATTACATCAGCTAAGTGTGAATAAGCCTGAAGTGACACATAGGTCATAGACTTTCACCACTTCATTGAGACACATGTATATGTTTGGGTAGGGTGCTGATACAAGATACCAATCAGGGAAAATCTCAGATTTGATCTCCTGGCATTGCTAAGGGATGCAACTCTGCAGTTCCTAAGACCACGAGGTCTGTTCATATTGTTAACTTATCTCGTAACGCCTTCACCTCAGACCATGAGAATGTCAATTACTCAACATGTTACCAGTGTTATTTACATACAAGTAGTAAAGTATGCTGTGTTTCTTTATTTTTCTAATTTTGCTTGATGTTTTTAATTTTTCAATTATTTGTCTTTTTATAAAAAAAAATTTTTTCACTTTATATTGGGTGAAATGATTTCATTTATTTATCAAATGACATTGTTGGAAGATCATCAAATACTACGAAACATCAATAACACAAAAACTCCCTAAGTTTATCAATAGATGTGGATGATCAAATAAGATTTTCCAAAGATTTATTTCCTTTGAGAATGTCTAGTTTGATTTGCAGGTGAAACAGCTGAAGGTGCTGTAAGTGATGAGGCCAAGGGAACCAAGGATGATGATGTTTCTGTAACTGATGAAGCCACAGCTACAACTGTTGATGAAGTTGATGTCAGCGATAACAGCAAAGAGCCCAAAAATGAATCCATGGAAGTGGATGATACCGGAAACACAGCTAAGGAGAAGGGAGATAACTCTAAAGCATCAAAGGGCAATGAAAATGACATTGAAATGAAAAATGATCAGTCTGAAAGTCAGGAGGCTTCTATTGATGACAAAGTTGATGATGACACACAGGAAACAGCTAAGGGGAAAGATGGAGGTAAGGTGTCAGCAGAAGAAAGTAAGGGAGATAAGTCTAGTCGAGAAAAGAAGTCTGTTTCGGCAAAGAAGGAATCAGCAGATGGAGATGGAGACGGTGACGGCGCCAGGGACAAATCACCATCAGAAGGTAGCAAAGAATCTGAATCGGCCACAAAGACAAAAAGTTGTCATTTATGAGGATGGTATTTTTTAATGATGGCATCTTTGAAAGGTTGAGGTGTGAGAAGGGTTCTCTGGAATTATAGTAAATTAATAATGATGCTGAAAATGTGACATCCCTTTGAAAAATATCTTGCAACAAGGGCATGTTCATTTTATAATACAACTTCTGGTGTCCCCTGCCATGATATTGCTGGAATATTGCTGAAAGCAGCATAAAACAATACTCACTCACTCATTTTGTAACATGAGAAAAATGCTTCCCCAAGATATAAAAAATTGGTCTTTTTGGCACATGATTGCGCTTAATTATATTTTAGGTTCACACTCGCAAGTGTTCATTAAGTATTTTTTCTCAGTCATATGAACTTTCTTGTAACTTTCATAGTTTTCCTCATTTTATCAAAAATCGCAATTGTTTTAATTGTCTTAAAAGGTTCCTTATCATTCCTTATCCTTTCTTAATACTGTAAATCTGGCATGGGTTGTACCATGCAAGTATTAAGAGTGTTCAACAAGCATCTTTATGCATGGAGAAAAGTTTTGTTGATAAGAACATGGATCCAGAGTTGGGGTCCAGAAGGTCCGGACCCCCCACTTTTGAAAAACTAATATAGTATGTTTAGGCATTAAAGTTATCTGAGAGATGATTTTAATATTTTGGACCCCTCCCATTTAAAAAAGCTGGATCTGCCCTTGAAAAAATACATGACAGTCCGTGGTCTAAAAATCAATCTAAAAACTTTTCGTTTTGGATGATACATGTATTTAAAACAAAAATATCCTGGTAGGCATTCACATCTTCGTCGGTGACTTTGTATGCAGGTGACTAAACTCCTTTGTTTGAAATTAACATCCCACTCAGCTGATCCATGAAAAATGACTTTGTTTAGTTTGCGTGTCCCATTTGACAAAGTGTCATTAGTATTTATCAATTGGAAGTCTGTAGCAAGGTGTAACAAGCATAGCTCCAAGATGGCTTGTCAAACAGGGCTCTGCGTCACCAGTCCCTAGTGTTTTATTGAGGGGGTATCTAAAATGGGGATCAGGTTGATTGTGTTTTGTTGTAAATCGAGGGCAGGAATTGGTGCTCATGCTATTAGTCACTGGTTCGTTGGATTTAGACTAGGTTATTTACATGCTGCTGTGATGTAGCAGGAATATTGTGGCGTTAAACAACATTCACTCACTCAAGCTAAAATGAGGATTGGGGTTGACCTGGCTGATTTGTTTCTTTGCTTCCGGGCGGTCAGCGATGGAAATTAACACTAGTCCTGAGGTAATTGCCAAACAGCCAAATAGTCAAGGTATCTTAAGGACCTGTCCAAATTTGCCATTTTAAACGGTTTTGCTATATATTATCATTATAAGATCTAGTGGACTAAAACTGTTAGTTTCTTTCGCTGGCAATTCAATAATTAGTATGGATTGGTGCTCACGCTATCAACCATAAGTAAGCCTGGTCAAGAATCAGAATTGGTTATTTAAACCTGTTGTAAACAGTTTAATATTGTTTGAGAAATTCAAGATTGTGTAGGAAAGAATTGTGTGTAGCACTGCCATCAAAATGCACGCTAGTCCGCCAGCCCGAGACTACTAAAATGTGAGGACAAGTAAGAGTCCAATCATGGTTGTCCTCATTGACTCGTTGCATTGAGGGGCTATAAGTTGGAACCAGACCTCAAAGCTTCACTTTTGCTACAAACTGGAACTGAATAAAACTGACATAAAATTTAAACATTTTAAACAATTTTGTCTTGTTCAAGCATGACTTCTTCAAACTCACGCCGAGTGAAGTAAAATTTCCACTATATTTCTGACAGGTCTTTATTAACGTCATTCTAAGGCTGTATGCGACCCCTGCAGTTCTCACAGTAATCATGTTTCTTGTAATACCTTCCATATTTACAGTCTGTTTTAAAGAACCTTCTCATATCATCTTCCCTGCATCAGTAACTTGCAGACTTGTATATTGTGGGATTTATCACTGGATGATCATCAATTTGTACATTTGCAAGTTTTTATGTATGTTTCTGTTATATAAGTCATGAGTAATGGCCAAATCTTATGTTCAGCGAGACATATGCACATATAGTTGTTTTGCAGAGGGGATATTCTGCTCCAACTGATGTTAATGCTTCTGTTTTAGCTTGTTTACCATGTTTACATGATGGGATATTTCATTGATGGATTTAACTCAATCATGTCGATGATGAAATATGTTTCATGATTGATGCTTTGTCTTTCAGACAGGAAGAATGCTTGGATGATATTTGTTAATTTGTTAAATCAATGTTTTAATGATGCATATAAATGTTTTGAATTTTTAGACCAGCAAACCACCAGATATAATACTCCAATAATCCTTATATCTCACTAACCCTGGTCCATGATTTTGTGGTACTTTGTTAAAGGGGGCCTCATAGGGTCTAGTCATCAATTGGCTGGGCAGAGCTGCAGCTTATCATGCTTATAGGCATACCAGGATCCGATTATCAGGGGTTCAAACTCCAGATTTGCTGTGATTATGATTCTCAGTTTGCCTGTGCTCGTGAGTTTCACCAAAATGGGAATCAGTTTAGACCTGTATCACTTTTGGCTTTCCTGTCACAGTAAACTAACATGAAATACTGTGGAAAGCGGTGCAAAGGCCCTCTTCTCCTTCATGAGATTTTATGCATGAAGTCCAGTGCTTGGGTGAACAAAGTGACCTACTTTTTCAAGGGGTGCGAAATTGAAGCTGACTGGTTGCAAATTACAGGAGCAGTAACAGCACTCTGACATGACACTGATGCCAGGAAAGATTCAGCATTTGATTCCTGGTAGTGTCCTGTCATGAGTTCTCCATCTTATTCAGGTCTCTCTATCTTTAACACTCAGTAGAGAGAAAAGAAATACATGAGCATAGTGTAGAGTATTACATCATAAGCATGACGGGATAGGAGAGTTTTGATTTGAATGTATATTTACTATTAAATGAAATAATAGTACACTAAATTTCGGATTCGGTTTGAGGTATCAAGTTGTGTGCTATGCTGTCCTACCTTTATGCTTGATTATATAGTGTCATAGTGCAGATTTATGAGAACCGGTGAAATAGGGGCCCATGTTACTTAGAAATTCAGGGTCATTTGTAGTTGTTCAGGTTCCTCTAAGGTGTTCACTGTGCAGAGATGCATCCCTTAGACGTTCCAGACAGCTTTGATCATAGGTTGGATTCCCAGTTCACCCTGATATATTTCTTGATTTGTCATGGCTATGCCTATGCTTGTTGGTTTCACTGAAGTGGTTAACTATTAGGACTTCAAAGAACAGTTAACCCAGACAGAAAAATCAATCACTCAATGATGCATACCCCTTGAAATCTAAAGCACTAATGATGAGTAAGGCATTTTGTGGTCGTGGCCTAGATTTATATTTTAATACTTCACTCAATTTCAGTGTATGCATGTATGAGGAAATTTAAGGACAAAATCATTAATTCAGAATCAAATTGACATGGACAATGATCAAATATTTTTGGGCTATATCAGTTTAATGCCTGCTTTGCTATTTGCCAAGATGCATCCATAGCCAAGAGTTACTTTCTGACTATTTTCATGATTAAAAATCTTTTTTGAATTGTGTCTTTTTGTAGTAAAACCTCTTCCAAAGAAAGGAATCACCTGGCTCGATTAGAACATTTTGTTGATTAAGTGTTTATTAGACAATCGGATATACAGCAGATATGCAAGATATTGAATTGTTATTTTTGACATAAAACATAATGGAATTGTGAATAAATTACGAATACATGTAGTCCATTGGATGACAATGGAGTGAATAAATAGTAATAGAGTGATTTCTAATTAGATTGTCTGTCTTTTTTTATGAAATAATATTTGCATATACTTGGTTAGTGAAGGATATATTTATGGTTGTGTGTAGCATTGTCTGTAGTGCTACCAGGAAGGACTCTTTGAAGGATGTATGCCCCTGGGTTTCACCGAAGTGGTAAACGTGGAAGTCCTGCAGCACTTCCAGCTTTATCCCACATGACGCTGATCCGACTGAAATTCTGTTCAAACTCACTCGGGGGCATGGTTGTTGGTTCGAATCCCGGTTCGCCCTGATTATGCCCCTGGGTTTCACCTAAGTGGTAAACGTGGAAGTCCTGCAGCACTTCCAGCTTTATCCCACATGGCGCTGATCCGACTGAAATACTGTTCAAACTCACTCGGGGGCATGGTTGTGGGTTCGAATCCCGGTTCACCCCGATTATGCCCCTGGGTTTCACCAAAGTGGTAAACGTGGAAGTCCTGCAGCACTTCCAGCTTTATCCCACATGACGCTGATCCGACTGAAATTATGTTCAAACTCACTCGGGGGCATGGTTGTGGGTTCGAATCCCGGTTCGCCCTGATTATGCCCCTGGGTTTCACCTAAGTGGTAAACGTGGAAGTCCTGCAGCACTTCCAGCTTTATCCCACATGGCGCTGATCCGACTGAAATACTGTTCAAACTCACTCGGGGGCATGGTTGTGGGTTCGAATCCCGGTTCACCCCGATTATGCCCCTGGGTTTCACCAAAGTGGTAAACGTGGAAGTCCTGCAGCACTTCCAGCTTTATCCCACATGACACTGATCCGACTGAAATTCTGTTCAAACTCACTCGGGGGCATGGTTGTGGGTTCGAATCCCGGTTCGCCCTGATTATGCCCCTGGGTTTCACCTAAGTGGTAAACGTGGAAGTCCTGCAGCACTTCCAGCTTTATCCCACATGGCGCTGATCCGACTGAAATACTGTTCAAACTCACTCGGGGGCATGGTTGTGGGTTCGAATCCCCGTTCGCCCCGATTATGCCCCTGGGTTTCACCAAAGTGGTAAACGTGGAAGTCCTGCAGCACTTCCAGCTTTATCCCACATGACGCTGATCCGACTGAAATTCTGTTCAAACTCACTCGGGGGCATGGTTGTGGGTTCGAATCCCGGTTTTCCCTGATTATGTTTCTAGGTTTGTCAGCATCATACCTGTGCTCGTGGGTTTCACCATTGTGGTAAACGTCTGAGACCTGCATCACTTTGGGCTTTCATCCCACATTAAGCTGACATGCCGCGATATAACTGGAATACTGTTAAAAGCAACGTTAAACCCAACTCACTCACTCTTCTCAGGATGTAGAATCGCCCTGGTTATTTTCCTTGGTTATTCAGCACCATAATTGTGCTGATGGATTACATCAATGTAGTGGTAGGAGTGGTGGGCCAGTCGTATAAGTTGCTGCAATTCATTGTGCCGAGTTGCATCCCTTGGGCATGCCAGAAACAACTGATCTCATTGGAATAACACATTTGCTTCGATTATGTTTCAAGGTTTGCCAGCACCATTTCTCGACAGGACTTGGAGTGAGTGAATAATAATTGCTCAATGCAGCATCAGCCATTGACATGTTGTGGCCTGGGGGTCCCAGGGGCTTATGGTGCAGTTAGGTCCACAGCTTGTTTCAGCTACTTCGGTCAAATCTCAAATGACCGATGGGATTCAGACAGGCTGAAAAGTGAGCTGTGTAGAGTTACGTCCCTCAGCTGGGTCAAATATACGCTGGTCATTTGTTCGAATCCGATTGAAGCTGATTTTGTACCTTGTCAGATTCAACTTAATGATGATCCCCTCGGGACCTGGTTGGAGGTGAGGTGAAATGACGTCTTTAACATTTCATTCAAGATTATTGCACTTATTGCATGTGGGTGTGTGGCTGCTAGTTTTGTTTTTTGTTTGTTGTTTAACGCTGCACTCAGCAATATTCCAGCTATATGACGGCAGCCTGTAAATAATCGAGTCTGGGCCAGATAATCCAGTGATTGACATCACGAGCATCGATCCACGCAATTGGGATACGTTGATATGCATCAACCAAGTCAGCGAGTCTGACCACCCGATCCCGTTAGCCGCCTCTTACAACAAGCATTGTCACCTTTTACGGCAAGCATGGGTTGCTGAAGACCTATTCTACCCCGGATCTTCACGGGTCGGCTGCTAGTACTAGTCGGGATTTAGGTCAGTTATATTATGCAAGCCCAAGCTTGTTTTATCCCTGTAATAGCACGAGGCAGGGGAACAAGAAGTACCATCTTTTAGCATCTTTTGGGATGGGGTCGTGCCTTGGACCATCGCTCTCCAGCAGATGCTCAAAAGTTTTCAGACCTGGTTAGAATAGGTCCCCAGCACTAATGCTTGTGAGAGGCCACAATCTTAAAACGGTCTGACACCTTGATGGGCATGGAACATTTTCGGTATCAGTCACTGCTTTGTCTGGCCCAGACTGGATGATTAACTGTACTGATATATTGCTTGAGTAGTGCTGACTGCAGTGTAAAAATTTACTAAGCCACAGCACCTGACAAACTAGCAGTTGATACTATGAACAACATCAACGAGTCTGTCCAACATGCAGTGAACCATCTTGACCAAGAGTCCCCTCTTCTGTAAAGCCTATGTTACTGGGTCACTATTCTTTCCCGTCCAGTAATCCCCACAGATTTGTATTGCTGTAGGTAGATCTAGCCATTCACTCAATCTGTGCGGACCGCCTCCGTGGTCTAGTGGTAGAGCGGAAGGTCCGGGGTTCGATCCCCGACCGCATCATATCAAAAGACGTTCAAAGATGGTACTTGTTGTTACCCTGTCTGGTGCTCGGCATTAAGGGGCTAAAACAAGGACTGGTCGGCTCGGAGTCAGTATACTGTCTGAGTGGGGAATTCATGTTAAACTGCGGCATGGTATCTCAGTGAGCTAGCACTATAAATCGGCATCAGTCTGGACTAGTACAAGTAGCCACACCCACACACACGTGCATGCACGTCGCTATATAAGTGCAATAATCTTGGACGCGACGTTAAGCCCCATTTCACCTTGCCACAATCTGTACGTTATTTTGATACAGGATATAAAACAGGAATGAGCATGAGGTTCGGTACAGTTTTGATTTTTATGGAGTACAGATTTCACCCACAATTCCCTTTTTACCATTTCCATAGACCGCACACAGCCCGTGTCTTCAAGATTAGGTGAAGACGTAATCTTTGGGAAGCATAATGTTCCTCACCAGTGTATCACCTTTAGTTCCTATTAGTCAGGCATATATCTCGTGTAAAGATCCAGTTTTAGAGACCACCAAAGCATTTACAGTCCCGATATGGCTGAAATACTGCCGATGGGAACATACAATATTAACACACTTCAGAAGCATTTACACTATACAAGGCACCCAAGATAAGGCCATTCGCAGATGGATAAAACATTCCAGAGATGGTTGCAACATGTAACAAAATGAGACGATGATGGATGATGACGTACTGAGAGATGGTGGCTTGACTTCAAGTGCCGTCGTTGACTTTTCATCACAGTGGACAATGAACTGTGACGTAATGAAGGATATCGACAGAACGCTTCACCTTGAAAGAATCCACGTATCTTGTCTGTTTCATTCCTCTTGTTTCGTCTCACAGTACGGTGTTTCGCTTTTGTCTATTGTTATATGTACACAATTTACCCACTTATAAATAGTCCGTTGTTTCATTTCCATGCATAATATTCTGTAATATCCCACTTCTGCTCCATTGCATTGTCGTTGCATTCCTTGAACACCAGCGATCCATTGGGGTTGAGGTATAAACATTTTTTACGATCTTTATTGTATATGTGACCGCTTGTCTAGAAAAGAAGGAAAAGTCATTTTGAACGTGAATGATTTCATTAACATCAATGAAATGCAATCTTAAAGTCTTGATGTCAGAAGTTAAGTGACACATTATGATTACAATTCACACTATGAGTCAGTGAGTGATTATGGTTTTATGACGCTAGCATTCCAGCACTGTAACGGCAGGGGACACCAGAAACGGGCTTAAAGCCACGTTATTATGTTCATACTACAGCTAATACCATCGCGTTGTGCAGAATCCGAATCGAGATGGAAGACATGTGCTTCAATATGCATACCTCAAACAAGGTGCCCTTCTTAGCAATAATAAGTTGTTAATAATAATAATAATAATATCATTATTATTATTAATAATAATATCATTATTAATATAATTATTATTATTATTGTTTAACGCCGCACTCAGCAATACTCCTGTAATACCAAGGCAGCCTGTAAATAATCGAATCTGGACCAGACAAATAAGTTGTTGATCATATGAACAACGCCACGGACCGTCTTGGTACGATGGCGATACCACCAAATCCACTTTGGTCAGCTGTTACGACAAACAGATAAACGGAGACATATTCTCACCCCTAATCGACACAAATGTTTACATAACTAACCTCGTTCCAGTCCCAAGGGCCACTGAGATCTGTAGTACTGCACCACTCCTGAGTGACACCTCCGTCATCTAACGCCAATACACACCGCTCCCCAAACCCGATCTGGCCCTTTGTATTCAGTCTGAATATCTGTAGATACAAAGAGTGAGTGAGTAAATATTGTTTAACGTCATGGTCAGCTACTTCCTCTGTTAATAATACAGCCTCAACAAGGTAAACCAGTGACTGAAACCAGAGCAACGATCGGGGTACGATGACAAGCAATCAGGCAAGGCGCCTCACAATCCGATCCCATTTTACGACAAGCGTGAGGCACTGTGGACTTATGCTGTCCCAGAACACATATGGGCGATAGACACAAAGAACCAGCCGCTTTAAGGGAATTGGCTGAGCCGATTGTCAGAATGATTATGAGTGAGTGAGTGAGTTGGGTTTAACGCCGCTTTTAACAGTATTACAGTTATTTCACGGCTTGTCAGCTTGATGTGGGAGGAAAGCCCGAAGTTTTGCAGGTCCAGGACGTTTACCACTTTGGTGACCATAATCAAGCCAGCCGGGATTCGAACCCACAATCATAGGTTTCTGGCGTGCCCAAGGGTCGCAACTCTGCACAGCGAAATACGGCGTCTTAGACGACTGGGCCACCCGTGCCCCCGCATGATTATGACACAAACACAGTTAAAAAGGGACTACAATGAACAAAATGTTAGATTAAAATGAAATATGTGTGTGTGTACTTTAACACCGCGATATTATGAACCACGACCAATGCCGTCTGGTTACGTTGAACCACCAATCAGGTCACCGAGCCAGACCACCCGATCCATTATTACGACCAGCATAGTGTATGTCCTGTATCAAAATAACACAAACGTGTGTATATTAATACTTCTGTAACCGGTCTGCATCTACGTGTTCTTCAGGTATATGTGTGGTATTTACATTTAATATATAACATCAACGCTAGAGAATAACCATTGATTATCTGCCGAATCAGATTCCATTCGCTTAAAAGGCAAAAACATTGTGACAATTATATGAATGGCTCACTGAAATGTCACATGTTCGAGATCACCATTGTTCGTCATGACGGGATACTAGTTATTTTATTCGAGTAAAAGAGTGGTATACGCCACTGTACTGCATCTATTTCCACTGGACTTTTAAAGTCCGTTAACTCTCTTGCCTCGGGAAGATGCTGTACTGATGATGTTGGTGTAGCTCACGAATCCTGTCTTTGTTATACTCACTGCATTAGCACTGGAACAAGGGTAGGCCCCGAGAGCACTCTTTTTATTATGACTAGTCGTGAACTCGAGACATAGAGTGCCATTGGACTTTCTCGAATTGATCTGAAAAAAATAAACAGTTGATTATGGTATGGTGGTGGCTTTCGATGTAACTTCTGAATCGTTCTGACCAAGTTTATATCTAAACCAGGACCTTTTTCACGTAGTTTCACACATGATCGGCAGAGTGAGTGAGTGAGTTGGGTTTAACGTCGCTTCTAACAGTATTCCAGTTATATCGCGGCGTGTCAGCTTAATGTGGAATGAAAGCCCGAAGTGATGCAGGTCTCAGACGTTTACCGCTTCGGTGAAACCCACGAGCACGGGTATGGTGCTGACAAACCTAGAAACATAATCGGGGCAAACCGGGATTCGAACCCACAATCATAGGTTTCTGGCATGCCCGAGGGACGCAACTCTGCACAGCGAATCGCGGCGCCTTAGACGACTGGGCCACCCGTGCCACCCCCACACACGCCTTCGTTTGTAGTGAGTGAGTTAAAATTTAACGTCGCATCGGCATTATTTCAGCCATATAGCGACGAGACCAAGTTAATATATTCACAATTGAATCATTTATGCAAAGTTATATTTAAAAATGGAATGGAAATGCTCGTCCGTTTCGAGCAGTTTTGTTTTTTCAAGCTGTCACTTCAATTTACTTTAATATTGTTTATTTTTCTTGTCACAGAGCCGAATATGACATCCCAAAGCACTGGTAATATTGGTAATACTTAAAGGCAAGAGTTACAGTGATAATAATAAAAACTTATTTGCTTCTTGAAAATGACTAATGATTATAATAAGATACATAAAACGACTTTACGTATTTTCCAATTTGTGTTCGACAGACCAAGTAGCTTCATGCTAAAAAATGCTCAAATAAAAATAACTAACAAGTTGAGAAAGCCTATGCACTGCACCTCAAGTAGGAGAAAATATTTTTTAGCTTTGTGCTCTCAAGTAAATATGATGAATAGCAACATGACCACTTTTGCCTTGGAGTATTTGTGTACAATGGTGCTATTTTGGTACCTACCCTTCCCCAGGCTTTATTGGGAGCCGGAGGCGGGAACCTGTTGTATATATCGTATGCGACGTTGTCTATGAACCACTGGAAGCTCCTGCAATGATTGTCTTCTCTAAACTTGAGTTCCTTGGTGATATTCACTGGATAGCCCCGGACCTGGGGCTCCCGTCTGTAGAAGTACTCCTTGAAGATGCCATCCATCCAAACCTCCACGACCCGGATGTAGTTCTGTAACACAACCACGACCTTCATTTATCTACCTTTCTACAAGATTCCTTCTTGTGCGATTTTACTTCAAGTGAAACGTTGTCGGTAGAATGAGATACGCGAGCTTTCATTGTGTGGATGCTCAATTTCCAGCCTTATCCCATGTTCGCTGTACTTTCGGATGTGTGGATTCATTCTTTTAGCACATTTCTTTTGAATAAGGAAAGTGTTTTGTCGCTTTTATTAATTTTTTAAGAATGTTTTCTTCCCGAAGTAATTTTGTCTATTGTTTTACAAACAAATGAGGGCTTAACTGTAGTTGTAAAACAATATCAACAGTGTTTAAATATGACTGCAATAATCGGTTGACTAAGGCTAAGCTACCCGCCATGGCAGTCTTTAATGAACGGGATAATTAGTGTTATTGATTGATAAGTATACTCGTCATCAATATTAATATACAATGTATTACTGTTTTCGTTTGTTAGAAACAAGAAAGGACTTTTGATCCTACTGTTTGTGTGCTATGTTCTGATGTTTCCTTCTCACATTATTTCGAAAATATAAGGGATTGAGAAAGCTTGTTCAAACACACCTTGAACAACGTTTCAGTTGTGTGTGTCCGTTTGACACGGTGGCGCAGATCGTAGCTACTTCATTATAACATGGACATTGAATTAACACTTGACAATAGTTCATGGCAAACTTACTATGTGGGTTGGAGAAAGTTTGGTTTTAATAACGGTCTTCCTGTCTGGTGTATAATGACGATAGATATGCCCCACCCTGGAACATGGCACCCATTCTGACGATCCGCCACACTGCCACACCTGTAATGAGAGTAGTTTTGAAAACAACATCGGAATGAGCTGTGTTAACACATCTTATTTCAGTAAACACAGCCTGTCAGCTTCATTGAGAAAGAAGACAAGGTAACGCAAGTCGTACACGTTTACCGTTTTGGTGAACCCTAAGAGCAAGGGTGTGGTAGGTCGCTTTATCTTGTAGATGTTTGTTTGTTTGTTTGTTGTCGTGACAAAGCGATAAAGTTAATTTCCTTTCTGTTTCTGCTGTGTTATGCCTGATCATATCGGTTTTGTTGTTGTTGTTGTTGAACGCCGCACTAAGCAATATTCCAGCTATATGACGGCGCTCTGTAAATGTTCGAGTCTGGACCAGACAATCCAGTAATTTACATGAGCATCGATCTACACAATTGGGATACGATGACATGCACCAACCAAGTCATAGAGCCAGACCATCCGATCCCGTCTGTCGCCTTTTACGGCAAGCATGGGTTGCTGAAGGTCAATTCTACCCCTGTCTTGTAGATGTCATATGCAGTAGCTACAATTTATCAAGTCAGCAACATCACAACTAAACCACGACGGCCCACAAAGCCGAGTTTTAACAAGGCTACTAGTGATTGATAATGAGAACATCAACCTACACCGGAGATGGTGGCACAGCACTGTTGTATCCAGTAGTAATAGTGACCACACGATCCCCTTTTAATTCGTCTCATGGTAAACTGTAGACAAGGTTTCTAGTGTCTTGCCTCTGTACGCGGAACCTTTAGCACCTTGTCTAGCTAAACCAGATACAAACACTGTGTGCGTTCAGTATGACACTATGTGCTAACAAATTATTCTGAATAAACAGTATCTCGTGCTGTGGCAAGTGTAGTTATGTTCATACATTGTATACATTGAGAAATGTATCTAAATAAAAAGAAAGAAATGACAAGGGAAATCGTCCACGATTTTTCTTTAAACTTAATTTGTTTGTTTGTTGTTTAACGCCGCACTCAACAATATTCAAGCTATATGACGACGGTCTGTAAATAATCGAATCTGGGCCAGACAATCCAGTGATTCACATCATGAGTATCGATCTACACAACTGGAAAACGATGACATGCATCAACCAGGTCAGCGAGCCTGACCACCCGATCCCGTTAGTCGCCTCTCACGACAAGTATAGTCGCCTGTTACGACAAACAATGGTTGCTGAAGACCTATTCTACCGGAACGGATCTAGGGGCCCCTTAAACAGAATGATGAAGAAAGATGTGTTCTTTACAAAATTGCCAAAACAATACTAATACTTATTTACAAGGCTCGCAGATAGGAAATCACCAATGCTTGATTTCTTCAATGCCAACTCTGGCACGAGAAAGCAGCGCACAAGCATAGGATAGCAGAACATTTCTGAGATGCCAGTAGCATCACGGTACCTTGAAAGCAAGTTCAAAATTTTCTCCACCCCAAATCATTAGGTTCGGATCATACGCTCCAAGTTCGAAGAAAAACTTTCTGTCTATCGCAAACAAACCGCCAGCGTTGGTGGGGGACCTACAACAGAAGGGGTTGTATACATGCTACAGTGAAGGGAGAATGGAGGAATGCATGCTTTTGTTTACGAGTATATATATATACAAAATGAGGTAAATGTTCACTCGGTGTACATGTAATATATAATAAAATAATAAGGTCCACATTAGTTCAACATCTTCTTTATATCAGTTTCAGACGTACTATGTTTGAAACTGATATAAAGAAGATGTTGGACTAACGTGGACTTTATTATTTTATTATATATATATGTATGTACAAGCACATGATCAGTGAAAGCCATTACTTACTTGGAACTTCAATTCTGAAACATTTCTCCAGACTATAGAATTCCACTTCTAAATACGCGATTGTCCCGAGGATAACGGGTAATCGATGTACCCCTGTTCTCATATTCTTAAAGTGTGACATTTTCATATCTTTAAATTACAACCCTTTCTAAGAAGAAAATCTAAAAATGACCGTTTAAAAAAATCCTTATATTCATGGTACCACAAAGTGTATCCACAGCGAGTATAGTCATTTTTTAACACTCCACATTCCACAAAATCAAAAATATGCTAATCAATAAAATCAGGTTGCATTGTTACTACAACATACAAACATTTGACATACCCAAGCTAGAGAAAGACCTCTCTTTCCTAGGAACTCACCAATATGGCTCGCTGTCGTGCTGTCGCTTGTCCAGTTCCTTCTTGGGCACGGGGTCTTCCTTGTAGAAGAAGCCCCATTCAAAGAAGCCTCTGAAGTGGTTTGATTGATACGAGGACCGATACTCGTAGCTAGTCCAGTCAATACCATCGACTACAGGGGCGGCCATGATGGTCCTGTAACACACACATGCATGTGGTGATGTAGCGTCCTTCCATCGACATCACTACATTTTGTTTGTTTGATTATCTGACGAAACAGATTCCATGTGGCGTAAAAGGCAAAATAGCGGTGGAAATAATATAAACACATAACCAGTAACTGCCATGGTTTGTTAATATTTGTTGATCTAACGAGCAACTTTGGATGGTCCATTTTTTATAGGCTGGTTTGTTTAGATCAATGTTCCTGCGGCCTATGAATAATCAGTATCGACCAGACAACAAGTGGTTGATAACACGAGCAACATCCCATACCATCGGTGTATGATGACAGGCATTCAACCTGACCACCGCTAATCGCGTCTAATGTCAATAGAGTTCTTGGGACCTATTATTACAAACTGCCATCTTTGGGTCAAAATGTAAGTGGTATATTTGTTTTGTATATGATCTACTAGTCTGTCTTACAGACCCTCATACAAATATATTTCAAATACAGCCCATGCAAGTCTATAATGTTTGGCAAGTCTAGATTACTGCAGTATCTGAAAATGAAGAGAGTCACCGGGCTCCCTTTTATTATATTTTATTAAGATAACTGAACAACTGTTTTTTCTGTACGATATGTTCATTTCAGAGACTAGATGTTAGTCTAATGATCTACCTGTCGTAAGCGATTCTCGTCAACAAGGGAGGTAACCAGTTTGGGCTGCATTCACAGTGAGCGTCCAGGAAGATAACAACGTCTCCTGATGCCGCTCGGGCTCCGATGGTTCGAGCCTGAATAAGGCCTTCCCTGGCTTGGTTGCGCACAATCTTCACCTTGTCGCCAAACTGTTTCATGTGCTCCTCCAACCTGGATTTTAAATGTTCTGCAGAAAGTCAGAAAATAAAGAGCTCAAACGTGATATAAAACATCAACGGCGAGTATAAAATGCATTTACCAGGTACACCTCGTTAAGCGTTATTGATGAATTATGATTTTGATTATCATACCCTGCCTACGATCAAAATTAAAATCTTTTGGGCGTCAGGAAGCCTATGGGTGGGGACAGGTTGTTACTTTATAAGACAACATTGTGACAAAACATGCTTGTGTCATTGGATAGCATTGGGTAGGGACAGAATGTTTATGGTATGAGACAATATTATAAGTAGGTGGTAACAGCCTGCGTATTTTACAGGACATCATTGGGTAGGACCAGGCTGCTTATGGCACCGGGCATCTTTGGGCGGACAAAGCCTTCTTATGTTATTAACATCAGTAGACACAGGATGCTTATGGCACAGGACATCTTTGGGTGGACAAAGCCTTCTTATGTTATTAACATCAGTAGACACAGTATGCTTATGGCACAGGACATCTTTGGGTGGACAAAGCCTTCTTATGTCATTAACATCAGTAGACACAGGATGCTGATGATATTGGACAACGTTGGCTGAAAACAGCCTGCTTATTCAATAGGGCAATACAGTAAACTACGGTTATAACGAACTCAAAGGGACCACTAATTTAGTTCGTTATAACCGTAGTTCGTTATAAGCATATATGCAACTTATATACAGTGAACGGTCGGGACAAAAAGTCCCGTTTGTTTTATCTCTCAGTTCGTTATAAGAGTGTTCGTCATAAACGTAGTTTACTGTATATACTTCAGTTTGATGGCCCAGCTGGTGTCAGCATCTGGATACGCAAACGTTTTAATAAAGAAAGTAGTACTCTGCTCGGGATCTGCACGTACGACTGACCAAGGAACAATTTGCTATTTTCCTTTAGGCCATCTAATAAATAGACCGACATTTAGTCCCAGAAATAATCTTATCAAAAAATATATATTTACAAAATAAAAATAAAATCCAAATGGAGCCCAGAACAATCCTTAATTTCAGGGTGAGAGTTGAGTCAATCTAGACTTGCCAAATTATTGTAGACTTGAATTGGCTTCCTTTTGAATTTTTTTCACAGGGTCTGGGAGACAGACGTTGTAATAAAGTGCATGTGGAACTACTGATTGAATCTTGACGTATCTAAATCTCAAATCAACCTAGCTAGTCTGGATCACAGGATCCATTTGGCAAACTTGCGTATTTTAAACACAAGGCCGTCGTTACGTTAAGGTATCGTTGTGTAGGTGGGTCCAAGACACTGTTCCAGGAAGTGATGATACACTGCGAGACTCTACACAATCTTAACTTCAGAGTCTCTTGTCACAGTTGACCCCGGCGTCATTGGTACCTGGAATGGCTACCTCTAGGAAGCAGACACTACGCGTAATTACCTTTGTCGCTCCCGTCATCTACCAGGACGACCTCCTTCAACAGCTGCGGCGGCGACATGTTGATGACGCTGTGGACCGTTCTGACGAAGGTGGACCAGCCCTCGTTGTGGAACACTAGGATTACACTGGCTGTGGGCAGCGTCTCAGGGTAGTGCCAATACTTGCATCTGAAACGAGTCCTCACAACGTTGTACGTGTGCACATTGTTCCCATGTTGGGAATCGAACTGCAGTCGTCGGTGTGACAAGTGAACGCTTTAACCGTTAGGCTAACTGCCCTGATCTATGCCATGCAGCTTACTCGAATCTGAGTGGCTTCAAATTCCAGTAACTAACCTCTTATCCGGGTCGGAATAGATCTTCAGCAACCCATGCTTGTCGTAAGAGGCGACTCACAAGATCGGGCGGTCAGGCTCGCTGACTTGGTTAATGCATGCCAACGTATCCCAATTGAGTAGATCGGTTCTCACTGGATTACTTACAGGTCGCCATCCTAAGCTGGAAATATTGCTGAGTGCGGCGTTCATTAACAACAACAACATCAAAACCGATATGATCAGGTATAACACAACAGAAACAGAAAGGAAATTAACTTTATCGCTTTGTCACGATAGACAGTGTCAAAACTCAAATCCAAATTTTTCGTTATGTTTCAAATTATATTCAAAGAATTCAAGTTAACAATGCAGCAAAAATAGAAACACGGAAGATTAATGTACAAAATAGTTAAACCAATTCATGTAAATGTACTACTATGAGCATAGTGAGTGAGTATGGTTTTACGCCGCTCTTAGCAATATTCCAGCAATATCACGGCGGGGGACAACAATAATGGGCTTCACAAATTGTACCCATGTCGGGAATCGAACCCGGGTGTTCGGCGTGACGAGCGAACTCTTTAACCACTAGGCTTCCTGAACGCCCCAACTATGAGCATAGTACAATAATAGTACCACAATAGTACAACATACTCTTCATGGCGCATGTCTTTAACTATTCTGTCCAGTGATATCTTGTCGCTGTTGACCATGTTGAAACCGAATTCTCTGGCAGTTTTCTCAACTAAATCCTTTTCGCTTGGCACGTCCGGAACTGGAACTCCGTATTCTCCTGATAGTCAACAAACAATTCTATGTTATCACTAACTTCCTAAGGAAAAGGGACAGACAAGCTTCGGATAAACATTGATAAACATTGATAAACATTGATAAACATTCCGCATAAAGACTGGCAATATGTACACAATCTACCTTGCTGTTTTACCAGTTCAGTCGTATATGGGTATAGCACACTCCAAGAGAGCACAATAAACAGTTCGTTATATCCGAAGTTCGTTTTAAACAACATATTGGGAAGATTAGAATCAACTTTGCGTTATGCGACTATAACGTCAACTACAATACGAATGACGACCCGTGAAGATCCGGGGTAGAATAGGTCTTCAGCAACCCATGCTTGCCGTAAATGGCGACTATGCTTGTGGTTAGAGGCGACTAACGGGATTGGGTGGTCAGGCTCGCTGACTTGGTTGATGCATGTCATCGTGATCGATGCGTGGATCGATGCTCATGATATCAATCACTGGATTGTCTGGCCCAGACTCGATTATTTACAGACCGCCGTCATATAGCTGGAATATTGCTGAGTGCGGCGTTAAACAACAAACAAACAAACCAATGACGAGTTGTTTAATTGTGTGCGACTTCCTTTTGGCACCATATTTCCCTCTGTCAAGATTAAATATGTTTGGAAGACTCTTAGTATCTTCCATAGGGGAGCTGGTGGGTGGTAGTGGACGTAAACAATAATCAAAGTGTCCTGTAACAAGACATACGCTTTAACGTACACTGTAACTGAGTGAGTTACGCCGTTTTGATCAATTTATACAAGGGCAGATCTAAAAAGAATTTAAGGGAAGGGTCCAAAATATCAAAATTTTCTCTCAGATATTTTTACTGCCTATAACATACTACATTTGGTTTTCAAGGGGGATGAGGACCCCCGAACCGTCACTCTGGATCCACCTATGCATGGTATTAATCATACTACGGCGAGTTTGCAAACCTTTATCCTTATTTACTTCTTTGGCAAAAACACACGAACAAATGTATGACGCTTACACACCATGGATAATGACCTGGGACACTTACACACAGATGCAATTCTGAACAGAAGACTGTGCCACCCCAAAGACCACGCCTACGCCCAAAACTAATCCCCTCTTAACCACCTACATCCCCTGCCCGACCCCTGGAACCACCTTCATCCCCAACCCCACCTCCATCCCTAGCTCACCCCCACCACCATCTTAAAGTGATGTTAGCGCCCAGAGCACGGTACCTGGTCCTGTTCTATTCATGTCCAGTTTAGGTTCGTAGTTGCCAAGGACGCCATGTTTGTAGACTGCATTAGGAGAATAAGGTTTTTTCTTCCACGTAGGTTCCACCTCGTCGGTGCCAGCTTTACCCGGAGCTTCCCCATGAGAGTCGTGTTTGGGCGGAGGCTGTAGTGGTTCGAGTTTCCTTTTCAAATTCTGTAAAAACAGTGAGTGAGTGAGTTTGTTTTACGCTGTAGTGACAAATATTTGTGCGGCCTGAGTCAGTTGTATTCCACTCCGTCAGGGCAAAACAATATCGACCAGAACATACATTATATTCACTTGCTCATTTCAGTCAGCCATTACGAAACGCATAGTGCTTGGGACTCATCCTGATTTTAGAATACCCAGGACGGTAGAGATTTAAAGCGATACGTGGGACATGTGTGTTTGGAGGATACGATTGTGAAACAATTCATCAAACGTTAGTGGAAAGTCTTTGCATGTGACGTCGCGGCAGCCTAGCAGCCTAGCACCGTGTGTGTCAACCAATGACTGCACGACACCTTCTGCCCATGGAACCAAGTTGCATGTGGATGGCATCTTATTGAATGGCAGCCATGACGAGCTTGACGTAATTGGCGCAGATGCAGTGGGACAGATTCACGTTGACGTACACGTCTGTCCCACAGATGATCCGATGACGGATATACTCTGACCTCTCAGGTAATCAGTACAGTACTGTTAGGGAATAAGCATTGTCATGAAAAGTGACGCGTGGTGCTCGCAGATCCAGGACGACGTCACTATAACGCACACCTGTTAAGTTTCACTATGTAAACAAGATCTGTCGACTTATCTGCAACATCCGGGGAAACGCTCATACCGCCGTCGATATGCACGGATCCGCCAACCCCTCCTCTGATGGAGGACACGGGATTCGTCACTAAACCAAACGCTACGTCACCGTTGGTGAAGCCACTGAGTGAGTGAGTGAGTGAGTGAGTGAGTTTGGTTTAACGCCGCTTTTAACAGTAATACAGTTATATCGCGGCTTAATGTGGGGGGAAAGCCCGAAGTGATGCAGGTCTCAGACGTGTACCACTTAGGTGAAACCCACGAGCACGGGTATGGTGCTGACAAACATAGAAACGAGGCCAATTGGGATTCGAACCCACAATCATAGGTTTCTGGCGTGTCCAAGGGACGCAACACTGCACAGCGCCTTAAATATAGACGACTGGGGCACCCGTGCTCCCATAAAGCCATTGATGATATAGTCGACACCGCTGCAGCCTCCGAAGTCGATTACATTGCGGTAATATTTTCAACATTGGCCTGTCGATATTTGAAGATATGTTGAAATGTGATATTGTTTTATACATTGACTTACGATATTTTAAAATATGTTGAAATATGATATTGTTTATTACATTGGCTGTTAGATATTGAAAATATGTTGAAATCTGACATGATACTTTTAACATTGATTCAACAGTATTTGAACATATATTGTAATAAGACATTGTTTTCAACACTGATTCAACATTGGCCTGTCGATATTGAGAATATGTTTAAAACTGACAGTGTTTCAACATTGAAAAGTAATCTAAAATTTAACACATGAATTCAGCGATTTTTTAAAATGAAATAAATATTTTTGTCGTTGGTAGGAATCAATATATTTGTATTTATCGACTCTAGACTCCTTTATTTTTATACCAAACGCTATTATTTAAATTTAATATTGACATTGAATAATTTATTTAACTAAACTGCCAGGACATCTCTCATTTGACCTGAACATTCCAGGAATGTATTTAGGCGTTGTAATAAATGTCGGTATTAATCTTATTCTTAAACCTCGGTTAATACATCATTATGGTTGTAAATGCAGAAGAGTCAGTTTAACATTTCAAATAAATTAAAATATCAGTTTGTTATAATATTTTTAAAAATTCTAAAGTCTTAGGTATAACGGACATAACACTTGGACCGAGTATTAAGCATTTAGCAGGACCAAGGTTAAAGGTTTAAACCCAGCTTTATTGTAAAAGTCACGTCCTGGCATCTAATCCCATGTTGACAGAGGGCAGAAGGCCTCCGTGTTTGGACCAGGATCACGGTATACTTCTCATGGTATAACAAAGAGGTGAGTAGTATTCTTTACATGTATAATATTTCTTTGTACACATGTACTAAAACATAACATATTTGATTAAAACGATTGTTAATTTAAACAATTTGGATATTTGTATACTCAGCAAAGATTTTCTGAACTTCAGCTTCAGCTTCCGTTATTTAGTATTGAAGGATACAACGTTTATATTTTAATAACGCTGCAATGCCACAACGCTACATGTTTTGTGCAAACGAAATAAACTTGGTGAGAGAGTATCAGTACAATGTGATTCTTGTCGCAACAATGGCTTTAGGTGTTAACAAGACTTTTTCTTTCTCTCTTCATTGGTCGATAGGAGAGCAGATGTCTGATGAATCAAGGGAGATAATACAGTGTGTTAAGAACTGACCACGTACCTCGACATCAGGAGACCCGAAGGATGTGACAAATCATCGTTGCGCTAAAGACTATATGCTTTTAGGGTGGTGCTCAGATATTTTGTTTCCTTAACATGTTTTGATTTAAACATATTTTATTCAGATTGAAATGGATTGGGAACAAGTTATCCAACTTAGGACTCCCTCTCCATGGTATTTACAAAGCTTGTACAGTAAATCATATACAAGGAAAACAGAAAAGAAGATGAGTGTAAAGATAACAAGAAATGTACAAGAGAGAGACTAGTATATGTACATTAAAGTGTTACCCAAATCTCTTTGTATGACTTAAAAACATTTGCACTGCTTTAAAGATGTGTTTATTTTCGATAATGGACAAACATTCATTTCCGTTTAACATCAAACTTAAATCTAATTTAACAATTTTGTTCACGGCGTTCTGTAAAATGTCCCGAATTATTATTAACATAGTTTTTCTTTGGTGGACGTACAATGGACACTTTAATAAATAATGCTGTGCGTTTTCACATGGATTACCACATTGACCTATTGGATCACATTTTATCTCTATTCTGTATTCTGTATGTTGGACATGTCTTAACTGTTGGACACTATGGCTTGACGTTTTGCATTGAATTTTTCAATGTTAAGGTGTTACTCAAAGGTTGTGATTTCTTTTCAATCAGTATTAAGAAAAACATTGTCATTTGTTCAGACAATCGCTTGTCTTGTGTGTTGTCTGGCAATACTCCTAACTGGTTGGCTTTCCCGCTACGGAGAATGACGAGATCTCTGACAGACCGCTAGTGACATCGGACTCTCTTAAAATGCAGCATTTCCCTTATTAAACCACGTATGGAATAGTGAACGGGTCTCCAATGAGGAGAAATTGGTATGCGCCCGACAAAATATGAACCCTGGATCTCTGTCAGCGCCCTCTAGTCGTGCCCCCTTGGTACTTACTCCATCAAAGACAATAAAACCCTTTCGCGACACTTTATCGGTTAAAAAACCATGTACACTTTCTTGTCACGAAGCAGTGAAGCATGGAAAACTTTCCATTAAAAAATTACTTTTGAAAATATTTGATACCACGTATGCGTTTCTTCTTTTGGAGAGTTTATAGCAATACAATCTTCGTCTTTTCAGCTATTTTAATACTGTAATATTCATTGAGGAAATGTACTTATCATTACAGTCATCTAAACCATAATTCGAGTATTCAGGAATGAATAATATATGGCAATTACAATTCCACAACTTGTTCTCGTCGCTGAATCAAAGCTGGAATGCCGTTGAAACAACTCACTTACTCGAACACCCATCACTGTGAAATAGTGAACTGATCCAATTCCCAAACAAATGCCTGTTTCAAACGTAGATGCACGTGCAGCCCACAGTCGGCTCATGGTTGTCCACGACAGAATTCACAGGTGACACACAATAATAGAATGTCATTGTTATAGCAAGGCCTGGCAATGTCGGGGAAATATCAAGGCCTGACAATGTCGGGGAAATATCAAGGCCTGGCAATATCGGGGAAATATCAAGGCCTGACAATGTCGGGGAAATATCAAGGCCTGACAATGTCGGGGAAATATCAAGGCCTGACAATGTCGGGGAAATATCAAGGCCTGACAATGTCGGGGAAATATCAAGGCCTGGCAATGTCGGGGAAAGATCAAGGCCTGACAATGTCGGGGAAATATCAAGGCCTGACAAGTCGGGGAAATATCAAGGCCGGGCAATATTGGTGATACATCAATGCCTGACAATAACGATGTTACATCGAGACATTGCAGTATTTCAACGCCCATTGCATCGCCTCTGGTTACGTTGCGAGTATATTACAAGTTATCAATGTCCGCTGGTAATTATGCTGCTCGATAATGCAAACCTTACATATGCATACACAGACAATGTCATGCGCACACTATGTAACACACACGACCAACAACAAATATTGTGATATTTTGTATTGAAATTTCTATTATCAAGAAAAGTGAATGTATTTATCATCATATTTAACATTTGCGATGTCGAGTATGTTTGAAGAGAAATTAATTAACCAGCTGGCGATTGCATAAGGAGAAAACTACCTTTGTTAGCTGGTCAGTAAAACAAAGATTAAACAGTGTAGGATTATTAATTTCAGAAATAAAATAGACAATGTGGGCCCGTTTCACAAAGCGATCGTAGCGCTACGACTACCGTAACTCCTATACTTTAACATAGACTTACGACCGTCTTAGCGCTACGATCTCTTTGTGAAACGGGGCCCAGTATGCAAGTCTCTGTAACATATATATAGAACAGCTTCTAAATATCAAACCCACTGCCCTGATGTAACATCGCAGTTCTCGCAAAAAAACAATACATTTCCAAAGATACTAAAATCATAAAAAAACATTCATGATCATCAATTAATAGGCAAGGGCTACCCAACTGACACATTATTTTCGAAGTTAGTTTCTTGGCAAATTCGCATCTATACCACGACAACATGACTGTCGCAATAATTTTAAATGAGTATAAGATAGACTATCAGTACATGTGTTTGTTTATTGTTTAACGCTACACTCAGCAATATTATATGACGGTGTCCTGTAAGTAAATGATATATCGTGAGCACAATCCGTACAGTTGGGGTACGATGAGTCTGACCACCCGATCTATTAAGTCTCTTCGTACAAGTATAGGTTGTTGGTGACCAATTGCAATCCGTAGTCCCCATTAGGGTAATGTCATTTATCATTTTAACTGCGAAAATTGCATTGGAATACACATTGGAATTCCATATTTTCATTCACATCCATCCTTACATTAATTGTTTTGTTTGTTTGCTGTTTAACGCCGCACTCAGCAATATTCCTGCTATATGATCGCGGTCTGTAAATATTCGAGTCTAGACCGTGCTATCCAGTGACTGACATCATGAGCATCGACATGCACCAACCAAGTCAGCGAGTCTGACCACCCGGACCCGTAAGTCGCCTCTTAAGACAAGCTTGGGTTGCTGCAGTCCATTTCTAACCCGGATCTTCAGGGATTGTCCTAACATTAACTCAATAAGACTTTATTACCTGGTCTTGGTCCCGTGCCCCGTCCACATAGGTCCAATTGATATTCTTTATAATGTATACACTCACAAAAACGACCACAACAAGAAGAGCAAATTGACGTCCAAAGCGCCGCCTCCTGCATAGCGTACAGGCCATGTTGTGGGGAGAACAGACTTACTTGGTGTACGTGAAAGTTAGCCGCCTACGCCTCAACTAATGACCAGCACACGGAGAAACGTGTTGCAAGTACCAATAGGGAAATGATTATTGCTCTGAAAGGCATTTGTTGTCGTCCTTCTGAAGAGTAATATCTGTTGTCCGCGCTGTATCGATTATCCAGGGAGTCAGGAAGTGAGCCATCTGCTGGGTGACCGATTAGTTATTAACGCCTTTTAAGGAACAATATTCAATATAAGGACAATATAAGGACTTTTCTCCTGAAAAAAGGACAGGCCCAAATTACACGGTTGTTGACGTTAACCGCTTTGTCGACATCTATATTCGCGGTCAGAGCGCGGCAAAGGATCCTCGAACCCACGACCACAGGATTATGTCATGTCCAGGTGCGGCATCCTTGACTAGTTGGCCACCCGTGACCCGAGGTAACCTGACACCGATCGGTCCTCAGTCCTGAAATACCAGTGTATCGTCTGGTCCTGACTATTGAGATGTAACGTGGAGGTCTGACGGTAGCGGTGTAACATGGAGGTCTGACAGTAGCGGTATAACATGGAGGTCTGACAGTAGCGGTATAACATGGAGGTCTGACAGTAGCGGTATAACATGGAGGTCTGACGGTAGCGGTATAACATGGAGGTCTGACGGTAGCGGTATAACATGGAGGTCTGACAGTAGCGGTATAACATGGAGGTCTGACAGTAGCGGTATAACATGGAGGTCTGACAGTAGCGGTATAACATGGAGGTCTGACAGTAGCGGTATAACATGGGGGTCTGACAGTAGCGGTATAACATGGAGGTCTGACGGTAGCGGTGTAACATGGAGGTCTGACGGTAGCGGTATAACATGGGGGTCTGACAGTAGCGGTATAACATGGAGGTCTGACAGTAGCGGTATAACATGGGGGTCTGACAGTAGCGGTATAACATGGAGGTCTGACAGTAGCGGTATAACATGGAGGTCTGACAGTAGAGGTATAACATGGGGGTCTGACAGTAGCGGTATAACATGGAGGTCTGACAGTAGCGGTATAACATGGAGGTCTGACGGTAGCGGTATAACATGGAGGTCTGACAGTAGCGGTATAACATGGAGGTCTGACAGTAGCGGTATAACATGGAGGTCTGACAGTAGCGGTATAACATGGGGGTCTGACAGTATCAGTGTAACATGGAGGTCTGACAGTATCAGTGTAACATGGGGGTCTGACAGTAGCGGTATAACATGGAGGTCTGACAGTAGCGGTATAACATGGGGGTCTGACAGTAGCGGTATAACATGGAGGTCTGACAGTAGCGGTATAACATGGAGGTCTGACAGTAGCGGTATAACATGGGGGTCTGACAGTAGCGGTATAACATGGAGGTCTGACAGTAGCGGTATAACATGGGGGTCTGACAGTAGCGGTATAACATGGAGGTCTGACAGTAGCGGTATAACATGGAGGTCTGACGGTAGCGGTATAACATGGAGGTCTGACAGTAGCGGTATAACATGGAGGTCTGACGGTAGCGGTATAACATGGAGGTCTGACAGTAGCGGTATAACATGGGGGTCTGACAGTAGCGGTATAACATGGAGGTCTGACAGTATCAGTGTAACATGGGGGTCTGACAGTAGCGGTATAACATGGAGGTCTGACAGTAGCGGTATAACATGGAGGTCTGACGGTAGCGGTATAACATGGAGGTCTGACAGTAGCGGTATAACATGGAGGTCTGACAGTAGCGGTATAACATGGAGGTCTGACGGTAGCGGTATAACATGGGGGTCTGACAGTATCAGTGTAACATGGAGGTCTGACAGTATCAGTGTAACATGGGGGTCTGACAGTAGCGGTATAACATGGAGGTCTGACAGTAGCGGTATAACATGGGGGTCTGACAGTAGCGGTATAACATGGAGGTCTGACAGTAGCGGTATAACATGGAGGTCTGACAGTAGCGGTATAACATGGGGGTCTGACAGTAGCGGTATAACATGGAGGTCTGACAGTAGCGGTATAACATGGGGGTCTGACAGTAGCGGTATAACATGGAGGTCTGACGGTAGCGGTATAACATGGAGGTCTGACAGTAGCGGTATAACATGGAGGTCTGACAGTAGCGGTATAACATGGAGGTCTG